GATCACACATCCAAATGACATGCAAACACCAGCGCTCTCGGCGCCCATTTCTTCGGTTCCGACGAATTCTTGTGAGACTGCTATCCGATCAATCACCAGCACTTCAACCATGCCATTAGCTTTGGGGCTGTTAGTTTCGAGACGGTTAAGGCTGTGTTCGCTATTCACCATCTTCCACGAGGTGTTTTGCGCGAAATACACAGCTGCATTAATGAAGATGCCGGATTCGAAAAATCTCAATGGCAGGATGCACTCAAGGAGAACATGGTGTTCGAACCTTTGATGTCCACTGTCTTGAAACTCATGAATGACCTTCGATCGGCAAGCATTACTGGTAAGTCTAAAGTTTCAAATCATGTTTAATTGGCCCTGTAATAATGTTGTATATTTTAGTTCTTCGCAACACATCTGTTTGCAACTAGTCCGTCTCACACACTATTTTGTTGATAGAAACAAATTCAATTACCGTTCGGCTCTCGCCTCTGCCCCACCCGAAGCATTTAAGTTGGAGGATTTCAAACCTCCTCGTCCACCAATTTTCGAGTCGATGGCACGCACTGGGAAGACACATGCTGTTAAGAGGGTCCGTCCGCAGCTCACTACCATTCAGAAGTCTGCTCGTCGTGAAAAGTTTGTATCCCTTACTAATGACATCAATGATACACGAGCAGCCTACATGGATGAAGTCCAAGGACTGGCAAAAAAACATGGGTGGTACATTTATCATAGAGCTGTTCTACTAATAATAATGTTAATTCACTACAGATCTGAGTGCTGGACACGGCGTCAGTTATACCTTGGTGGGAAAACTGTCTGTCGTCAGCGCACTCTGAACACATGGAACAGATTTGTTCGTCAGCACTTGAACGATGTAAACGAAGGTATGTTGATTCAGTATGTTCCTTGCCAGTAGAATTAACACTATGTAGGACTTTCACGCAGTGACCGCTGAAAGTTGACAGAGTTCATCGAAGATCACAATGAGACTCTCAAGCATGATTATTCAAAACTCACCGCTGCTCAGAAGAATGCATTTGTGATCGAGATCATGCAGAGGCGTGTTGCAAAGCAAAAAATTGTCCGTGACAATCCGAAGGCTGTGCAGCGCGATATGCTCGCATCCTTTGCTGCAATGGATCAGGAGGTCTGTTTTAATTTACGGTTGCTACACTTGCTTGCTAATATGTTGGTATTTAGTGGACCGCATTGTGTCCGCAACTTGGAATCGAAGGATTTTACATAGCCGTCCGAGGCGGTGTTGAGGATCTTAGTGGGCCTAAGCTTTTCTTCTCAGAGAAAGCAGAGAAGTTCGCGCGTGCTATTCTTGACTCGGAGCCAAGGCGATTGGCTTTAAAGCTTGAAGCTTTTGTTGTGTCGGGGCTTGGTGAGTTTTTATTTCAATTCATTTGAGCCCTCTTTCCAACATTATATCCAATAGATGCCAATGTTTCAAAAACCCAACCTCATTCTCTCAACAAGTTGATTAGCGAATGCCGCACACATATTCAAGATGAATTAGGTGGGCTATGTTTATCCCTTCACTTTGTCTATCAACTAATAACTGTTACACTATCAGACTATATCTTACGAGAGAAAAAGATTACCGACCGCAAGATTACAATGAACTATGCTAACTACGAGCGTTCCATTGTCGAGCACTATGGCGTTACATTACAGGGTTGGCCCTCAGCCCTTTTACCTGTTCGAAATCCCTCACGTGTAGGTGGACGGGAGCAGGTGCAAACACTGCTCGATGCACTTAACAATAAGACTTGTACCTGGACAGCACTTGCAGAGGACGAGCTCCACCAAAGGATGACAAGTAATCGGGCACATCACACCAACGGTGAGGCTGTGTACAAGCCAAGGAAGCAGCGCGCCGCTAAGACCACCGCAAAGAGTGCGGTAGTTGTCAATAGTGATACAGATGACTCATCCAGTTCATCCTCTGACTCGGAAGACGAGTAGTAGCCCTAAACACTCTTCTGAAAATTTCAACCAATGGCACATGCACAAATTACATTGTTTATTCATTAGCAAACAATATCAATACATGGAGCTGTGCTTTTCCCCTCGCAGTTGGGCTTGTGACATGAGAAAATAAACATAGCGACATGGGGGAAGACCTCCAGGGCTAAGCACTAACCATTGGTGTCCACATAGGGCCAGCCGTCAATGGATGGGCACGTGGGCATTAGGGTTTCGGCCAACACTGATGCAAGCACTGTTAATGAAGCTTGGCGCTAGAGCTATGGAAGACTGTCAGAGGCCCGCGGTGCAATACTGAACGGAGAGTGGGCCGCTCGTCAATGAATGGGCACGTGAAAGGTGTTGGCCAGCGCTGATCCAAGCACTGTTCACAGGCACACAACACAATGTCGAACAGAGGGTGGGGTGGAGAAGACCAGGAGAAAGCGAAAAGGCGCTGATCTGGAGGCAGGTGAGGGGAAGAAAGTAAATGCAAGGACAAGGACAAGGACCAAGAGTACGGCTTACCACGGGCTTGTTGTTCTCTCAAGTGTTCAGCTTCAAGGCAATCACGGCGAATACGAATGAGTCCGGCTGAAGAAGTACGTGGACCAGAGCTATGGAGGACTGTCATAGTCACACGGCGCGATGTCGAACGGAAAGTGGGCTGCTTCCCCATCGTCGACGGTGGGGTGGAGATGACTAGGAAAAAGCTTAGTAAGCTTGCCCCAGAACATGAACATACCTTACATTACATAGACCGTTATAAATGTAAATTAATGCCGGATATTGCTGGTGGAGATAAGGTAGACAGGCTCCCATGCACAGAGGCAAAAAGCGCTTGAAAAAGGCATAAATATGAGCCATATAAGTGAGCTCATCGTCGTCGACGATGAGCTCGCATGTTGGTAGGTCGTGGGAGACAGTGTGGAGAACTGACAGGAATTGCCGGCTGCTGATTAGTACATAAGCATAATAATCGCCACCCAGCTATACACCGGGTATAGCTGGGTATATAGCCGGCAAGAAAATACCTTACAAGTCACTGGTAAATGCTGCGGAAATCGCTGAAGTCTTGTGTGGTAGGCTTTTCCCTCTAATTAGGAATGTTGTAGCATATGTGCTAATATTACTAAGTAGTAACATAAGCGGTGACGGTCAGGTGGTCTGAGTATGAGCCTTATGAGGTATCTTGGTGCAAATGGAAAGTTCATGCAGCACGCAGAAAGCTATCTGCCGCAAGTCCGCACCAGAGGCACCTATTCTTCCCACATATCCTAGTTAGTAAGGTGGCCTTGCCATAATGTTCTGGCCACTTAATAAAGCCTTTGTACCTTCCTACGGAGCACCGGCGGTGCGCACCAGCAGTTTCCTTTTACTTAGAATATTTTACTCTACAGTCTTTTTCCCACTGCTTGCGTCATCACCCTTTTGGGTAATATTGCAGCGCACAACTTCACACGATGCTGCCACACTTGCGCTCATCATCGTTGACCATGAGCTCATATAAGGTGAGTTTTATTTTATTTTATTTCATTTTACATATATATCTCTCACTACAGAACTACATATAGGCTTTACTTTAGGAGGCTCCTACGTTCGTACTCTGTGCATACAGGTACATCAACCGAAAATCAACAGAGTGCGTGGGAATAATCCTACCTTCAGCGTTCCACCACGCACCCTCACCTCCAAGCTGCCTATCCTCCCTCCTGCGTGTCCCCCATGACACGCAATGCTGTGGGCGGTGTATCGTGGAAATGCTCTGTCCATGTGGGCGGCAAAAAGACCAGGACTTTGCATACAGAAACTTCGCGCATCCCTCCTCAAGAGTAAGTCCATCTCTCTAATTTCTGTCATCTAATATACGTCCATTGATTGTACTGTGAACACCCTTTGACAGTGCGCAAGCAATTATCGACCTCTGAAACCCAGCAATGCAGCCCCAATTCATCGCCACCCCCACTATCAGACGACTTCTCTCCTTACAACGACTTCCCTCCTTACAACGACTTCCCTCCTTACAACGACTTCCCTCCTTACAACGACTTCCCTCCTTACAACGACTTCCCTCCTTACAACGACTTCCCTCCTTATGACGACTTCCCTCCTTACAACGACTTCTCTCCTTACTTAAACGGACACTGACTCCATGATTCCTCCTCCCAGCGAGGAAGGACATATATTCTTGTATCTAGTAACAACTATTGACAGACTACAAGTCTTCCCTATTGGACTCAGTGTGCGCATTCCTTTTTTTTGACCGCCGATGGTCTGTTTCATTCCTCGACTCCAGCTCCAACTGAGCTTTCTCTGTGAGCTTTTGAGAGTGTTTGGGACGGTGTGTTTCAGTTGGCGGTACATCAGCGGCAGTTCTCTTCCCGAGGGTCAATGCAGGAGTGACCTCATCATTGAGGGGTGTAAGCATGGGAGTAATAGTGTGCGCCTGTGATGGGTTCGTTTCCAGGGCAGTTTGAGTATCTGAGTGGAGCGCTAATGAACCAGGGCACGTCAGCATGACTGTATTAAATATAAATAATGATTTACATACCCTGATCAAGAGCACGAAGCTCCGGGTCCACCATATCATCTGTAATTGAGCTGCAGGCGGGCTCAGTGTCGTCATCGCTGTGCGGCGGGGCTGGTTGGACATTGTGAGGCAAGTTCGCCAAAGATAGCGCCGAGGCTGCATTGTCATCTGGAGCGGTGAAATCAGGCTGACTATTATCAGGGACAGGGTATGATAATAGAGATATATCAGCTGTTGTAGCATGGGGGGGTGTATGAGCACGAGTAGGGGGAGCTACTGTATTAGAAGGAGGTGGTTCAAGCGGTACGGGTGGCTCGAGCTCGGGAGTTAATGTCTCCCCATTTTTGATGCACCGTGCACGCTCTTTAACTTCTTCTTGGTCAATCACCACAAAACGGCAATGGTGAATTCTGATTGCCTTAACCACGTTTTCAAGGCTCTCAATACCACCCTTTAAGTCCGAAGGGTTTGCCCATTGGGGGTGGTTCCACCCCACAAGCTTGACGAAGTAGGTAGAAACGAGCTTCTCGTACTTCGTGAACTCCATTGAGGCAGATGGGTTGTTTGTGACCTCACCTGCAATATATCAGCTGTCAGTATAAATTGTGGAAGGGAAAACTTACATAGCGACAAGCGGAGACCTGTTCTGATAGCAGCCTTGGCATTTGTGACACGCTCCCAATGATTAGTGGCAGAGTCTAGATTCACGTCAAAAAAATAAATTGAAATGAATGAGAATGATTACTTACTTAAAAGGAAGCCGTTGGCTAGAATGGTACTCTCGAAATCTGTCGCTAATTGGGCGACGTCCTTGCGTAAGTACAACCAAACAAATTGTTCCACTGCCGAACTTGTGAAGAAGGCTTTTGGTGCCATAGAAAAATCGGAAACGCCTCGAACCATCACGACAATGGCTTCTACGCCAACACATTGTTTCAGAGCTTCGAACTAGGCCCCAAAATTCATGGTCAATACTAAACACTGAACCTTAAAAAACATCGCCATTACTCACCTCTTCCTTCACATACTGGAAGCTACGAGCACATTCAGTAGCATGAGAATGAGCGGTTATATTCGGCGGGCGATCTCGAGCACCCTTTTTGACTTCATCGAAGTCCAAAATGAGCCTGGTCTTTTTCTCAGCGGTAAGCTGATGGTACTCAGTAGTTTCCTTGACGAAATCCGCAATGTTGGACTTCTCATACATGTCTTTGTCTAGAATATAAGTCGTTAGCAATGAATATACATGGTTGGTAGATTGACTTACTGGCATTGGTTCTGATGCCCTGGAAATGCATAAATGCATGCCATGCACTGGTTTTGTTGCGCTTGCGGTGGTGAACTACAGAACCAAGGGTGAAACGCTCGAGGTAACAGCGACGAGGCTGCTTGAATTTGCAAGCCAAATTGGTAGCCTTTGAGTTCATATAGTTCAGGACAGCTTGAATCTCCTGGTCCTCGTCAAGTTGTTTGGTGCGTCGCCGTTCAGTCAGTTGTTGGCAGACTTCCTTCGATACTTTGATGTATGGACCACGTGTTCGAGCAATAAATCGGCGAGGGTTGTGTGAGCAGCTTGTTGGAAATGCCATTGAGGGAAGGCTGATGCGCAAGTGCAAAAACTAAAACTGAGAAAACAACAGTTATTCTGCCATTTAAATGTAAGATACATGATGAGTGGCAATATACAAACCAAACTATGGAAGCCGTACATTACGATCTTTCAACATAGCTTGTCTGATGGCATCGGCATGGTCCAAAGAGATGTTAGTGTCCTGCTGCAATACCGTAACCCATCACTTCGCAAGGTAGTTCTGACAGATCGAAATGCAAATGTTGTGAAAATTGTCTGGGTAACCAAGGTTCTCCAACACTGCCTCTGTTTCATCCCCAAATGGCGTGATTGCGGACACATCAGCATAGAGAGGCTCTGCGATAAAGCGAGGAGGGGTCCACATAGGCGATGTAGTAGATGAAAAAATCCCCTTCGATGGGAGGGCAGAGATTGGCGTTATGGGGGGGTATCTTGTATGTGAATGAGGGCGTTGGGAGTCAGACTCACTACTAGAAGACGAGTAGACAGTGATGGTGCGTGACAACTGCGATGACTTCGAGCTCTCATCATCAGTATGTGTCATAGTGGTTGAAGTACCCTAGGTGAGAAATTAGGCCATATCGGTTGAATACAAATGCAAAAGTACCTTGCACACACCCCTAACCCACGCACCTCCAACCCCGGCAGCAGGCACATCCCTTCGACCTTGCACCAAACCAATTTGATGCGGCTTCCATTTGATAGTATCGTTATCGAAGGATGGTGCGTGTGACAAGACATAATCACTGGAACTCAACAGCCATTCCAGGGAGCCTGCAGGACGACCAGGAAAGATGAAGTGTGCAGAGGTTGGCACAATTGGGCGGGGAATGAGGGGCATGATGAGGTCTTCTGTTCGGGCCTTTCCCTTTGTAGGGGTCTGAGCCATCGTGGAATTACCCCACTTGTGCCGAGTGCGGGTGTCTGCAAATGCATTTGCAAGCAGAGTAGCATAGTCGGAAAGAAAGAGTTGGGTGATCTGAGCAACCACTGCATGGAGCTCATGGTGCTCTTCAAGGACATTAGGGTTGATGTATATGTTAGCTTTGAGTGTTTCAGGCGCAATGTTCACGTTTGGAGATGTAGCACCAGGGTGATGCAATACAATGGTAGATCCACCTGTCAACCTGTCTAGAATGGTGCACCACATGTGCTATGAGCGTGTTTGATGATTCAGAAATTGAAAGGACTTACCAGATCAAATATACAATGCAAAATGTGCTCGGTGTGTAAAGTTTGAGAATGCCAATTACCAATCTTCTCCTGCGTTAGACTTGGCTGAGTCTTTGAGACACCAGTGCGGTAGTGATCCGAAGTCAATTGGTAGAAGCTGTTGTTGTGGTCGAGATGGCTGCCATTGTTGCGGAGCCCATGTGTCAGTAAAGACAACAGTGCTGATTCCCACCGATCTTCACATCCAGCAATACCATTGAGAACTTGAGGACGCTGAATGAGAGCTTTGAATTCATCGAAGCCATTGACAGTAGGGGATCTATGCAGCAAAGTGGTTTTCCAATGAGGAAGACTTGACTTCGACATGGTGGGTGGGTTAAAGTGAGGCTCACTCAATAGTAATTATGTACTTCGAAATGCGACGTAATGAACACTGCTGCAACCACATTTCATTGCATTCAAATTCAATGTTCAACTCTTCAACGTTTCAACCATTTAATATAACAATTATATTGAGTATCTCACACAGTTCAACATTATAGCACAATGAATACCATGTTTTGCACCGTCTAAAATTCTAGTGTCGTTAAATCAACTAATGTAGTAGAGCAGTATTCAAATTTCTCCTATCACAACTTGAAACACACGACATGGGCTCGAAGTCGTTGATGACGGTCAAATGACCACAAATTAAATGACATTCCTTGAATGCACTGCCGCTTGGTATCACAGTGAGAATGAACAGCAAACTCATGAAATTCAACAGTGACAAAATACAGCAAGTAGTCTAATGGCGGAGAAGTACAACTACTCTGCAAATTCCAAGTCAACGCGATGATGATCGAGTCCTTCCATGTAAGTATGAACGTCCTGCAGCTGCCGGCTTAATGCATCTTCATCTCCCTCACCTTCGTCTGCTTCATCTGCCAGCCCATGTTGTGCACCTTCGAGTGCAGACGTAACCTCGCACTGCTGACCTTCACGAGTGCCAGGAGACATGGGACCGCTGTATCCAGGGAGCCGTAGAATCTGATCGATACGCCAAAGGTGTCGTCCGTTAGCTGACCGCAGCCATTGCCACCAACACTGTAAATGAGCTGCAAGCGGTGGATTGTCCAGCTCAAGTTGCGCAATGGCTCGCGGATAATCCAATGCGTTGTCCCGAATCTTTGTGCACAACCGCCCAACCTCAACATTCAGCCTGCGGATCTCTTCCTTAGCTCGCTGGTGCGCAAGGTGTTGTGTGGAAGCATGTCGGTAAGAGGGATTGGCCCAGCACTTCGTTTGGATCTCAGTACCTGTTTCACGGAGCAGGTCAAATTCTGCTAAGAATGAGTAGTCGACTATTTGTTCCCACTGTAATGGGGGGCGAGGAGGGTTCAGCTGGCTTGCGTACTTATTATAACGAGTTAGCGCATTTTGAATCGCAGTGGCTCGGCTCTTGAGAGCGGTTGATATCTGAGTACGAAGTTTGTATCCTTATGGACAGCAGTTAGAAATAAATAAATAAATAAAACAGTATTAGATCCCGTACCTAGACCGCTCATCTGGAGCTTGGTCAATTCGAGAACTCGCATGACAACAAGCCGTTCGACATCATCGACAGCCTTGTGATAAAGATGGTTGGTGATGCACGACTGGGCTTTCACACGCTCAGGATGATCCGGACCCCATTGTGCGTCCAGGGCCATCTGCCACTCGTAATCAACGACAACGTCAACCTTCTGATCACGTTTGGTCGAAGCATGAGTATGATGCTGCCATACATTGCCAGCATCCTTGGGAGAGTAATTCAGACGTAAATCGAGTTGACCGAACTGTATGCGAGCCTATTCATATGCGAGCCTTAAAATTTTCGTCAGCTTATGAATATCTGAAGCGAAGAGAGCTTACTTCACCTCTTCATACTTGTTTAATGCTTTTACGTAGTCTATTTCAACGCTGGATTCATCCTTCTTCGTTGCAAGATGCTGTAAGAAAAGACATTCGTCTTCGAGGTCGCCATCGAAGTCAGGATCGAGAGTTGGATTTGAAGCGTGAAAATTGGCAAGAAAAGTGGTAGTCGTAGATATCGATGTTAAGGCTTGGACGTAATTATTGAATATGAAGTCAGCTAAATTTATGATTAGATCATTCAACATTCAATGAGGACAAAGGGTGGACTTACATAATGCAGCGTACCTGTCCATATCAGCAAAATGGAAGTGTTCGTCGAGGGCTTGGTGTCGGTGGAACTCGGTGGTGTTGCGTATTTCGGAAGCCAACGCGTTGGACTCGGAGAAGACTCGTTCGCACATTTCAAAATCTTCCAGCCCAGCACCAAGTTTGTGCTTGGAGTGGTGCTGAAGCTGACAGAGACGATTATGGGCGTGTCCATGAAAAGCGGGGACAACCCCTTGCATGTTGAGCCTCTTGGCACTGTCTCCAAGTGTGCTGCGCAGCAGGATCTTCTCGAAGGCACATTTAATGTCATACCCATACAAGATATTGCTCCCGAAAACTCCATCAGCTTCTTAACCGAAGCGATGGGGTATTTCATTCTGCAGAATATTAACAGTCAGCACATCAAATGGGAAGCGAAGGAACTAAGATACAGCTCGCCACTTCGCACCATATCACAGATGGTGAGTAGGAGGCCATGTCGGCACACGGTAATGAAAATGCCTGATTTCTTGAATATTGCGAACATTTTCTTCTGAGATTTGGGTGCAGCATTGCGCCAATGGTCCACACACACAGTACACGGCTCTGCAGAATCAACAGAATCAGGCTCATCAACCCATGGATCGTCAGGGTCTCATGCAGGGTGCTGGTCTCTTGCTTGGTGTGCGCGAGCTGAATGGACTTCATCTTTGAACACATCAACGTACGATTCATTTAGCCATATCGATGATGTTCCTATTTGAGTGTCCAAGTGTTCCTGACCACCGCGTATGGCAGGATCAACCAATTTGGCCGAATTATTGCTGTCGCAAGCACACAGGATGGAAAATTCTAGAGGGGGTTCATCTGTCAGCTTATACTGGCATGCGGGACACGAGTTTAGCATCCGCCAGTTATCCGAATCGTGGCCTAGAACCTTGTCCAGGCGGTGGTCTATGCGCCGATGGAGTTCGAGATATACATCATAACTGATGCGAAGCTGCTCGGCAAGGTGTCTGCGATAGTATACCTAATTTTATGTAACATAACATCAGAGCAAATGCGAGATGATGCCGTGAAACTTACACCGTGGAGAAAACATAGCATCTTCGCTTCCGCATGAATACTGAAGTGCGGGGTTACTCGGTGGCTTTGCCTGTACATGTCCAGCGTGCGAATGGTAATGGCGACGGTCGGTCGAATGGGTGAGCTGCCTATACAGCCATAGCGGAGTAATGAGACATTGATGAAAGGGGAAACATGTTTGAATGTGCGCAAACGTCGGTCTGAGGTTCCATTAGAGATGCAAAAGCTCAATTGAACAAGAAGGCCTTACCAAAGATATCAACAACCTCAATGGTAAACTGATCAGTCTCATTGACTGAGGAAGGAGGCTCCAAAGGTTCCAGAGGATCGTGCATATAATTGAGAAGGGCGTCCGTGAGCGCCTCATACTGTGAGGCCCAGTCTGATGCTAGTAGGGCGATACGGCCACTACGGTCACGGGTATCCAACCTCTGTCTACTAAGAAAGGGTGGTTTTGAGCGCTTGTGAGTGTGACAGAAACACTGGACTTACTTCGCTGTCGATGTTGTAAGTTCTTCTAGTTCCCGGTAGATTGTTACTTCATCTCCCGCATGACTGACAGAAAATCCTTCCTCACCGGGAGGAGGAATCATGGAGTCGATGTCCATGGAGTAAAAAGAGAAGTCGTCTGATAGTGTGGGTGGGGATGAATTAGGGCCGCGTTGCTGGGTTTCAGAGGTCAATAATCGCTCGTGCTCTGTAAGAGGGAGTTCTACAGTACTATCAATGGAAGTAAATTAGATGGTAAAAATCAGAGAGATGAACTTACTCTTGAGGAGGGAAGCGTGAAGTTCATGGGCATCATCTTCACGTTGGCGAAGTACTCCTGTACGCAAAGTCCTGGTCTTTTTGCCGCCCACATGGACAGAGCATTTCCACGATACACCGCCCACAGCATTGCGTGTCATGGGGGACACGCAGGAGGGAGGATAGGCAGCTTGGAGGTGAGGGTGCGTGGTGGAACGCTGAAGGTAGGATTATTCCCACGCACTCTGTTGATTTTCGGTTGATGTACCTGTATGCACAGAGTACGAACGTAGGAGCCTCCTAAAGTAAAGCCTATATGTAGTTCTGTAGTGAGAGATATATATGTAAAATGAAATAAAATAAAATAAAACTCACCTTATATGAGCTCATGGTCAACGATGATGAGCGCAAGTGTGGCAGCATCGTGTGAAGTTGTGCGCTGCAATATTACCCAAAAGGGTGATGACGCAAGCAGTGGGAAAAAGACTGTAGAGTAAAATATTCTAAGTAAAAGGAAACTGCTGGTGCGCACTGCTGGTGCGCACCGCCGGTGCTCCGTAGGAAGGTACAAAGGCTTTATTAAGTGGCCAGAACATTATGGCAAGGCCACCTTACTAACTAGGATATGTGGGAAGAATAGGTGACCGGAGGATATTTACATCAGCGACTTCTACACGTGTTCGGAAGCGCCCAATAATTATTGATTGGCTTCTGCATGAGAACATTATTGAAGACTGATATCGATGTGAGTTTATAGAAACCTGGATGAAAGTACTGGTGCAGCGATACTCACAAGTCGCAGACAAGTTGGAACTTCTCAGATGTGATGCCACTAGACACATTCCCTGCTCGCAAGTATGTCACATCACGGCAATCCGAACCTTTGCTGTGAGTTATTCGCTAAGAGATACAACCTAGACTACATGTACGAACAGTAAGTAATCCATAGCATGTACATAGCATGTATGGGCGTCTATAGCTATGACGGTTTATCGGCCCACAATTTTACATGCGAAGCATCAGGGTGGGAATCTATTCCAGTATATGTGTTACAGGCTTACAGCTTGCACAAACGGACGCAGTCATAAATCAGGGAGAGCTCGTCTGTTGCGTACTTGACAGTGATCTTGCCGGATAGCCTCCAAAGCAGCACAACAGGTCGCAATGTCGCATAGCTTTCAAGTACTGATATGTGACCTATAAAACTGTAGATAGCAGAATCGATTGATTCCAGCGTGTTTGTGGATCAGTAAACGCAATATGAATTGAGATGCTCAAATGACAAGAAGCTCGAGATAAACATCTACTGGAAATCAAGTACTTCAAAGCGCTGTAGATTTTCATACTTGACGGGGCCCCCCTGACCCGATTGCGACATCGTAAAAGTGCGTCCCGTTTCGAACATCAGCAACGTGACCCTGTTTGCCTCCACGTTCATATCCGTCGCAACAAATTTCTCCTCGGTGGTCGTCTCGAGATACGGAAGACCAGATCCAAGAGGCTCCAAAAACATATTCGAGCTTGTTGGCTCGCCTTCGATAAGTCGCTGATTTAGTCTAGAGCCGTTCCCAGCCTTGAAATCCGCCACTCGGTGAGGATTGAAGTCTCGAATGCATAGCGGTCGCTTCTCACGCTCCGACATCCGGTCCCCGGCCAAAGATACAGACCGGAAGCCAGAGACGGAGTGTTTGCAAGGATCGCGCGAGCGCTCCACGAAGGACCGGGTGTGATTTGGGCCCCAGCTGGACCAAGGCAGACTAGGGGAGTCTTCAGTGGCTTTTCCATACCGACTTGTATAGGTGGACTCGAGTTCCAAGAGGGCATTGCGCTCAACGAAGAGTGTGAAACAAGGATCGGTGGCGAGGGCCCCCCCTGAAATATTCATGCTGAAAGAGATCATTTGGTTGTGTGCGTGGGCGTGGAAAGGAATGGGGGTGAAGTTGAAATATTTGTATTCAAAGGGACTCCGCAAGGGAGGGAGGGAAAATTTGGCAGTGATCTTGAGGGAATTGGAGGACTGAACGAGGGAATACAATGATAGTTCCCTGGCGTTGGCGACGAGAATTTTTTCGTTCGTCAGGAAGCTGAAGTCCATCGTGTCGCAAGCCAGATCAAAAGCTTCAATGCACTGCAAGTCCGGTTAATTCATAAGTCACAATAACGACGTCAGGAGTTTCACTGACCTGAAAGGCGTCCTTTGACTTCCAATTCCAGATCTGCAAAAAGTCGGCCGCTCCATTCGTTCTGATGACATTTCTGAATAAAACACCATAATAATCCCCAAAGATCGAGGATTTTTGAACGAAGAGGTTGAACAACTCCAAATCAATGTCCTTGTCGATTGCTTTGAGGACAGGTGATACAGCTTCCGGATGGACGTTATCCTCTGAAAGGGATCTGAAACAGACATCAAACGCGTGATTCGCCCTTGACGTTCGTTAATATATAATGTCTGAGATACGACTTGAAAGAAACACTCACCCCCAGGGTGCTTCGGCAAGGTAAACCATGAGATCCTGCGCAGGCGAAAAATTGAAATGGGGGAATGGGTGGTCGACTTGGCAGCTCCACTGATGCAAGGTTGGGGCACTGGAGTGGACGTCTGCCGGTTGGGGTTGGAGAAATAGTATTCGCTCGGTTTGTCCGACTTGGCGTCCCAGAAATGCGACTGGGAATCCCAGAACGCCGGACGACCATCGGTACATAACCAGAGGGCACGGAACAGGGTCCAGGGCGTTCAATGAGTACTGAGCATTCTGCCATGCAGATTCTCTTTGTCGAAGCGACTGACGGAGTCCTTGGACGTCAGTATCGGCCGAACCAGGCACAGTGACCGGAATTGCGTGGAAATATTCGAGGTCGATTGAATACAGAAACTCCAAGGAAGAATCAATCGCTTGTTGAATATAATTGCATATCTGAAGAGACTTGAGTTAATTATTTATACATGTGAAATTTTGCCCTTACTTGACGAGCCCGTACGAGTTCGTACACATCTAGATGGCCGAAAATCTTTAACAAGATTTCGACAGGGCAGTCTAATAGTGTTAGGGTGGCTTGATTATATTCGCTCATGGTTGATGATTTGGTACTGCCAGTAACCCAGAGGTGAGATTTACTTGCAAGAATTTAGAACAGATCACACGAACCTTTCAAGTTGCTGGGTTGCAGTTTCGACAGAAGCAATGACGAGGTCAAGTATGTGCAGTTAAGAAATCGAGTAGGTAGCGACGACAACTAGGGATGGATTTCTTGTGGAGGTGGACCATTTTATACGCTGTGATGTGAATGTAAACGCGGATAACCGTCATCGATCGTTTATCCGCATACCTTGTTTAGGAAATCCGGGTAACACCACAGGGGCTAACAACACGTGAGCATGGTTTGAGTATGATGTCATCCTTGAACTTGAGGGGTAGCCTTCAAGTTCAGAATGAAACATGATAGAAATGCTGAGCTCTGGGAATGATATTCATGCTGGAAGCCTCATCACTACGTGATAGAGAATACAGTAAGTGATCAACTTGAACATCGGTTCCTCGTAGCGCAATTAATCGACTGCGTCTTCAAATTCTTTGGGGTCCTTCGTTCCGGGCCGCATTTCATCACTGAACTCTTCAGCTGCGTAGAGCGCAAGTCTGCCAGGCCAGGGTTGCTGAGTTGGGCTGCTGAGGAGTAAAAGTCGAGGGTATCGTCTATGAGCGAGGAGCAGTGTGAGTGTTGGTGGTATGAAACAGGAAAATATAGAACAATTGCGTGTCATAAGACAAGACGAGTCTGAGTGTGCAAAACGGAATGAATACTACAAGACGCGTGCAATGACGAAGTGAAGGAGGAGCAGACAAGTCAAAAAAGTATACGAACACACACCTGAAATGCAATTCCTCCCGTACGCATACCATATTGGCGCGATGATGTTGCACAACATTTTCTGAATCTGTCGGAACCTTTCAACAGCGCTATGGGACAACCACGAACCAGCCATTAATGTTACCGGAAGCCTGCAGGTCTATCCGTGGTATCTCACAACCAAATTGTGAAACTGAAATTGACGCTTACCTTGACACCAAAAACCAGTCATCACTGATATCTGCAGCGTTCAAGGCTGTAAATTTCGCTGATTTTACACGACCCGACGAGCATCTCGCAGCTAGTACAGGAACTTGAGCACTAGTGCACAACATCCAGCAGCTGCTAGTTCAGAATAAGCCGCAAGACTGAATAGACTCATCCCCGGGATTTGGGCAGGTGCTAAGCGCAAAGGCGTGGGAGACATGTCAGACGTCCGTCCTCGGCCTGCGGCATAGTGCATTATAGTCGTAGTCAACAGTTGTCGCTTTTTTCACAACTCTTTGCCAAACCTCAGACTAGGACGGGCTGACAGACTGTAACATATACATACACGAAGCCTTCCTCCCATCTCACCACCACAGTGGCACCACTCGCGTTATCATCACGATCGTCCCCATCATCGATTATCCCTCAGGGTCCTCGGCCAACACTTAGAAACATCTATGCCTCAGGCTCAGGCATATACTATAAAATCTCCCCTATTCCAACCTACTAGTCTCCGCTAGCCACACATTCATCAACAAGGAAGCAGTCGTCCCTATTGATAACTCCAACAACCAATTGGCTATCCCCAGCTCGTGTTTATGACAACCTACTAACAGACGTGGTTCTACTTCAAACCACTCACTTGGAAAACCACGTAGCTATCAAGTTGTGCGTACTTTATCGAGTCATGTTCAAGAGCCTGATATAATTGAAGAGATGTAGTAAAAGATGGCGGAAAGCCAGCCTCACGTCCCAGTGATGGTCTCGTGCCACAATGTTGAAGAGAAATCCATGAAGAAAATCAGGATGCCAGGAATTGAACAAGGCAGCTGCATATTATATATATACACTGTGTCTAAAAAGCCGTTCCCAATCACGATGCTGAGCGGGGACGAGTTCCTCAGCGCATGGTGGCAAGTTGTGCTCTGTAAGTGTAATTTTCATTGCGTTATTTATTGTCTCTCACTGCTCTGACAGGTCATTATACCCTCTGGAAGCACGGTATCTATCACCGTGACGTTAGCCCGAACAATCTCATGGTGTACCGGTTAAATGGCAAATGGGTTGCAGTCCTCAATGACCATGACTTGTCATCGATTTCACGCGATAGGCCTAGCGACAACGAGCGCGCAGGAACAGTGCCATTCATTGCAATTGAACTGCTCCGGCCAAATTTTCTCGCAGGCCAAGTCAAACACTTGTACCACCACGATGCTGAATCGTTTGTCTGGGTCCTCGTTTGGGTCTGTCTTCGGTACAAGGACGGCGAGCTCCTGCGCGTGAGGGAGGGCAGACTGCTCGACGACTGGCTCAAAGTGGATGCTACCAGATGCAGGGAGAAAAAGTCTTACTTTCAGTGGAACTTCAGGGAAGAGGACGACCTCGACCCTGAGATCCAACCCTCGTCATCGCACAAATCTACTAACTGGAAGCTTGCGGTAAAATGCCTTCACGCACTCTATTATTCCTCCTTGGCTAGCATGCCAGACGATAAAACTGAATTCGAGAAGCGGCTCCTGACGAACATGAAGTCTGTCGCTCCACACATATTTCACCATCCTGTCGACGTGTTATAAGTAGTCTTGTTACACGATAGATAGGCGGGAGCAAGCCCTGACGATGGGGATGTATAGCATTACTAGCAGATACTTGTAGGAACCTTTCAGAACGAGAGGCATGCGTGACCAGATACATATCACCTAACATCTGATAAACAAAGGCGTGAATTTGTTAGCGGAAGGCGGGGAGAGAAGTGGTTCTTGAGCGTGTAGAAGGGAGAAGGGAAAACACTGTAAGGACGCCCGCCATAAGAGGAAAGATATCGACGGCACGGTGTCAAGAGGGACAACGTTATACTCATAAATTGATCTGCGGCAGCGGACATTAAAGCTTATGGGGGAAAAGACTCGTGGAGGAAACAATTTAGCATCAGTGTATTGATGACCCGGGGCACGCCAACGACTGGCAAGGTGCTTCAAAAAGCACGAGTCTAGTAGAAGTCCTTACGATCCCTCTCCAACTCTTCCAAACATGGCCCGCAAACTGAGTAGTCTCATCCAGAACGTTCTCCACACGTTCCGCGTTCCCGAGGAGAAAATATAGGAATGCAGGTGATGTACACTGGGAAGTCAGTTTGTGAAAGTGAGGTGGATGGCGGAGAACTGGGTCCAGAGTATCATAGCTCTCCTTCGAATCACATTCTGTCGACATGGCTCTAGAAAAGTCAGACGTGAAGAATGTCAAAACGAAGCTAGCAGGTAACTCACCCATGTGAAGCTAACTGCTCAGCCTGCTATTGCCCCCCTTAAGAATACGTCTCGGTACTTAATCTCCCGCTCCTCGTCCGTTGCCTAGTACGCACCTTCGTTCTCTGGTTTGGGCTATCATATCATAAGCAGGCGGACAAATGGTAAACGTAGAATCTGACACAGAACGCACTAGATAGATGCATGGCGCACTTTGACGCGTGAAGTTCATTATCCGTGATTAAAATCTGATGAATATACAGTGATTCTGCCGATCCCTAGTAGAACATATAGATAAGACATAGAGGGCACATGGCAGAAAAGAAGACTCGGATCGGCTCCAATGATGGTTGAGCGCCTGATTTTCGGTTCTTGGAATTGTGCAGGCTCGTTTCATACAACATTCATCGACGAGCCTCTGGCCGATGGCTTGGCCTGGTTATCAACTTACAACAAAGTGGCTCCTCACTGCAACTTGATATTTGCACCACACAATCAGATAAAGGGTTCAGATTACACCTCTCCTCGATGATCAAACACCAAGAATTTATACACGGTTGCCCGACATTCAACGTTCAACAGCACTTGCACTCTCCGTGCTTGCAGTGGCACCTGCGCACGAAGTTGCGAATCAGATCGAGACAATATACAAAAATAAAGGACTGCGACTCACATGGCGTGGCATCCGCAGCCGCTCGAACCACAGTGGTCGTTAGAAGGAGGGACTTCAGCGACCTGTGAACGAGGGAGATCGGGATAAGACACTGAAATGCGACACGAGAAACGTCACTTACGATGTACATGTTGTAATGGATGATGTTGGTCTTTATGTTTGGGAATTTGTCGTTGCCTGCTCATTGACGACGTGAGCCTGACTCTTATATAGATTTCTTGTGTATGGTCTTGTTGCCGCTCAATTCTTACTATTGGAAACCGAGTCACTAATTGAACACTGATTTTCTCACCTTCCTTCCTATCTCTCCAATTCTACGACCTACCAAATCGCGCAAACAGCCCATTGGTCCGCTACATGTGCATCCGATGATAAAACGGTACCACATGCCTCCATAAAATGCCTCAGGAGTTATCTGGAATCACTGGAAATCGAGCTGCATCGCCAAGTCCATCTTTCCATCCTTTCGCCCTCCGAGATGGGCTCAACATAGGAGTGCATGCGCTCGACGGGGCAAGAAGATGTAAGACTGCAGATCGGGGGTGTTCTTTGCGGGGTGCTCCACTGCGAGGTGACCCGTATTAGGCGTGAGGATGTCAGTATACAGGAAGCAAGTCATAGAGCCATACGATTAGGCAGTAGGGTAGCACAGTCATGGATAAATTTATCACATAGCGGCAATCTGTAAGTGGCAGTGGTGCGTCTTTTCTTGTGAGAATCATAACCGAACTTGGGTACAGCTTCGACGAGGTGGGACTGGACAAGATCCGTAACCCATTTTGGAACCTCTTGTCCGCACCGAGTCTGAAGTTTGAGTTCTAAAATGTCATACTTTTTGGGAGCGTGAACATGCTATAATAGAAACAATGGAAACGCACAAGCTTGAAAAGTTCCTTATCTTCCTCAGTTCGCCGCCAGTTATCGCCAGTACGCGTCTGTCCATCCCAGTTTTTTTCGCCAGCCATGGTGAGCTCTGTATCAAGCGATATCCGTACACGGGGATCTCCTGGGAGTTGGAATGGAGTTCGGTTGTAAAACGTCCTCTTGACTAGGATATTTATGAGCGACGAGGTCAGATGTGGGGGTGCTTACATACCTGGCTGCAGCTGCTTCGTAACAATACGATACTGAACCTCTCATGCAAGCCGAATCATGGAATCGACTTAGGCTGGTGCCCTCTTGCTTGTTGACTATAGCCTGGAGCTCCTCGCCCATGGTGTATTTTCCACCCAGAAAAGCATTCACGAGATGTTCCTTGATCGGAGAGCGCGCCTTGACAGACTTTTCACCCATCTAGGCTTCTTTGCGCTCTACGAAAATCTAAGGGAGGATACTGAGCGTGACCTTGGCACACCAAGTCAGGTACACTTACGGTTTTCACCTCTGTGTCGCCGTACCACCAGAGACGGTTAACTTCTGCACCCTCTGTCTTCTCTAGTCGACTGAGGTACGGTTCATTGTCGAAGTATATTGAAGTAATGGCTGCAACACCCATTCGCGTCACATCTTCTGTTGATTGAAATTCAAAGACATACCAGAGTCATTCTGCTGGAATCCCTTATCGACATCGAACGCTATTAGAGGTGAATCGTTGTGACGATGAGGTGGGACTCGACCTGTTGTACTCGCTTGCTGGTAGTAAGTTATGCGTAATAGAAAGAGGTATGTGGCTGTGCCTCAAGATGACGTCATCTCAGTCATTTTCGTGGAGGTGTACCACGACAAAGTTTACTCAGCCTCTTATCTTAGGGAAATCGTATTAGACGAGGAGAAGAGGTGATCGTCCTGTGAGTGTATTTCTGTGTGTGCGACTCACAAAGTTCATTAATCTCACTGGACATACCACAAGTGGAAATTACAGGCCAGTCTTAGTAATCTAAAAGCAGCCATCTGTTGTGCACACGTCATCCACTGGCGCTCATCCACCGCTGCTCACAGCAAAATTAAACCTCTACGATATGTTTGCCCCCACTCTTTGCTTTGCCTCGATCTCGTTCCCCCGGTCGCTTGCTCGTGCCTAGCGGTCGTTGATTGCCTTATCCAGCTTGTTCTTGTCTCGCGCAGTTTTACAGGCCTCCCTCATATCGTTTCACGTACCATCCTCACAATGCTGTAAAGTGATACAACGAACTGTGTTTCTGTCCCACTCAGTTCTCTCAGGATGTTTCGCCCACTTGTGCGAGATTGTTCGTTCGGGCAACCCTAAACTCAGGTTCGATGCTGGGTATAGAATAGAATACAAAGTATGATCTAGTACTGTACGTTCCATACCACATTATCTCTCGAATCTCCGTAATGCATCAATTGCGGGAATATGATTATCGTTATGAAGGTCTGAAAGTAGTGATTTTAGCAAGTGCGACTCAATGAAGAAGGCTCGAGAGACTCACAAATCGCGGCACTTTTGCCAATGTCGTCCATGTGACATGCGGCTCAAATCAAGCTCCGGACATGCTCCTCTAGGTATCACTAATGCAGTCCGAGGACAATAAAATCGGGCTCGAGAAGCGGGTGGTACCCAGAATAAGAGCTGTTGTTTGGGTCCTACTACCCACCCACCGTCATGATCCAGGATAAAGGAGGTCGACTGTTGGTCATCACGGAAGGCTCCCGCCATTAACTCAGTAGGGTTGCACAGCGCATGGGCAGAATTAGACGAGAAGCGAATGAGGCGATTGTTGCGTGTCTTGGCAGTGGTGGTCTCGATGGGATGCATGATGCAATGATCATCTGAGGATACTGAATGATCTGACTCTGAGTCGGTGTACTTTTGCACGGGCTGCCTGATTCCTACATCCCACAGTCGGATGGTGTGATCCCAAGAACCACTCACGACGTGAGTGCCATCCGGCGAGTACGAGACTGAGCTAACATAACTAGTGTGCCCTTTCAAGGGCTCACCAACTGGCTGCCGTGTGGCTGGATCCCACAGCCGGACAGTGCGATCCGAAGAACCAGTCGCGATGCGAGTGCCATCTGGCGAGAATGAGACCGAGGTGACCCAATTAGTGTGCCCCTCCAAGGGCTCACCAACTGGCTGCCATGTGGCTGTATCCCACAGCCGCACAGTGTGATCATTTGAGCCAGTCGCGATGCGAGTGCCATCCGGCGAGAACGAGACCGAGGTAACTTCCGCAGTGTGCCCCTCCAAGGGATCACCGACTGGCTGCCCTGTAGCTGTATCCCACAGCCGGGCAGTCTTATCAGCTGAGCCAGTCGCGATGCGAGTGCCATCCGGCGAGAACGAGACCGAGGTAACTTCCGCAGTGTGCCCCTCCAAGGGATCACCGACTGGCTGCCCTGTGGCTATATCCCACAGCCAGACAGTGCGATCCGAAGAACCAGTCGCGATGCGAGTGCCATCCGGCGAGAACGAGACTGAGGTAACTGCCCCAGTTTGCCCATCCAAGGGATCACCGACTGGCTGCCCTGTGTCTGTATCCCACAGGACAGCACCAAACACAGAGCCAGTCGCGATGCAAGTGCCATCCGGCGAGAACGAGACTGAGGTGACTTCAAAAGCATCCCACTCCAAGGGATCACTGACTGGCCGCCCGGTGACTGTATCCCACAGCCAGACAGTTTCATTGCTTGAGCCAGCCGCGATGCGAGTGCCATCTGGCGAGAACGAGACCGAGGTAACCCAATGAATGTGCCCCTCCAAGGGCTCACCAACTGGCTGCCCTGTGGCTGTATCCCACAGCCGGGCAGTGTGATCCTCTGAGCCAGTTGCGATGCGAGTACCATCCGGCGAGATCGAGACTGAGGTAACTTCCGCAGTGTGCCCCTCCAAGGGATCGCCGACTGGCTTCCCTGTGGCTGTATCCCACAGCCGGACAGTGTGATCGTATGAGCCAGTCGCGATACGAGTGCCATCCGGCGAGAACGAGACCGAGGTAACTCCCGCAGCGTGCCCCTCCAAGGGATCACCGACTGGCTGCCCTGTGGCTGTACCCCACAATCGCGCAGTGCAATCCCAAGATCCAGTTGCAATACGAGTGCCATCCGGCGAGAAAGAGACTGAGGCGATGATACTAGTGTGCCCCTCCAAGGGCTTACCAACTGGCTGCCGTGTGGCTGTATCCCACAGCCAGACAGTGTGATCGTGTGAGCCAGTCGCGATGCGAGTGCCATCCGGCGAGAACGAGACTGAGGTAACTTTATCAGTGTGCCCCTCCAAGGGATCACCAACTGGCTGCCCTGTGGCTGTATCCCACAGCCGGGCAGTGTGATCCGAAGAACCAGTCGCGATGCGAGTGCCATCTGGCGAGAATGAGACCGAGGTAACCCAATTAGTGTGCCCCTCCAAGGGCTCACCAACTGGCTGCCCTGTGGCTGTATCCCACAGCCGCACAGTGCGATCCCCAGAACCAGTCGCGATGCGAGTGCCATCCGGCGAGAACGAGACCGAGGTAACCCAAAGAATGTGCCCCTCCAAGGGATCACCGACTGGCTGCCCTGTGGCTGTATCCCACAGCCGCACAGCGCAATCCCAGGAACCAGTCGCGATGTGAGTGCCATCCGGCGAGAACGAGACTGAGGTAACTTCCTCAGTGTGCCCCCTGAGCACGGTCTGAGCGGCTGGCCAGTTCATATCACGTCCAGATGCGACATGGAGAGTGTTCGGAAACCGCGCAGAGAATAGTCTCGATAGCGGAGAGTTGATAGGCGTGAATGGGAGCGCTGATACATACAGATGTGGTGTGCTGTGTAAAATCATGCCGCCGAACACTTGAATGAACCGCTGGACATCCATGGCGGTAAGCGAGAGATCTTTGAATTCGGAATGGCCCTGCGGTTCCGTGTGAGCACTTGGTCTGACATCCAGTAAACATATGCTCACCTTCGGCCACTGGGCAATGAGCGGAAGGGCAATAACTGCACCACTGAGTACGTTTATAAGGGCAAGTACCTCGAGCCAGAAAAACAGACGTTCGTGGTCGAACAATGATTTCACTTCTTTTGCCAGCTCCTTGTCGAACACCGTGTCTCGTACGTGCGCCGTCCAAAATCGACAGGAATAGGACATATGTGGGAGAATGCGTGTTTCAATTCGTTCTCGCAGTCCGGGGTCTTCACAATTAGGGAGATACGAAGACTGCAAATCACAGATATTGAACCGAAGACCATCTTCCATCACTCGAAGTGACGCGAATGCAAGGTCGCGTTGCATGCTCGGTACGTCGATGAAAAACTCCCCGCTGCGTAGTTCGTCCGTCAGGAAATCGCGGAAGGATGCGTGAAGAGGTCGGATTGGGGAATCTGGGTTGGTGGTCCCGCTGAGGAGGGAACCCGTGTATTTTACTGTAAGCCCCACGTCGTAATGGTCCTCTCGGGCTGGAAAATGGTGCCTCATGGCGTTCAGGGAAGCTAAAGGAAGAGGTTCAGATGTGCCTAGTATTTGGCCCATCACTGAGCGAAATCTCGCTAGCGCCTTCGAATGCAGTTTCTGTGAACGCTGGACATTGCTAGACGTATCCATGTGCATAATATCTGTTAAAACGAGGCAATACATGTCGTACAACAGCATGCTTCTCTCAGCAGGATCGCGTGACACCACAGCGTCGTAATGATCCATCGGAGATAATCCAGCATGGGATTGTTTGATGTATTCGCAGGCAAGACGAGCCCACTCGAAAAGTCCGCCAGCCATCTCAGCAAGGACGGTAAATTGTTCGTCTTGGAAATCTTTCAATCCTTTCAACTCCTTGGATATGTAAGCATGGATGTCGCGCTCTGCGACTTCCGGTGGAATGTCGTCCATGGACATCCGGCGGATATGCTGAGCGCCTGTAAGCTCATTTTCGATGTCAGAGAGCGGCCGAGACGTAACAATAATCCGGACATTTTTTGGGAGTTCGGTGATTGCAGGAACAGCCAATTTACCGGCAAGAGTGCGGAGAAGGCTGCGCCGTGTCTCAACTCCACCGCTCTCGTCCAATGCATCGATGATAACGACGATGGGCCCTGTAGTTGATGCTGAAAGCTTCTTTAGCGGTTCCGCCAGAAGCTTCTGCCACTGCTGCATAATATCCACTGAGTTCTTGAGCGCATTGTCGTTTTGAACTGCCTCCGCCAATGCTCTCTTCATCTCCGGATGATGGTCAGCCAGGTCGCGCGCGATGGTGGCAAAAACCTTTTCATGGCGACGTTCGGCTTTTCGATCATGGTCGAAACAATAAAATGAGCCAAGCCCTCCTACTTCGTGGAACCATTTAGCAATGGTGTGGGCGATGGCTGATTTCCCCTTTCCTGCAGGGCCAGATAGCCACAGCACACGTTCAACGTCATCTCCGGTGCTCTTGACCCAGTCCTTGATCTGGGAGAGGATTTCCGTTCGCGTTCCTGGTAGGCACTGTTTTGCGGTATCTAGTCCCGCGCCCGGTGCATAAGTCATACCGCTGAGGTCCAGTCTTTCGCCTGAAAAGGTATGAATACATGTCAAGTTACAGAACACGTCCAAATTCTTACCTGTACGGGGAAGGGAGATGGCCATGTCCCGGAAAACTTGGTCCCGGAAGGTTTGCATGAGTGCGTCCAACTCGTTATTGTACTGTTGGATTATACTATTCGTTTCTGAGACGATGTTCTTTCCGAATCTCTTCCCTGTGATGATGGTAGAAGCCTGAGGAGGTGCGAAAGCGCAACAGCTTGTAAGACTCACAAAAATTCTTGGTCTCCCCATAATCTCTGATAAATTGGGCGCATCGAAGAGTCAGACCAGAGATCTGTTCAAGGATAGTTCTCATTGATGAAATGTGGCGAAGGGTCTCGCCTTCCATCACGAAGCGGTAAACTTGACTCAATTTCTTGAGAAGTTGAATTACCGCTTTATCGCGATCTACTTGAGCAAGAATGATCTGCACGAAATGGTGGGTGAGCAATAGATCGGGATGGGGGTGAAACCGGACACACATTTGAGGCAGAAGACAATATGCCCAGTGCTATCTTGACATATGGGTGTATCTATGAAACAGGGTTAGTTCGGTTCCGATAGAGAGGAAGGGTACATACATCCGCGATTTCCCTGATAAGAGTGTTGAATATCCTGAGGGGTTGGAGATATGTGTCCTGAACATTGTCTGCGGCATCGAGACCCGCTTGTCCATCTTGAGCAGCAGACGCTGCAGATTGCGCGTGTTCTGAAAGTAGCTCCATGCTGTCTGCAGCTGCATCGGCAGCCTGAAGGGCCACTTGGGGGCCAGTACGTTGTTCCACACCAGACAGGTCATCCTGAACATGTGCAATAATCTGAATTTAGAGAGAGCAGAAGTGAAGAAGTTTGAGCACTTACCTCAACACGCAGACTCGATGAAGAACCTTCGACAACTGAAATGGATTTCTTGTGGAGGTGAACCATTTATATGGTGAATGTAAACGCGGATAACCGTCAGTCGATCGTTTATCCGTACACCCTGTTTAGGAAATTCGGGTAACGCCACAGGGGCTAACGACACGTGAGCATGGTTTGAGTATGACGTCATCCTTGAACTTGAGGCTAAGACCAGAAGTTCAAAATATTGAACGCGATAAAATGCAGAGCTCGCCCTGGGCTAATGATATTGATGCCACTACGTGATAGAGAACACAGTAAGTGATCGACCTCATAGCGCAATTACAACCAGCATCGACTGCGTCTTCAAATTCTCTGCGGTCCTTTGCAATTTCAAAGCGTCCAACAGCCACAAAAAGGTGGCCAGTCCAACTGTCGTATTAGCGCAAAAACTGGTGATCTCATCGATAGAATGGCTACTGAACAGAATGACAGCGTCAATGGCATTCCGGGCCGCATTTTATCACCAATCTCTTCCGAAAGCTGCGTAGAGCGCAGGTCTGCAAAGCCGGTGTTGAGTTGGGATGTTGTGAAGGAAAAGTCGAGGGTATCGTCTATGAGCTGTACATGTGAGGAGCAGCGTGAGTGTTGGTCGAATGTAATATGAATAATTGCGTGTTATAAGACAAGACAAATCTGACTATGCAGAACGGAATGATTGGTCAAATACGCGTGCAGCGACGAAGTAAAGAGCCAAAAGCACGAGCGGACACGTCAAAAAAGTATGCGAGCACACACCTGAAGGCTGAAATGCAATGCCCAAATTCCTCCCATACGCCTACCGTTATCACTAGCGATGGTGGGGTCTGAAATTGCTGTTAAACTGGTCATCGGAGCTGAAGCCTGAGATGTAAGATCTCGGCGGGTTGTGACTATTGGCCCGATGGTTGTTGCACAACGTTTTCAGAATCCATCGGAACCTTCCAACAGAGCTATGGCATAACCACGAACAAGCCATTAATGTTACCAGCGGCCTGCAGGTCTATCTGTGGTATCTCAGAACTTACTTGTGAGACCGAGATTAACACTTACCAAAAACCAGTCATCACTGATATCTGCAGCCTGGGTCCAAGGCTAGAAATTTCACTGATTTTATGCGACCCGACGACATCTTGCAAATAGTGCAGGAGCCTGAGCTCTAGTGCACAATATCCAGCAGCCTAGTGTTACAGAAAATTTAGGCCGCAAGAGTCAAGACTGAGCGCTGAGCAGACTTCCCAGGGGAGGTCACTCGAGCCGTAACACACATACGGGAATAAATTCCCACACTGTGAAATTGTCATAGACCGTCATCTACACTAGGTCACGATGCACCACCAATTGATCACCGCATCACCAACCAACCAGTCATTCTGGTACACCCGAGACTAATCACTGACTCACGCTTCCTGTGGTCGTAAGGGTGTCGGCGCCTCCTTTCCTCCCAGTGCCCTCTTGTTTCTTTTCTAGAGATGGTGTTGTATATTCGTTGCATATCAATCATGCTGTATCAGGCTGTGACAATTGATCATCACCATCCCATCAACGCACGAAGTAAATCGAGTGTAGTGCCTTTGAATCGAGATCTACCCTTACAATTTTCTGGCATCCTCATGGTATGATGGCCCGATGATTGAGGTAGAGAGCGAGAAGGTGAGCATGAGAGGATGCGGACGGAAATTAGGCGTTGAGAGATGCGCTTACTTGCTAGGGGATGCCAGGCCAGGTGGGACAGATGACTTATATATTTTGCTTCGTCAGGACCTATGCTTCATGCCTCACCTTTCTGGCACTATGCGGACATGATATAATCAGTGAACTTGGAGCAGCCGTTACGCCCCCCGCGTCCGGCGGTGAGAATGTGATGCTCATCAAGAAATTCTGGTTCCGACGGCAGGCTGTTCGATGGCGACATCACCCCTAGGCTCAACTTTTCTGTTGTACTTGTCAGTGATATTATGAAATCTTGAATTGACACACCGGTAGCAAGCACGTATCTGAAACAGAGTGGCCAAAATGATGAACAGTTCTTCGATCTTTCAAATATTCTGCGCATGTGACTGGTTTGCAGCTTCACAGCCATCATAGCCAACATATACGTCACGGTTGACTCAACCAAGGGACCCTAGATCGAGTGTCCCCTTTCTGGTTGACCTCATGCCAAAGCACATACTTCGGTCATTCGGTTCAGGAACGGATATCGCCCCCATGATGCTCATTTCGGTGATAAAGGCGCTGGGTGGTGATATATCTAGTGCGAACACCGTCTTCATACGTCCACCAAGTTTGCCACTCGATCACACCCATCCTCTCACAAGATGACTCTAGTCTCAAACGATCCCAGTTTCTGCATCAGTAAAAAACCAAATTCGTGGGAGTTCTAGTTACAGCTACATAGTGCTACAGAGCCACTGTAGTACTACATAGGCAGCCAAGGCGCTCTATAGTTCTCTGTAGCCAAAATCAGGGCTATGTAGAGCTGCGGGAGGTGCCGGGATTAGCCCATAGAAACTGTAGCTACTGTAGCTACTGTAGCACATTGTAGTGTTTTGGAGCATGCAGTAGTAATTCTAATTCTAAGCAATTGTAGCGGAAATACAAAAAGTATTGAGGTCAATGAATGTATTCAAGTAGAAATCGCTTGCCAACTCGTAGACATTCGCACTTGTCCATCCGGGGTGAACAGAATGTCCCATCTTTGGTATTAAGTGACACGGACGAAGAATTTCGTCAACATGTATCACGGCTGCGTTGCGATGCAGTCGGCGAGTCGAACGAGACACCTGAGGCAGGCCAGAGAAGGGGTCCAGCTCCCTAAATGGCGTGAACCACTCGACATATGCTAACGCTCGAGAGTATGCAAATTGACGGGGCAAAGTGAATATGACACGGACTTGTGCTACTCACACATCTGCAGTATACATGTAAAATTTCCGATGACTTCGAATAACAATCACTTACCGTCTAACGTGCGCACATTCGTGGTCCGAACAACTTCGCTCGTCAGGGCCATATCAAATCTGGCAGGGGATCCAGGCTTGCGGCCTGGACCAGGAGGTATTTCAGGTGACGCTCTGATGCGCCACCGCTGCGGTGATTCGTCTACCCATGGATCCGGCGGAGCAACAATTACAACTTGTCGAAAAACGTCGAAGCGATCCTGCGGACCAGGGACGATGCTAGTGTGTGGCATATGCTTGTGTAGGAAGAGTTTGAGGGCTGGAAGAAATGAGACAGCGCCGTGTGCTGTGATGAGCTGCTGAACGGACCGTCGAGGGTGCGGAGGAGTTTTTGCGAGGACACGGACTACATGTTGCTCAACGACGGGAGGCATTAAAGTTGATTTGGCGAGGGCGGTACTGCTGGTGTGAGGCTCGAATTGCATCTCCTCCATCTCAGAATCTAAGTCTGAATTGTCACTGTACTCATGGCCTGTGGGCCTCGCCATGGCGACCGACTGAGACTGTACTGAAAGCCAATCAAGATAGGAACTGCGCATAAAAATCGCTTCCTGGCGTTGAAGCCAGAGGGCCATCTGTTCTTCGTAATCGCGCTTGTTGCTAGCACGATAAGCTTCTTTAGCGAAATCGATATGGAGTCGTTCGGGGAGCTCAGTGTTGAAACCATCTGTGGTACCGAACAATGATATTGACTGGACGTAGTGCGAGAGCTGGTGTAGTTTAGGGATGTTGAAATGCTCACGAACTTCAAGTTCGTGTAGGATATTCTTGTTGGCGTGAAATACGGCAAGGGCGCCCTGCAGACGATCAAGGGTGTCAGTTGTGTGCATTCGGAGTTGTGCATAATAGGAAAAATCCAGAATTGCTCGCGCAACGACTAACACTTGACTGGTAAGTGATTAAAATTGATTCTGTCAGTGCGAACCTTGTGAAGCATGTATTGAAGCTTACCCTGGGACCGCACCAGCAAGTAACCCTATGAAAACGCGCTGCATTTGTTTGTGTTCTGCGCCGGTCCATTGTTTCACTGCAGATATTCCTTTTTTGAAATGGCGAAGACCAGGATAATTCGGTATTGTTTTGAAGCGTGAATCCATTTCAGCATCGCCGATAATATCAAGACACCACTTAACCAAGTGATCTTTGAAGACGCCCTTGTGGAGTTGATGTAGGAGGTCAGGCATAAAGGAGAGAAAAATGTCTGTGTGTGGGAGATTGGCCCAGAAAGGATTATAGACGGCCCGCAGTCCATAGTCGTCAAATTCAGCTGGATGTTGACCGTTTTTCCGCCTATCTAGGACCTCTTTGATAAACTGAGGGTCCCGCATCAGGGAACTCAGTGGATCACCTCTTTCATTGGCTCCAACCAGACACTTGGGACAGCGATTTTCTTTGCAGCACGACACGAGACATTGTTCCGGAAAATCCGCCACATAAGCAGCGAGGATCGGGTATACTCGGCGTACCATTGAGTCGGCACAGACCATGTCAAGACCATCTCGTCCTGCAGTGATGAGCGGTTGAAGGAGGAGGGACATGCAATGGTGGAACAGTCGGTAATGTGCAAGGGAGCGTGCATCCGATGTGAAGCAATCAAGTTTTACTGCAGGCAAGTATCCAATTAAGACTGTTGCTCGTGCTGACGTTTGCCTCCTTTTTTCTTTCGCGATGTTGCCGATCGAGAGGTATACAGGCCACGCTGATTTATCACCTCGGAATTGCGACAGACATGTCTTGTCTGACGCAAGAATGACAGGTGCGATGGTTGCTCCTTCTGGCAACAGTTTCTGGACATTGTAGGTCAGTACTTGCTTGAATTATTGGACTGGTACTTACTTGCTTGTCACTCCACCAATCCGCAGTCCACATATCATCGATTACTCGGTGAAGTCCTTCACGGTCCTTGTATGCACGTGTAGGTGCGTATACCATATGGTTCTTGAATAAAGGATTTCCGATGAGATCTTTAACGCACTCCACAGGGTCACGCATCCAAAGCTCAACATCCTCGCGCAGCAACTGGCCAGCCTCATCTGTTCGATTTCCCTCAATGCTAACCTTCTCGCAACTCCAGGCAGGTCCGTGTGGAAGGCTATCAACTTTCTGCATGAAGGATCGATTGTTGTGAAACGACGGCTGTGTTCGGTTTTGCGTCTATTGCTATGGTCAGTACATTGTTTCAGTGGTCAACACCAAGCTTACTATTGGTAGCTTCAGAAACTCATCTGTTCGAGTCTGCCCGAGGCTTTTAACAAGCCATTCAGCGAGTCCCCATTCTTCCCTGGTGACCAAAGTCAACTGTCTCGCAAGCACAATAAACATAACAACTCGCACTCATCACAAAACGGTGCCCACTCGTCTTCATTTTCATCCTCCTTATGCCGCTGATACCTTTCAAAACCAGTTTGCCCCTCCCGCAATGTCCAGCCAGCATCACAGCACTGCTCAAAATATCGCCCGCTATTTTCTATCACATTGTCCAAGTCTTCATCAGCAACGTCCTCAACAGTCACCCGCCGACTTTTTGATGCTGCTGGCTCGCCGTCATTAGGTTCGAAAGACTTAGAGCGCGAGCGGCGAAGCGGGGAAAATGAATTGTCGTTAGAGAAGTCCACTGGTAGGTCACCCTCATTGTCTGTATCTTCAACCAGTAACTCCCATTTTCTTAGACATTCAGGGCGGATAGCTATATGCTTCGAGACACTTTCCCTTGAAGGGAAATCCTTGCCACAGAATCCGCAGCTGTGATACATGGTTGGTGGGGGTTTTGGTGAGTGATTTGGACATCGTTTTTGGAGATCATTTCTGACGTGTACCGTAATTCAGAGTTTATGCACCCGGTTAACCTAACATGTACCGTAATTTATATAGGGCACCCGGTCCACCCGTCCTCACCCCCGGTTGTGCGCAAGGTTCATCACCCATCTACCGCCCTTTTCCAACCACAGTTGTGCGCAAGGTTCATCACCCATCTACCCCCCTCTAATCATGGTTGTGCGCAAGGTTCATCACCCATCTACCGCCCTTTTCCAACCACGGTTGTGCGCAAGGTTCATCACCCATCTACCCCCCTCTAATCACGGTTGTGCGCAAGGTTCATCACCCATCTACCGCCCTTTTCTAACCGCAGTTGTGCGCAAGGTTCATCACCCATCTACCCCCCTCCCTGGCAGTTGTGCGCAAGGTTCATCACCCATCTATACCAGCTGGGTAAGGTCCGAGAAATTCATTCTTCAAGATTGTTTCTGACATGTACCGTAATTTTTTAGGTCCATTATGGAGACTAGCCCTGTAACGGCACTACACTAGTCTAGAAATGCCATGGGCGCCAAGAAGCAACTCTAACAGTTGCACCCGCTTTGCCTCCTCACAACGCTTCAGTTCTGCATCCCATCGATCGATGACAATCCTTCGCAAGCTCGCTTGCATAAGGGTAAGCGCTGGTCCTGGTGCTATTTCTAACAGTTGCAATTGTTTTGCTTTCTCACAGGCCTTAACTTCTGCCTCCCAGCGCTCCAAAATGAGCCTTCGCAAGTACGACTGAGAAACAGAGATCGGGCCAGGAGTTTGACGAAATGGAGGGAGTGGGAACATGGGCTCCGCACCAGGCACTTCATGCCTTGGCTCTGCGCCAGGCGCTTTGACCTTTGGCCTGCGAGCCAGTGAGTATTTGGGGGTAATGAGGAGGGGCAACTCACCTTTTAGCGCTAATTTTCCTGCCTTCACTGGTGTCCTCATGGGATGGTGATATTGGGCTGTAAAAATTGTTAGAGGTTGGTGAGTGTTTGAATAAGCTCCGTACCGTTTTTTGGCTGAGTCGGAGGTGTCCATGACAATGAATATATTGTACCGGTACGTTCACGTTCAAACCTTTTATCATTCCCCGTTTAACACAGCTTTTAGCCCTGAAATCAACAAAGATTCAAGGTTCAAATTGTGAGTGTTTATATCCTGTGTGGCGTTATAAAACCAGCTGAACTGCAGGTCGTTCGCACCTATAAAATCGGCTGAACCGAAGGTCATTCGCACCTTGTGTTCCGAGGACCAACAACCATGGCCAACTCTAAGGCCACCTCAAAGCAATCAAAATCAAGCGCTCCAACATCACCGCGTAGAACGCAACCGCTTCCGCGCACCACAAGTGGTCGACAACGAAAACCAACTGAAAAAGAAAATTACCGATGTAAGTTGCTGCTCTCTGCTACTACGACAACGTGTTTTGCTCACTCGCAACACAACCTCACTCTATAGTATCCGAATCGCAACATATTGTCCGCCGTCAAGCAAGAAAGGAAGATAAATTAGAAAAACGTAAGAAAAAAGCATTGAAGTCTGCCTATCAAGGCAATCCCAAAGACTTCGAGAGAGAACCATCCGAACTGCTTAGTGACCCCGACAGGGCGGAAGACACTATGGTTTGATCACTCACCTTTTTTCCTGCGACTCAACAACAGCTGATTTTCTTTTCAGTTCTCGGATCACAGTGTCCAGACGAAGCTGTCCAATGCCAGGGTTCTCACATTCAGTACAACGAAGATTCCCGTAGCGCCACACACCAGTGGCAGCGAACGCAAGTCTACTACTCGACGGGACACAACTCCAACAAGCAACGTTGATGACAGTTCTACTACCTCGGACGATACTAGTGATGAGTCTAGTGACAACTCTCGATCCGAGGCTGGGGCTGACGTCGCTGACGAAGAGGATGAAGACATCATCGAAGAACCATCGACTACCGCTCAGGGGACGAAACGACCTCTCGACACTGCACCAGAAGATGCTATGGTAAGGCCAAAGATCAAGAAAAATGTCGACGGTTCACGTCAACGTGTCAAAGCGAGCGATTTCGACGACATATCAAAAGAGATTCTTACCACTGCGACCTCCATTTTCCGCTGCCTAGTTGTTACTCGGGCACCGTTCCCTGACACTATAGCTGTCGAGACAAAACTGGCAAAAGAGGCCTGGCGTGAGGCAGGCCAAATCAAAGGCACCAATGTCAAATTAATGTTGGAGTACGAGTATGCAAGTCGTTACGGCCCGAGTAGCCGTGACGCAAGTACGATACCATTTTCTTATGTCTCGTTTCACTTTAGTTTACCTTTGACAGTATCTTGTTGCCACTGGCCAGACGTGCGACGTCTGGCAGACGTATATGATGCGCAGCTCGCGTCATCGTTTTCCCGCTGATTAGCATTCACTATATATTCACAGTAGCTATCTACCAGAGACCTCAGGCGTTGTCACTCAGTGTACGCGATCTGAGGTCAGTATATCCCTTAGCGCTTAGTCCCATTCATTTAGCTCACATCCTACTTAGAGTTCTATCTGTCCTACAGGTGAATATATAGGCGTTGTCACTCAGTGTACGCGATCTGAGAGTTCTATCTGTCCTACAGATAACGCATACACTAGGATACTAATTCTATAAGGTTATGAGCCCTGCGCTCTACTGAAAAGACCTTACCGCCTCACGCTTCCCCGCTAAACGATCCCAGAGACCTAGCCCACTATGTCCTCAACAGTACCAATCACCACAGACACCCTCCCGAGCAACGTGCCAAAGCTCGACGTGAAGGGAACAAACTGGGCGATATTTTCGCTCCGTTTCCAGATAGCCGTCGAGGCGAAGGAGCTGTGGAAGTGCTTCGATGGAACGACATCACGTCCTGTAGGGGTATCCACTACCGCCTCGGATGGAACAGTCACCGTCTCGCCCCCCGATCCTGTTGATTTAGCGAAGTGGTTAAAAAGTGAGAACACCGCGAAACACTTACTAGCCCAGAGAATCCCCGACTCCACAGTGCTACGTGTACGGACCCTAACCGACGTAGCTGCCATGTGGGCAGAGATCGTGCGCGAATACACCGAGAAGGGTGCGTACGCGCAGACCGACCTGCGTACAAAGTTCCTGGAGTCGAAGTGTGCGGCTGGTGGCGATATACGCCAGTTCCTCGACGATCTGCGCGCTAAACGAGACGAGTTAGCTGCCGTTGGCGTGATCATCGAGGAGAAAGATTACCGTTCTACCATCATCCAATCCCTCCCAAACCATCTTGCCAGTTTCGCGTCCAGCCAACTCGCGGCTGCTCGACTTTACAGTCCAACCCAGACCATAGACCCCGACATTCTGATCTCGTTGATAATCGAGGAGTCCGAGCGACGTAGTCGCAAGGACGTTCGTGGCGGCAATAGCCGCGGCACGACAAAGGGGAAGGATGGTGACGAGGCCCTATCTGTGGCCCCAGGAGACTTCTCCAGTCGAGGACGAGGCAATGGAAGAGGTGGGAGACGTGGAGGCTTCAATGGGCGTGGTAGACAGCGCCCGCCCTGCTGGAACTGCGGTTCCAGGGAGCACTTTAAGGCTGACTGCAAGCAGCCAGACAAGTCAGCGGGCACGACAGCTGTCGTCGTGCGTGGATCTGCTCACGTTGTGGACGACTACGACTCCGAGGAGGACGGCGTGTTCGCCGTCGACTCCATGTCAGAGCTGGACTCTGACATCCCCGATCTTCTCTCCCTGTCCGATTCGGACGACGACGACGAACGCGAAGCCTACGCTGCGAACGACGCAGACTGGTTCTCAGAAGTGGGAGGAGATGACGACGAGGATGAGCACATACCTGGTCCAACAGACGACGTTGAGCTCATTGCCCAGGCAAGCGATGAGCACGCTGAGACGCCAGTCGTCGAGCTCTACGACTCAGGCTCGACGAGACACATTTCTCCCTACCGTGATCAGTTTGAAACACTTACCCCCATACCCCCCAAGTCCTTTGCCGCCGCCAACAAACAGCGTTTTGACGCGACGGGCATCGGGAGTATGATAGTCGACGTGCCAAACGGCATGGACGTGTCGCAGTTGCGACTGACTGAGGTATTGTTCTCGCCAGAGGTCGGGTACACACTCGTATCGGTGGGGCGTCTTGATGCGCTCGGATTTTCCGTCGCCTTTGCAGATGGCGTGTGTACCATCCGCAATCCATCCGATGTCGTCGTTGGACGCATCCCAAGGTCCCCGCGTGGCCTGTACCGTGTAGTCCACGAGCAGGAGCCAGATGGTGCCAACTCCGCGGTGGAAACCATCACCGTCATGGAGTTCCATAGACGGATGGGCCACATAGCGCCGTCCGTGGCACGACGACTGGCTGAGAACGGCATGGTATCGGGAGTGAAGGTCGACCTGTCGTCTGGGGAGCCTGTCTTCTGCGAATCGTGCGTGTATGCCAAGGCGACACGCAAGCCGATCGCCAAGGAACGAGGGGGAGAGCGTGCCAAGGAGTTTGCAGGTGAGGTCCATACAGACCTCTGGGGCCCTGCACCTGTCGCAACGCTGGGTGGCCGTCGTTATTACATTAGCTTCACTGACGACAAAACCCGACTCACTTACCTTCACCTTCTACGCCAGAAAAGCGAGGCGTTCACGGCCTACAAAGACTTCGAGGCGTGGTGCCTTACCCAGCACAACGCACGCGTCAAGGTCCTCCACTCTGATAGAGGAGGCGAGTACCTGGGAAAGGAGTTCACCGTCCACCTGAAAGCCGCTGGCACTGAGCAGAAACTCACCGTGCATGACACCCCGCAACACAATGGCGTCGCGGAACGTCTGAACCGGACGCTGTTGGAAAAGGTGCGTGCAATGCTGCACGACAGCGGTCTGCCGCAATTCTTGTGGGGCGAGGCCGTTCGTCACGCAGTGTGGTTGAAAAACCGCACCCCCACCAAGGCCTTGGATGGAGGAACTCCCCTTGAGGCTGCAACAGGCAGGAAGCCTGACTTGCGGCGTGTTCGTGCATGGGGATCGCCAGTGTGGGTACGTGTAGAGGCTGGGAGTAAGCTGGGCGGTCGTGTGGAGGAAGGCCGCTGGGTCGGCATTGACGACTCCAGCAGGAATGGGTGCCGCGTTTATTGGCCGTCCAAACGGTCCATCACCGTGGAACGGAACGTCTACTGGGATTCCACCTGCGCTGAGGCGTTAGCTCGCGAGGGGGAGGAAGAGGAAAACTCACCTGGCGCGATGGTAACGCCCTCAGCTACACCAGACGAGCCACTCCCACATATCCCACTCAAATCCCCAATCCCTCCAGCCAATCCAGCTCCTAACGACCCCATCCATCCCACCGAGATCGATCCTCCATCTAGACGCATCCGCAAACCCAGTCAGCGCGTCATCGACATCGTCAATGCAAACGGCACCATACCTCGTGGAATCCAGCTGCCCTCCAGCGAGCAAAGCGACTCGCCAGCGAACGTCGAGGAAGAAGAGGCCGTGGAGAGGCTCTTGTCGATCATCGAAGATCCCGACGACGAGCTTGCAGGCCTTGATCTTGCAATGGCGATTGGTGAAGCGACCGCGGAATCTGAAGCGCTGGAACCAAGAACTTTGGCTGAGGCCAGACGTCGCCCAGACTGGGCACAGTGGGAGGAGGGTATAAGGGAAGAGTTAGCGACTCTCCAGGCAGCAGGAACATGGGAACTGGTTGACCTACCAGCCGGCGCTAACCTTGTGGGCTCCAAGTGGGTCTTCAGGGCGAAGAAGGACGCCGCTGGCAACATTGTACGCCATAAGGCGCGACTCGTTGCCCAAGGCTTCTCCCAGGTCCCAGGGATCGACTTCTTCGATACTTACGCCCCAGTCGCGACCCTCGCGTCCATCAGAACGGTGTTGGCCTTATCAGCGCGCTTAGACTATGAGCTGCATCAGATTGACATCAAGGGTGCGTATCTAAACGGAAAACTCACCCAGGACGAGGTCATCTACATGCGCCAGCCACCGGAGTTCGAGTCAGCCACACACCCCCGCAAAGTCTGTCGCCTCCGCAAGACGCTGTATGGCTTGAAGCAGAGTGGGAGGAGGTGGTACCAGAGGTTGGTGGAGATATTGGTGGACGGGCTGGGATTTGTCCAATGCGCGGTGGACCAGGCGGTATTCTCCAAGCGACGGGAGAAGCCCGACGAGCACACGATAGTCGTGGTGCACGTCGACGACTGCACGATTGCAGCGAGGACAATGAAGGAGATAATGGAGTTAAAGGAGCAGATTCGTAAGCACGTGGAAATCACTGACCTCGGCGAACTCCATTGGCTTCTGGGAATCGAAGTTGTTCGAGCACGTGACGAACGGATCATCTCATTATCCCAGCGTACCTACATTGACTCCATCATCCGCCGTTTCAACCTCGACGAGCTTAAGCCCGTGTCCAACCCCATGGAGCCCAGCACCAAGCTCCACTCAGGTCAGTCCCCTTCAACTGGACCCGAATTCGCGGCCATGCGCCACGTACCTTACCGTGAGGCAATTGGCTCCCTCATGTACGCCTCGTTGGGTACACGCCCCCGACATCTCGTACGCCGTCACCACTGTCTCCCGTTTTTCCAGCAACCCCGGCACGGCCCACTGGGACGCCGTCAAGCGTATCTACCGCTACCTCATCGGCACCAAGGACCTGAGGTTGACGTATGGAGGAGTGGAAAAGACGCTGGTGGGCTATGCAGATGCAGATGGGAGTATGGCGGAGGGACGGAAGGCAATATCAGGGTACGCATTCCTGATTGACGGTGGTGCTGTTTCGTGGTCGTCTAAACGCCAGGACATCGTTTCGCTCTCGACGACCGAGAGCGAGTACGTGGCTGCCACGCACGCTGCCAAGGAAGCCTTATGGCTGCGCTCCTTCATCGGCGAGCTCTACGCTCCCCTCACCGATCCCACCATCCTATTTTCTGACAACCAGTCCGCCATTGCGCTCACCAAAGACCACCAATATCACGCTCGCACGAAGCATATCGATATCCGCTTCCATTTCATTCGCTGGGTCGTTGAACACGACAAACTACGCCTTATCTACTGCCCTACTGCCGACATGGTCGCTGATACGCTTACCAAGGCGTTGCCCTCGCCCAAGGTCAAGCACTTCGCTGTCGAACTCGGGTTGCGTCCGACTTGAGGGGGAGTGTTGGAGTACGAGTATGCAAGTCGTTACGGCCCGAGTAGCCGTGACGCAAGTACGATACCATTTTCTTATGTCTCGTTTCACTTTAGTTTACCTTTGACAGTATCTTGTTGCCACTGGCCAGACGTGCGACGTCTGGCAGACGTATATGATGCGCAGCTCGCGTCATCGTTTTCCCGCTGATTAGCATTCACTATATATTCACAGTAGCTATCTACCAGAGACCTCAGGCGTTGTCACTCAGTGTACGCGATCTGAGGTCAGTATATCCCTTAGCGCTTAGTCCCATTCATTTAGCTCACATCCTACTTAGAGTTCTATCTGTCCTACAGGTGAATATATAGGCGTTGTCACTCAGTGTACGCGATCTGAGAGTTCTATCTGTCCTACAGATAACGCATACACTAGGATACTAATTCTATAAATTAACGCCGACAGCGGTCAAAATAGTAAGCCCTTTCTCTGAGTGCATTCTTGGTCTGATTTATACCTTATGAAGCTCTTAAAGCGCACATCGCATGTGCGCGGCGAACTTAAGACGAAGATGCGAACCCTGACTCATTCGTTTTTTGGGTTCCGGTCAAGTGATTCGAGGGAGGTGATAAGGCATAACCGAGATCTGGCGGAATCTCTGAAAGAGGGTTCGGCGTTTGTTTTCAAGGTACGCAGCGCAATGATCTACACTACCTTTTGAGTTCTGACTGTTGGGTAATAGGACTGGACAATGAAGAGGGGGATCTACAAAACCGAGTTGCTGCAAGAAGGCATCAACATCATGTGGTTTGTGAACCGAAAAGACGAGGGCATCATCTACCATGAGTATTTCAACCCCATGCCTATCAAGGTTGTTGCGCTCGTGCTTACAGCCGTGAGTTGTAGTATTCTTACATTAAAGTCAACAGCGCTGATCATTGATAGATTGAATGTTGTATCGACGAGTGGTTGCAAGGCCTGAAGGAGGATATAAAATTCACATCGGCTGCTTACGGATCTGTCTACAGAGGTCATTTGGGATCGTTGCAGCGCTTTCACGAGCGCACGGCTCCTTACAAACTACTCGAACGAATTTGCGACAATCTCCTTGACACGGCTCGGTACGTCACACTTAACTTTCACAAGCCCTAGCCTAATGTTTCTGCTTTAAGCTTCCATGCAGGTGTTGACGCACCCACTGCGTCGTCGGCCGCCTTCTGTATCGATGATAAAGCATTTGAAGATGCGATTCGCGAGCATCAGCTTGAAGAAGAGCGTGGTGTGGATGATAACGAGAGTTGAGGAGTAGTAGGGCTAGCGAGAGCAGCAGCTGAGGGGAATGACGAGGAGGATCGAGCGAGAGCAGCAGTTGAGGGGAATGACGAGGAGGATCGAGCAAGCTATTAGTTTTGTTAGGGCATTTGAATTTAATTGTTTCCGTGCTATTTATTTTGTGTGCTACTACTGTCCCTACAGTGTGCTATATAGCTGCTAGGAGCTGGTGGTTGTTGCTTGTAGTAGTTCTCCTACGAGCTACAGTAGTAACTGGTAGTGCTACATGATTCTATGTAGCACTACGTAGCACCATGTAGTACGACATAGTTGCCTCACTTGCTACATACTGGGCAGGTGGCAACCGGGCTACACGGACTACCCTGACTATATAGCACTACATAGTGAGCCGGCTTTTTCCTGATGTGGCCGGCTATTGATGCGTGGCGTGTAGGAAGCTATGTGATAGGTTCGTGGAGAGCCAGTCGGACAATGACGACGATTCTCGATCTAACGTTTCGCAGTTGCCGGCTCCGCTGGGGTAATGTACGATTGGGGTAAGTAAGATCACTCTTAAGAATGGCCGATATTTTTATGGTTTCTGCAGTCCTGACTTTCGGACAAGAGGTAAGTTGATGCCATTGTCGGAACATCCATCTCACCCGGAATGGTTTATATAGATTGAACTCGTCTGGGTGAGCAGAGTCACCTCATAAGAAGAACATGAAAATGCAATGAATTTGCGGCAGAGGCAACGCTGGTCACTTATGACCGTTCTGTATCTCAGTGTACGTAACTTGCGTTGTAAGTGTGGTCGGCAAGTCGGGCTGACTCGAAAATAATCTAGACACGCTATCTTGGAATATCATATGTTGTGTATGTTTGGAATGCTAAGAAATTGACACTGCACTAATAAACAATCTCCCATAATCAGCTTCCAGATTTTAGGTATGTCTCCTCATATTCACCATGTTTATTTCTTCTCACCGGCGGCATGCAGGGAACATTCAGACAATACCGCTGACAGATTCAGTGAGTATTCTGAACCAATGCTTGCCATTCCCATCTTAATCAACTGCACTCCAATGCAGGGGTGAGTCTAATTCTTGACCAGCTGGTGCAATATAATGACTGCCGCAGCTGTGAGTTTCTTTGAGTGTGTGAGTCTCCGAGGCTGATTACAACTGGATTTGTCAGGCCTGATTGTATCCACTGCACAAAATTGGGTGGGTATTGTTGTGAGTGCGATGCTGGGCGGTGAGCTATGTAGCTACAGCGTGTCAGTGATATTGACTTAACAGAAACATCACTCAAGTCATCATGGTCACTCGATTACACGCCATGTATCAACAATCCAGAAAGGTGCTGATACTTCTCGTTGTAGTCTGCCTGGCTGCCAACGTCGGCGGCTGTGTTCTCAGCGTCATAGTCACAATGGAGTCTTCAGCGGGTAAGCTTGATTTTGGATGAAAGACTTACATGCACCAGGCTTATTGATGGAATGCCAGAGGAGCTCATTCTCTCCGGTAGCTATCTGTGCACTGGTCACGCACTTAAAGGAAATCTCCGACTTCTGCCTCCCATTACTTGGATACTCGCCATTGTATGGGAGGTCCTTGCGTTATGTCTCGCAATCTGGATTGCTGTAAAACACTTCCTTGAATTGCGACGACAGTCGACAGGAGGAATTATCGGAGACTGTTTCACGGTGTTGATAAAATCACACGTTGCTTACTTTGCGAGGTGAACTAACAATGCCAATGCGGTCCCCCTCTTCCGCTGAAGTTCTGCACCTCTTAGCTTTCTTGCTGTTTCTTGCTTCATGATTGGCGGAGAGTTGTCTCCAACGTTATCAGGGGTATGTTATTCTGTCGATGACATTCTGCATGCAACGGTTCATCGTTTCTACAGGACATATATTCCCTGTACACCCAGATTTATTATGGTTTGCTTCAAATTTTCGAGGTCGTGCAGCTTTGTGTGCTAGGACCACGCCTCATCATTAGCGTTCGAGAATATCACGCCAAGCTCGTGGCCGACTCCGACGCAGCAACTGGCATGACTTCAATTGCTTTCCAAGAGCGTGTGCATGTGTCAACTAGCAGTAGCGTGTAGGATGGGAAATGTTCGAGGCGATTACCACTGGTCGGGTACTCCTGATCAGGTGCTATGTGGGGAGCGGGGAGGATTTCTTGTGGTTCCAAATCTCGTCACTGTACTTGTTTATTTATGTAAGTGATATTCACAATATTTGACAGAGAGGTGGGTCTAGACAAACCGACCCATACATTGTTCCATCGCTACGTCTTTGTTCCAAGTTTCGTCGCAGTACTTATTTATTTGATGTTCCTAAGTATACTTAAGAAGGCGGTATGCATAGACAAACCGATACATATCTCGTCACATCGATGCGTAACTCCCAGCGAGTTGAATTAGTTAGCCACTCACGCTCGCACCGAGCGGTAAGCTGAAATTATTTGGAAGGGTCGCAATCTTACTTGAAATACAGTCGTTGAACTAGTTGCCGTCCCATCTTTCCTGTGTTATGACACCGTAATGCACAGATTCATAGTGGAGGCGAGTTACATGCCACCCATCAATCTCGACTGTGAGAAGGGTTGGGAGGGTGGAGAGATGTCACCATGCAGCCAAGTCGAGTGGTGCACAAACGGGCGTAGTCGGACACCAGGGATAGCTCATCTGCTGTGTACTCAACAAGGATCTTGACGGATAAACTCTCCAAAGCAGCCCAACAGGTCGCAATAGCTTTCAAATCCTGATAACTGACGGTTGACCCATAGCACTGTAGATAGCAGAATCAATTGATTTCAGTGTGTTTGTGAATCAGTAAACGCAATATGGATTGAGATGCTCAAATGACAGGAAACTATGAGGTAAATATCTACTGGAAATCAAGTACTTCAAAGCGCTGTAGATGTTCACACTTGACGATGCTCTCGTGACCCGATTGCGACATCGTATAAGTGGGCCTCATTTCGAACATCAGCAACGTTACCCTGTTTGCCTCCATGTTCATATCCGTTGCAACGAACTTCTCCTCAGTGGTCGTCTGAAGATACGGAAGACCAGATCCAAGAGGCTCCAAAAACAGATTCGAGCTTGTTGTCTCCCCTTCGATAAGTTGCTGATTGAGTCTAGATCCGTTCCCAGCCTTGAAGTTCGCCACTCGATGAGGGTTGAAGTCGCGAATGCGTAGTGGTCGCGGCTCACGCTCCGACATCCGGTCCCCGACCAAAGATACAGACCGAAAGCCAAGTACGGAGTGTTTGCAAGGATCGCGCGAGCGCTCCACGAATGACTGGGTGTGATTTGGACCCCAGCTGGACCAAGGAAGACTAGGGGAGTCTTCAGTTGCTTTTCCATAGCGACTCGTATAGGTTGACTCGAGTTGCAAGAGAGTATCGCGCTCGACGAAGAGTGTGAAACAAGGATCGATGGCGAAGCCCCCCCCTGAAATGTTCATGCTGAAAGCGATGATTTGGTTGTGTGTGTGGGCGGGGAAAGGAATGGGGGTGAAGTTGAGATCGCTGTATTCAAAGGGACTCCGCAAGGGTGGGAGGGAGAATTTGGCAGTGATCTGGAGGGAATTGGAGGAATGGACAAGGGAATATAACGATAGTTCCCTGGCGTTGGCGACGAGAATGTTTTCGTTCGTCAGGAAGATGAAGTCCTTCGTGTCGTCAAAAGCTTCGATGCACTACAAGTCCAGTTAATTCGTAAGTCACAATAACGACGTCAGGAGATTCACTGACCTGAAAGGCGTCCTTTGACTTCCAATTCCAGATCTGCAAAAAATGGGCCGCTCCATTCGCTCTGATGGCATTTCTGAATAAAACACCATAATAGTCCCCAAAGATCGAGGATTTTTGAATGAAGAAGTTGAACAACTCCAGATCAACCTCGTTGTTGAGTGCTTTGAGGACAGGTGATGCCGCTTCCGGATGGACGTTATCCTCTGAAAGGGATCTGAAACTGATATCAAACGCGTGATTCGCCCTTGACGTCCGTTATATAGATTGTCTGTGATACGACTTGAAAAAACCACTCACCCCTGGGGTGCTTCGGCAGTGGAAACCACGAGATCCTGCGCAGGCGAAAAATTGAAATGGGGGAATGGGCTGTCGACTTGGCAGCTCCACTGACGCATTGTTGGGGCACTGGAGTGGCCATCTGCCGGTTGGGGCTGGAGAAATATTATTCGCTCGATTTGTTCGACTTGGAGTCCCAGAAATGCGACTGGGAATCCCAGAACGCCGGACGACCATCGGTACATAACCAGAGGGCACTGGACAGGGTCCAGGGCGTTCGATGAGTACTGAGCATTCTGCCATGCAGATTCTCTTTGTCGAAGCGACTGACGGAGTCCTTGGACGTCAGTATCGACCGAACCACGCACAGTGACCGGAATTGCGTTAAAATATACGAGGTCGATTGAATACAGAAACTCCGAGGAAGAGTCAATCGCTTGTTGAACATAACTGCATATCTGAAGAGACTTGAGTTAATTTTTAAAAATATGAAATTTTGCCCTTACTTGACGAGCCCGTACGAGTTCGTACACATCTAGATGGCCGAAAATCTTGAACAAAATTTCGACAGGGCAGTCTAATAGTGTTAGGGTGGCTTGATTTAATTCGCTCATGGTTGATGATTTGGTACTGCCAGTGACCCGGATGTGAGATTCACTTGCAAGAATGTAGGACAGATCACACGAACCTTTCAAGTTGCTGGGTTGCAGTTTCGGCAGAAGCAATGACGAGGTCAAGGATGTGCAGTTAATAAATCGAGTAGATATCGACGACAACTGGGATGGATTTCTTGTGGAGGTGGACCATTTTATACGCTGTGAATGTAAACGCGGATAACCGTCATCGATCGTTTATCCGCATACCTTGTTTAGGAAATCCGGGTAACACCACAGGGGCTAACAACACGTGAGCATGGTTTGAGTATGATGTCATCCTTGAACTTGAGGGGTATACCGTAGACTACAAGTTCATCAGAATGAAACACGATAGAAATGCTGAGCTCTGGGAATGATATTCATGCTGGAAGCCTCATCACTACGTGATAGAGAATACAGTAAGTGACCAACATCGGTTCCTCGTAGCGCAATTAATTGACTGCGTCTTCAAATTCTTTGGGGTCCTTTGCAATTTCAAAGCGTCCAACAGCCACAAAAAGATGATCTGGCCAGTCCTGTGATCATTGACATATCAATATAATAGCCACTGAACAGAATGTGGCCCAGCGTCGGTGGCGTTCCGGGCCGTATTTCTTCACCGAACTCTTCAGCTGCGTAGAGCGCAGGTCTGCCAAGCCAGGGTTGCTGAGTTGGGCCGCTGAGGAGTAAAAGTCGAGGGTATCGTCTATGAGCGAGGAGCAGTGTGAGTGTTGATCGAATGAAACAGGAAAATGTGGAAAAAGTGCGTGTCATAAGGCAAGGCGAGTCTGAATGTGCAAAACGGAATGAATACTGCAAGACGTGTGCAATGACGAAGTAAAGAACGAGCGGACAAGTCAAAAAGTATACGAACACACACCTGAAATGCAATTCCTCCCGTACGCATACCATATTGGCGCGATGGTGTTGCACAACGTTTTCTAAATCTGTCGGAACCTTTCAACAGCGCCATGGGATAACCACGAACCAGTCATCAATGTTACCGGAGGCCTGCAGGTGTATCTGTGGTATCTCAGAACCAAATTGTGAAACTAAAATTGACGCTTACCTTGGCACCAAAAACCAGTCATCACTAATATCTGCAGCCTTTGTTCAAGGCTGTAAATTTCGCTGATTTTACACGACCCGACGAGCATCTCGCAACTAGCACAGGAACTTGAGCACTAGTGCAATACATCCAGCAGCTGCTGGCTCAGAATTTGAATATTTTTATTTTAAGCCGCAAGATTGAGTAGACTCATCCCCGGGAATTTGGGCAGATGTCGTCAGTAACACAAGACTATATAAGGGAATAAATTCCCACTCTGATGCTTCCAACCACCAGAAACCTTGTGGGAGACATGTCAGACGTCCATCCTTTGTCGATGATCTCGGCTATAGTCGTAGTCAACAATTGTCGCTTTTTTCACAACTCTTTACCAAACCTAGGGCCGGCTGACAGACTGTAACATGCATCAAGCGGTTAGTCGTCCTCGTTTGTTGGTACCTGCGCACTCATTCCCTGCCTGTATATGCAGCGTCTATGAGATGTCACGCTAGCCTTCGATAGGACATGCTGCGCACGTCAACTCAAGTCTCATGTCATGTTGATACACCTTTATACGGCATGTACTAGGGCTAGAAATGTGATAATTAAATAGATATCCACCCTCTGATAAAAATCGGGAGGTCATCATACTTGACCTTCTTCACCATGGACCTAGCACACGGAGCTTTGGTTGTGGCTCTCCTTGCGATAATCAGTATCACGACAAGTTTTAACAAGAAGAAAGCGCGAAGAAACCTCCCTTTGCCCCCTGGTCCAAGGCCCCTGCCTATCCTTGGCAACTTGCATCGCATGAATACAGTCTTTCCTTGGATCACATACAAAGAATGGAGTGATATCTATGGTCTGTTTTCCCTTTTTGTTCGACATACGATATCTGACAGAGTTTCAGGCGACATTATATACTCTCGTATCCTCAACCAGGACGTAATCATCTTGAACTCTGAGAAGGTAGCACGAGCGCTTCTTGAGAAGCGCTCTGGCAACTATTCTGACAGACCCCGTTTTGCTACAATGGAATTGCAAGTAATACGATGCATGCTTTTCAAACCTACTCACACTATTTGTCTTAAAGGTTTGGTATTGCATTCAGGACAGTGATGCGAGGCTACGGTGATGCTTGGCGCAGGCACAGGTAAGCATATATTGTACACTCCTTGGCTTGCTCCTGCATTAAATATTTTAGACGAATATATCATCAAGCCTTCCGCCCTGAAGCCGCTGTGATTTACAGACCTATGCAGCTCCGCAAGGCGCACCAGCTCTTGCTCAATCTTTTCCATGACCCCGCTAAATATGAAATGCATCTGGAAACTCACTCGGCATCCATCGTCATGTCTGCTGTTTATGACTATGACACGAAGCCCGATGATCCCCTCGTTTCCATGATTCAGGGGGCAATGCATAGAATCATTCATGCTGAGACTCCAGAAAAGGCGGCTATCATTGATTCCTACCCTGCCTGTAAGTATTGTTCACATTGCGAGATTACCTTGATAGAACGCAACCGTAGTGACCTTAATCCCTGCCTGGTTTCCTGGAGCATCATTCAAGCGACATGCTTTGGAACTGAAGAGCGTACTCAAGGATATGGTTGAGAAACCATTCGAATATGCGATTGACAGAATTGTAAGTTCATATCTTTCTTGGGCGCGTGACGCTCTGCTTAGGTGTTTAGTCCTCTGGGTTGTCTTCCCCCTCCATGGTCTCCGAAGGACTCGCACGATTTCAAGGCGATCCGTCCTTTGAGTTGGCCATTAAAGAGTCCAGTGCAACTGCATTTGGGGGTTGGTTTATTTATCCTCCTCATGCAACCTTCGACTGACTGTGGTATCAGCTGGTTCCGAGACTGTGAGCTCGCAAGCAACTTTGCTTGGGAGAAACCTCGATTGACTTTGCCTAACAGACACATTCGGTCGTACTCGTCTTTGTACAAGCGATGGTTCTCAATCCAGAAGTTCAGAAACGTGCTCAAGCAGAAATTGATCGTGTCGTAACAGCTGACAGACTCCCCGACTTTGGTGATCGTGATTCTATGCCATACATCGAAGCTATCCTGCGCGAAACATTGAGGTTCTATCCGATTGTACCTCTCGGTAAGGCGCTCGTGGAAAGTGTATGGTTCCCGATCCCTTGACGAGCATTCCCTTAGGCGTCCCTCATGCTGCTGTGAACGACGACGTGTATGATGGATACTTTATCCCCAAAGGTGAGCAGGGAGCTTGAGTGACAATTCCTTACCTTACATTGTCTCAATCAGGAACATCTATCCTGACGAATGTCTGGTACGAACAAAATCAATATCTAACTCTTCCCTCTCACAATCGCTGTGTTCCCAGGGCAATGACACACGACGCCACGAAATACCCTGCTCCTTTCGAATTCAAGCCCGAACGATTCTTCACACCCTCTGGCGACCTGAACGACGACCACGTTACTCCCGTTTGGGGATGGGGCAGACGCATATGCGTGGGGCGTTACGTTGCAGATGCGACTTTATGGTCTGCGATCGCTTCCACGCTCGCTGTCTTCGATTTCTTGAAAGCCACGGACGCAAATGGAAAAGATATCAATTTTGAACCTCGGTGGACTTCCGGAATTATGTCGTATGTATCTCCTACAGGTACTTGCGCGCATGGCACTGACAACTTGCAGGCGTCCCGTGAGCTTCCCATGTCGGATTGTCCCTCGACGACGTGACATGGATGTGGAGAAACTTACATCCCTGATTAGCGCCACTGCGTGATTGTGATTTCTACATGTACATTTAATTTTCTGGCATGTAACAATCTGGGTTGTAACATATTCTCTTGGTTTTATATTCGCAGAAGTGCACAACAAGTGCGCTGTCTATATCGGCGTCGATGAATTGCAATGCTTAGCTAGTGGCGTAGAGTTCCGAAATTCGAAGCAAGGTGATCCAGTGGATCACACCAGACGTGAGTCAATCGGAGGATAACCTTTCGGTCATTTCTGATCATTGGACATTAGCAGTCGTGGTGTTCATTGAGATCCTCGCTTATTCGACTTGCAAGTTCACACCAAAAACATTCAAACTTTACACCTCTCCTTCATGATTATTCGCACAACAATCATACAATCGGCTCCGGTCAAATACCGAGACTGGATTATACATGGCAGGCGCCGCAGTGTTTCAGCACTTGCACTCTCCTGGCTTGCATGCACACCTGCACATTATGATTCAGACTTCGTGCACAAGACGAAAAGACAGTGTTACTCACGAGTCGCCGCAATTGCAGCTGCTCGAGCCACACGAGTTTTGAGAAACAGGGACTTGAGTGACCTGAAAGATTGAGATAAGATACGAAATGCACTGCGAGAAGCCAAGCTTACAGCGTTCATGTTGTAATGGATGGGTTGATGGTGTTGGATTGTCGTTCCTGCTAACAATACGAGTCCTTTATAGTTCGACGTGTGTGGTCTTGTTGGCGATTGCTTATAAGAAACAATGTTCGGTTTCTGTGGTGTCTTTCCCTCCCTGGTTGATCTCTGCCATCATCCATCAGATTGTGCAGCACACGTGTATTGATTTATGTGCTTCCAAGGAGTCACTCGTGTCCGCCATCATGAACTTTAACCCCTAAATGAGACGAATCATTTGTGAGGGACAGGGATCAAGGTCATACATACATGCAAGGCTTAATAAATACGACATCTCCCCTAATTTCCCCTGATCCATGCCATCACAAAGTGACATCTTCGCCACCCTGAAGCCAAGGTTGGCGCCCAGCATAGCAAATTCAACACAAAGCAAAGAGTCATGAGGTCGTCCTTATTACATATAATAAAGTCCGCCGATTGCGCCCGCAGACAGAGCGAAGCGCTGAGTGCACGAAGACCATAGCTGAGTAGGTGATGGTGAGCAGCGCACTAGGGTAAATAGCGTAGTACAGGCCCCGTGGACGGTTGTCTGTAGGCACGAAGTTCAACATCGAAATGATTAGATGAGAAATCGCGCAGCCACATAAGCCGCTTCTAGTACGGTAAATGAGCGCACGAACCACCAAATGAAACAAAAGGCCTACATACCAAGAACGTCCAGACTCCGCTCGTTTACATATCTTGGATTCTAATCGTTCGATACGAACAGAAAGCGCAATTCGCTTGTCCGACGCTGCGGTCTAGTCCTCCTGCAGGTGTTTTCGTCTGGCCACCTGGTAGCACGGCCGTGGAATATTTTACCAGCGGGAGTTCGTTACTGACATAAGACACGTTGCAGCCTGTCGAGGACCATACTTGAAAGAGCCTGAACTTGGGAACAACTTTGGCGAGTCACTGAGACTGGACGACGACCGTCCGACAACCCAGTCCGAGCTGGATCTGAAGTTTAACACGCTATAAAAGTATTTGAAGTATGTGTGCCAGACATTGACATTGTGTACATAGAATCAACCTTCTTGCTAGTTTAGAAGACAGCGACGGGGTGTGGACTCGGACTTCTGCGTAAAAGCCGTGGGAAATTAGAATGTCAAAGTTCAGCGGAGCGGTATGCAACATCGACATCGACATATACTGTTGCTGCCCAACAATCGCATATCAAACAAGGGTTAAACAAAGTTATCTATAGTTGGTTGTTGAAATCGCAATTCCCCTCGAGAGTGTTGTTGTATGAGCTTCGCAGTATCCGGGTCGTGTACGATAAAGCACCAGAGCTCTTCAGCAGCTCCCGTCATATCCCTTAATGTCTGTGTGAGCTCTTGCGCTTGGAATAACAATTTCCTGGCCCCGTTCTCTTGCATGAGTTCTGCCTCCAACGTTCGGGCTTGCAAACTATATCCTTCTAAATGTTTCAGAGCGTCTGAAATGATTGATAGGCGGAGTTGATAATCATGAGAGTTCTTCGTCAGAGTAGAGTAGAGATGTTCGAAATAGTCCTCAGCATGAAGAGCCGTTGTCTCTACCACTGCCGTCTGAATGTCTTGTATGCGTTGTCTAGAAAATTTATTGATCATTGTTGGAATAGGGAAGCAACGGGAGCCCAAACACATACTGTAAATCGATCCGATGGACAGGGCTATCAGGCGGTGATGTCTCGTGTTCAGGAACTTGGTTCTGGCTATCGGGCAGAGATGTCGCTTGTTCGGTGACATGACTCTCAGGCTGTGGGGAATGTGCGGAGCTTGGCATTGATAAGTGGAGACAGAACTACACAAGAACACTGCGGTAACTCACAGCTGTGTGGCCTTCGCAGGCTCAGACTTTGATCTACCGAGCTTACCCGCACGTCGTGCTTTGTATTTGGCTGCCATTTTCACGCTTATTGTTTTTTTGTTCCTGTAACGAATGTCAGTTGATTACGACACAACACTAGACTGGTCTCTGAAGAGTGACCTTTCATAATAATCCTGTCTATATTTTCGCGCAGCAGCTGCCCTTTCTTCCGCCGTTGCATGAAGGCGGGGTCGACCCATTAAAAATACAGGGCGATGTGAGATGTGGAGTCGACTTCGGTGTGGGTTGCAAATTCATGAGATGCACTACATTTAGTTATGGGAGATTTATACTATAATTTGTAGGGATACTACAAAATGTCGCCAGTCACAGAATGTGACAGTGTGTCACAAAAAACGGCATGAAGTTCGAATTTTGAACGGAAGTCTATGGCAGGACTTAGTTACCGATTGATTAGTTCTCTTAGAAGATCTGATCAGAAACTACAGCTGTAAATTTACCAGGAAGACCGACGCCGCGACTTGATCAAACAACCTACAAAGATGTACCCATTTTGCTTGGCATGACCTGTTGTGGCATGCCGCGTTGCCCTGGTGTGTCCTTGTTCCAATATCCGTGCCCTCGCTTGATGGTCGATGAGGCTCCAAGCTGATGCAATCCATGTGTCGTCTTGGTTGGAGAGCTGTGTGTGGGCTGTGACGAGCTGTGAGCGCCAGCCAGCTGGGTCTTTCGGGCTACCCCGGCCCGTGGAACTGCGAGTTAGAACGCGGTAACCAAGTTGAACTGTACCTCCTCAACCTCCTTGACATATCATCCCTGGCTAGGATTTGATGCCCATGGTCATCCTTTGACCGCTCCAATTCGAAGGGTCTAGCCCCACCATACCCTGGACAGGTTGAAGAGTGGGGAAGTTGAAAACTTGAAATTGAGTGTGTGTCGAATATCCTAAGGTGGAGTCGTCAGAGTAGGCGGTGCTAAGCACAGGAGGACAGGCCGCGCGTCATGGCGAAAGTGGAGCACCAAGCAATCTTTGGAGGTGTTAATCTCCTGGAGTCGTAAAGGAGCAACAAGAAGGTAGGAGAATATTTCTATGACATCATGTTTCTCACGGCGTAGGCTCTTCCAGACTATGACATTTCAAGGCGAGCTGGACATAGCAAGGTACCTGTATCATTCCCATTGCAATCGTTCGAACAGTTCCAGTTCATACCGCAGCATATCCCATCAAACAGAAACACGAGCTTTTATCCTCTGTGAGTAGCATGTCCCCTGCAAATTCCGTAATTCAAGGGGCTTTGAGCTAGTTTGTGCCATTAACATTGTCAAATACGCGCCATAGGGCTACCATGAATACTAACAAGATTCTCGATAGTGAAAATCGCATGCAGACGCCTACCCAGCAGCAACACCAGCAAAATCAAGTTCACCCCCCTCCCGGTACATCACGCCGTCCACTGCCATCCATACAAGCTGGCCATCTCCAGTTCCTCCCTTCGAGCTCTCCTGGGGTCCAGACAAAAGGCCAAGCTCCGCATGATGCGTCTGGGACGTTTGTTGCCATTAGTCCTCACCCAAGCGCATCGCAAGGAGGCAACATACCTCCATCCTCATCCGTAGGAAGTCCGCAGCAGCACTACCCACCATCGTCATTCCAGCAGAATCAATATCCGGGACAATACACGTTATCCCAGCAGCCCCCACAATTCCCAACCGCGCACCCACAACCTTATCCATACACACACGCTCGTGGATATGCACCACACTTTCCTCTAGAATCTGGCCAGTATCAACAAAATCCACTAGGCTTCCGACCCATGATGCAGGCGCACTCACCACATGATGCGGGTGGGCGTTCCTATCCGTCTGGTGGTAATTCGGGAATGTACTTCACTGCACATAGCCCCACGGGTCACTCTCCGCTACCTGTACAGCAGCCTCCTCCGGGCGCCTCTGGTTCACATAGTACATTGCAGTACCAGTCTGTGCGCTATCCCAGTCCATACACTCCTTACCGTTACAACAATGCATATCAGCCAAATCCATACCAGTGGTACTACAGTTCACCTGTCCCACCTGAATTTAACGAGAGGATCCACATGCATTATCAACATCAGTACCCAATACACTTTCCACCTCTGCAGGATTCTCCTTCGACAGACTTGGAGACACGTTTTTCGCAAGCCTCTATTCATGGCGGACCTGCTTTACCTGTGCAGTCGACTGCTCCACCCGCGGTTCTGTCGGCAAGGCATCCACCTCAGGTACCTCAGGCTGTGTCAGCTCCCCCACCATCATCGGCTCCCGTGTCGAACTCTCCCGCTATGGTCACCCGCTCCGAACGTGCCCCATCAACAGTTACTACTCCACCTCGCCCTCGTTCTGAACGTCCCATTGTACGTCGAGTTTATCATCCCAATCCCCCCTCCCATAGATCCGAATGGGTGATGTGGATAGGGAATGTTCCAGGTGGTACCACCCATGACGAACTCTGGAAATTCTTGAAGCGCTCTCCTTCTATGGACAATGACTCGTTTGAGTCTGAAGACAATGGTGTTCTATCAATTTTCTTAATCTCCCGGTCAAACTGCGCATTTGTCAACTTTGACACGGAAGTGCACTTACGGTGCGCAATTGTGCGGTTCAATGGGCAACAGCTCCATCCACATGAACGGCGGGGTCCACGACTTGTTTGTCGAGCACGTCGCAAAGAGGATGATCTGCGTGCTGGGGTAGGTGGGCAACGGGGAGTGGGTGTGCACACTCGCTATATCCGTGAGCAATCTCAGCAGGGACAAACGGATAAGCAGGTTGCACCAAGTGAAGACGATCAGTCATCACCTACCGATCGCTTTTCGAACATATCGAGTGAGTCAGGACATCCACTAGCCGTGCCTGTGCCATTACTGTCAAGTGATGAGGAGGCTGCCCGAGCCCGCCCAAGTTTGCAATTCGGAGGCAGTGTCAAGGCTCAATCAAATAGTTCCTATGCGTCGACGAACTCTAGCTTTTTGTCAAGATATTTTCCGAAACGCTTTTTCATTCTGAAGTCTTTGACGCAGGTTCGTGTTTCAAGAGGATTACAAGTTGTGGTTTGTTTATGATGTTTTTGACCTTGTAGTCCGACCTAGACTTGAGTGTTGAAAACGGATTGTGGGCAACTCAAAGGCATAACGAGGCCATTCTTGACCAGGCTTACCGCACTAGCAATGAAGTTATCTTGATATTTAGTGTGAACAAGAGCGGAGAGTTTTATGGATATGCACGGTATGTAATGTTCTCTGTTTTTTCCCAGTACTGATTTCAATGACCTCAAAAGGATGGCCAGTCGGATATTACGGGGCGAGCACAAAGTTTCGTGGGCATCGCATGCAGACTCTTCGACGACCTCTCTTTCCTCGTCTCGGCGCGAGCACGGCAGTCCTAGCCTAGTTGCTACTAATCAACCCTTCTTCACGCCATCAGAACACCGTCTCGTCGAGGAGTCGCCGATGCCTTTCACTCCATATTCTGGAGGGTTGCTGAGCAATAAACCTTCTCCCATGGAGCCACACCGAGCATCTGCACCAGCTGCACTCGGACCTCGCCCGCGGCGGGAATTTTCGGCAGAGCCACCAACTCCTCTCAGTGACAGCGGGAATGTTAGGTTAACTGCCAGATTAATATCCAAGGATTTTGCAGATTCGACTCCCGACATTGTGCTCGACAAAAATGCGCCCGTCCGGGCGGTACGGAATAAGGGGAGCACAGATGGCACGAAGTCGGTGGGATCTGCCTTGCAAGCTGTGGAAGAAGAGAATAACAGTATAAGTAGCGATGATGGCGACGCTGGGGAAGAACAGCTGAAAGATGACGCGATGCCATCGATGACAAAGAACGTTGGGGACGAGGAGCAACAGGGTTGGGGACAGGCATTCAAGGTGGAGTGGCTCTGCACTGACCGTCTTCCTTTCCATTGCACTCGACACCTTCGTAATCCTTGGAACCATGATCGGGAGATCAAGATCTCGCGGGATGGTACGGAGGTTGAGCCAGGGGTGGGTCAACAGCTTTTGGAACAATGGCAGACACTCACTGCTGCGCCAACGGTAACGGACACAACCAAGTCGACCGCCGCGATACATTAACGTACGGCCAAGCCCATGTCAACGCTCTCATCGACCGCGGTAAACTCAGGGCACAGTGGGGAATCATTATGATTGACACGTTTACACGGTCTCAAGACCACGAGAAATCACAGCAGGCGCTGCAAATCATACGTAGACATACACCATTCATTTGACTCATTCATTCTCATCTTCACTTCATCTTCAGACATTTTACGACACAAATATGTATACTTGAATATTCACGCGACAAGAATTATCTGTTTTTAGTTTAGTAATCTTTGTGGGGCTTGTGTTTTGTGATACTGGGTCCAGTTTTCCTATCACGCCTGTCATGCAGCGATACTTTCTTATTAGCATATGTTATATACGCGTATGATAAGGGTCTCCCGTAGTCCGGCGAGCGGGTTTGGCGGGGTGATCGCGTTTGAGTTTGTGTGGTCGCCATTGCACACACCAGGCGAAGGCGAGTTTAAAACTCAGCTGGGCGTTGCCATTTCGGTGTTGCTTTGTCCAGCTGAGGTAACAAATCACTGATCACCAACCGCTCTTTTTACCTCTCATGCGATCTCAGCTGACTGTGCTACAAGCTGGGGCCTGGGCCGCCCAGGTTCTAAGATTGTCAACAGAACGCACACAACTTGGGACCGATGATCACACCGAGTCTTGAGTCCCAACGAGCTGGTCCAGGCGTCAGGTCTTTACAGATGTCACCGAACGAAAACCGGTCCGTAATCTACCTATGACGAGCCCTAATGGCTACATATTGATCGCGAACCTACCTCTTACAAATAGGACCCACAAGTTGGTCTCATGTTCACGATCTCCATTTGATATTTTAGCTAGTGTGCGTTGCAGGCTATCCTAGGCTATAATCGGTGTCCGATCGCCAGGGAACAACTTTGACGGAAGGCGTCTAGCAGATTCACTGCCCATTCGATCGGAATTTAAAAGCAGTATCACATTTAGGAGTCCTGCTCGTCGTAGCTCCAAGTGGCATATATCTGAGGTACGTACGCGAGCAATTAGTGCAGGTGAGACCAACCATTATGCAAACGCAGCCCTGAGCATGCGTTGATTATAAGGGTCCACGGCATGTACTAACATACTTCTGATATAGTATGTAATAATGTAGACAAAGGTAATGTCCAACGATCCATCATGACAGACATCAGATCTCAGACACCGACCTTTGCGATATCGAATCGTGCCAAGTCTTGACCCAATCCGTCACTCGACCCGCAAGTAACTTACCCTCTTCGTCTCGCTTATCCATATCGATACCTAACCTACCCCTCCTACGCATTTCCGCTTTCGCATTCTTGCCCAGCGACCATGCGTCCTCCACAGCAGAAGCCCACTCGCCAGTCTCATAAGCCTCTCGAGAGATTTCGATTCCAACTCCTTCCCGTGCGAGTAGCAGCTTCAGGCCATGCTCTTCCACGAAAATTGGACGTGCGACATAAACGAAAGGTGTGCAAGAGTCGACGCATTCCGAGACTGTCCCATATCCCTTTGGAAAAGCCATTAGCCAAGGAAAACAGCATCAAGGGGCCACATGACATAACGTACTAGTTTCCCAAGCAGAACATCTGCAACAGCTGTCAGATCGGGCATGTAGACGTATTTTGGGGCGACAAAAAACCTGTCGGGCGGTTTTTCGTCTGCTTCATCTTGCCCCCATTTTGATACTCCACATACAATCGCGATCCAAGACGAGTCCGGTAACAGCCGTGCATCGAGGTTGTCTATAGCATGATCGAGCGTTATATCCGACGCAAACGCATCGAAATATGAACGGGCGACGTTGTTCTTGAAACAAGACTCTGTTTTGGTCAACATCGCGCATATATTGTCACATGTAGGGCTAGGCACGGGCTTGATGACAGGAGGGCGAGATGGCGTTTCCATTTTCCTGAGAGCGTCACCACAAGGAGGGATCTCGGACAGTGGACTATCATGGATCTCTGCGGGAGAATGGTTTCGAGGTGTTCTGCTCCCTGGACTTGAGTGACCAGTGCTGCTCCCGCGACTGGAAGTTGGCCTCCGGAAGACCTGTCCGCCAAATGATACAATTAGGATCTTTGTCTCATCCGGATTGTGTAAGTGTTCAGGGACACCAATCGACGAAAGAAATTGGGATCGACCAACAGGGGAGTAAACTGTGTCTGGACTATTGGTAATACCACGAACAAGAAGGGGAGCTTGGATAATGCTACGCGCAAATGGTTTCTTCGTGTGCGAATCAGCGAAGGGTATCGAAGAATGGAGTGCATATGCAGTGGGTTCCTGGACAAGATGAGCCACGATATCATCTAGGATTGTATTGTTGTCCTGGTCAGTCCAGGGTGGCGCCGGTAATGACGGGGAGATCGAGAACGATGGAATAGGTATGCATCCAGGAAGTCGAACGAGAAGGTCTGCGCAGCGATAACCATAATATATTTGTTGAACCAAGGGCTTAAGCTCTTCGTCTGAGATCGGATAGTCCGGAGCGAGGTTATCAATCGCAATTTCTTCTCCTAGAGGCGCATTGACATCGACTTGGTCCGTAAATGTTGTTGAAAGGTAGCTGTATACGGAATCGAATGTGAAATTTGAGATAAGGATGGATGGCAAGCCCGCGGCATTTGCGGCTTCACTGGATAATTGATAAGCACAGGGTATGCTATGTGGAATTCTGAGCTCACCATCCAAGGAAGGCAGCGTCACTAAGGACACAGTCAACCTGTATGTCAAAGAGCCAATGCTTCTCTTGCGCCAGAAGAGATTCCTTGCGTGCTAGAAAGGACCTGAGAGCTTCAACACTCCTGTGACGGTCGACTCGGTATCTGATGGTGTAGCAATGAATGGGATGAGCTAATTGTAGGTTAAACCCACTCACGCCACGGGCTGCACAACGACTGGGTCAATCTCGGCGAAACGATAGAGGACCCCAAGACTAATACTGTCGCTGAAAACATGTTTTGGAGCAGACGAGATTATGTGTATCGTCATCTGAGAGTCGAGGTTAAGGAGGTGGCGAGCGAATGCAGAGACCCGCGTCGCATGACCATAGCCTATAGAAGAAAGAAGTGAGAATCGGTCGCTAGACGGGATTGAATACATACCATGCCCAGAGCAATAGTACGCGAACACGAGTGGCTTCTTCATGGGGTGGATTGTTGAGGACTGAGTACCCAGGAAAAACTTGACCTCGGCGTCTAGACTTTATAGACACCATACTCGCTAGCCTCGATCCTGATAGCTAAATGTCGAGAGGAAATTTTGGTTTGCGCTTAGACTGAGGCAGCTAGTGCTTGCTTATCGGCGGCTTGGCATGAAAGTCTATGCAGTTGAATGACGTTCAGAATCGCTGTTAGGCGACGAAAGTACTTAAGCACATGCCAGGCTAGGCCCGATGGTTCTGGACGAGCGTTTTTACGTTGACGCTTAACGGACCGAGTCCTCTGATTGGTGGGAAGGCCTCGGTTGTGATACACTAATACAAATTTTCGCGAGCAGCTCAGCGATCCAGATTGAGTTATTCAAGCCTCAGACGCGGCCGTATACGGTATGTACTAGGTCGTACATGAGTAGCCGGTTGCCAACTTGCACAACGCGGATTGTATGGCGTCCTCGAGGCTTTGTCCAATTGTTGCCTCCATAGTCAAGCCCTCGTCCTATTTACTACTTAATGATGAACTATCTGATGAATGATGAGAAACACACGCTTTTAGGATCTTAAGCTTCAAACTAGGCTCTCAAGGACCGTCGATGAGCGTAGATAAGAACGTGGTTAAACAAGAGCATATTGTTTACCAAATTCTCAACCACGTCCAACACTCAGTTCGCCCCGGCGCACATCTGTCGATTTGCTGGGAGTAATTGGGACTTGGTCCAGGCTTGTCATAGGACGGTGTGTCAAGCAACAGGTTAGACACGACATCAAGTCATCGCTTACCATACGTCATATGAGGGACCCTTTGACAAGTTCACGCCGACTGGTTCGCAAGTCATCATGAGCTTCATCTTGACTAGGGAACTTGATACATTCGAGTTACACGCTCTGTCACGGTGATCGTAAGATGTTAGCGAGTACCACATCCCGCTAGAATATACATTCCGACGAGAGGTTGAACTCGCGAAAATCTTACTAGATATTGTGATCAAGGCCGCGAGTAACCTTGATCGTTGGGCCCATCTCATTGCTTGTGCAAGAATGGTCGAGGAAGATATGCGGGGTTGGGGGGGTGCGACAGCAAGTAACTAATTAGCGACAAAAGACTAATCAACAACAATCAACAACACACAGTAGCTGATTAGTATACATACGTAAGCTATTGAGGTCCTTCTTTGTGGAAAAGTGCCATCATGATAGATTTCATGCCTCGATGCACTGCTCGAGTAGAAAACGTGCTTGACGCATGTCTAAGGGCATTAGTTCATATTCACTTGTTTCTCCCGAAACAGCCCGAATATAGTCCGAAGTTAAGTTCGAACTGCTTGTCAGTGTGCGGAATCAGGGTCAATTACAAATTGGACGTATTACACATGTCATGTACAAAAATTATGTGCTCCTCCGTTTAAATATAATTATACAGCTGGTCAAGCAGCTCGCTTCATGCGCTGAGGTTGATTATATCTGCGAGCTTGTCTGCTGTCATATCCCGGTGTCGGGGAACGACACGGCAAGGGAGAGATTCGGGGTGTCTGATTTATCTCATCGGTTAGCTCACTACTCCGTGAATTAAGGCATGGAACACGACACTCACGAAATTAATCCAGTGGACCATTGAAAGATAGGGTCTACTTCTTTGCCATCACTGTCCAATGGTCTCATAAAACGGAAAGTTGCTAGCAGAGACACCATAGCAATCCACAAGGAAGCATCGGCAAAATACCTCCCAACACATACTCGGCGCCCGAAGCCAAAAGGAAATTCGACAGTGTCGTCGTTCAGTTGTCCATTAGCCATGAAAAACCTCTCCGGCTTGAAGTCATTAGGATTCGGGTATCGAACTTTGTCTTGTGACATGGCCCTGTAGCAGTCACTTTAACACAACTCAAGACCAAGCGAGTACCACGACACACCAGATATTTGCCATAACAATTGCACCTACGTGATGATTAGCATCAGAAGTGACGAGGTATAGGAGATATCAGACCTTTGGGTATGTAATGATCATTGTATACGTCGCTGTCTGCAGTATAATGTGGCAAACCTGATTTTGCCCCATGTCAGACCCTGACATACGATGCAGGAGATCAACCCACCAAGAGGGAATACAGGATGCCATCTAAGCGTCTCACGTAAGACTGCTTCTACATACGGCAACGAAGATCGATCTTCAAAGGTAGGAAGCCAGTCGGCGCCTCCAACGGCCTCAATCTCCGTTTGTGCACGTTTCTGTACATCTGGATAGAGCATCATAGCAAGAACAAAGACAGTGAGCGTTGACGCAGTCTAGATACCCGTCAGTTCGTGGGAGGTACGTTGATGTAGATAAGCGGGACCGACCGTTTCAACTCCAGCTGGATACAAGCATGGATCAGTGTCGTCACACTGTAAAACGAATTGCAGCATACCAATGAATGCTGTAGCAGAAGACGACTTTAATGCAAGCTCGAATTCATCCGCATTACCGTGCGTCTCTATCCGCTTATATGACTCCGAGATCATACACGGATTCGAAGTTGCGGTCATCTACACCTCATGTTAATATGGATTCATTCTTATTCGGGATAAGATGCTTACTACACGTTCTCGTGCATACCGGAACGGGATGTCGACCATCGCGGTAGCGTTCTTTTGCGATTGGACAGCGAGTCTTTTGAAATTTGCTCCAGGGAACCAAGAAGGCAGTTTTAACACTAAGCTGAGTCAGAGATTATTTTCTGGAGACGTAAATTGATAATAACTTACGAAACGGAAATGTCTCCAGAATGGCTGAAGTTTGGGGGCTTGCCACCTCTAAAAAGACCTTGATCGCCTTTTCAGCGGTAAGTAAAAGTGGGTCGTCATTCCGCTGGGCCTCGTAATCGTATACAGCAGACATTATGATAGATGAGGCGAAACTGGGGTTACCGCGGTTTTATCATTACGCTTGCCGAGGGATAAGCTATCACTTACAGTTCGATGTGGCGCTGGTAGCGATCAGGAGTTTCTATGATGCCCTGCAACATCTGACGAGCTTTGCGAAGTTGAATAGGTAAGTAATCCTTTGCAGCCTCGGAACGGAATGATTGATGGAAAATTCGTCGATGCAATCTCCATTCATCGGAATACCTTAACTGGGCACTATTAAATTCAGATCCAATTCTATGAGGGCATCAGATGTAAATTTAGAAAGTTGACTGGTTCCCTTACGCCTTCATGGTAGAGATCGGTGGCCTGTCAGAATAAATACTAGAGCGATGGTCCAACAGTGCTTTGGCGACTTCCTGCGATTGCAGAACAATGATTTGGCGTCCGAACAGCTTACAGTAGATGATATTCCCTTTAAAAAAGTAAGGAGGCTTTATTCTTGGAAAAATGACGGACCTACCGCGTGTCGATGCCCACTGAGTGAAGCTAACCCATGGCTGACTGCCGTTGAGGTCGAGCAGGTTACCTAGCACCGGCAAGCCCTTGGGGCCAGGAGGAAGGGAGAGATTGGATGAACCTTTGCGTCGAACTCGGTAAATGGCCAGAAAGAGACATATGATGGCAGGAATATAGATCATGGGAGTGAGGGACATCTCAAATGATGATAAAGATCCATGCATCACAAGCAGCTTTAATATCTTTGAAGCATGCTATTTGAGTCTAGAAAAAAACAATTGTCGCCATATTCATGTTAACACCATGCCCTCCTGGGACGGGAATTCAATTGCCCATATTCTGTCATGACGGCTTGCGCCCTATGAAGGAAAGGCTAGGTCAAGTCTCACAAGGAGTTGTCCCGATCTGTGTATTTTCTTTTTGCACGGCATGCACAATTGAATATACGTGAATACTCGCATCAAAGAGATACGTCAGCGACGATGACACCCGTCTCCCACGAGATATCCCTGCGAGTCCCTACGGCGGTTCCGCTGTCAGTTGGCTGAAGCTTGGCTTGACACTTCATGAAAGGAATAAATGAATTACTTACGATGACCAAATTGAACACAAATAGTAGATGAAAACCGAAATTGTGGCAAAGTAGATGTGCGAGGCGGAGGGGCGGTGAAGGAATCCACAACAAGCCTGTCAATACTCTCGGTTACCGCTCATCGACCTGGCCGAATGAGTGGTAACCGATGATAGGATCGTCGCCGGAAGGCGATGTATTCGGTCCATACCGAGTAATCTGTAATGATACGAGGTGGAATGAAACCGAACTGAGATCATGAATCGAGCAATAAACCTTGTCTGCAAGATTCGTTTCAGATTTCAGTTAACCTCCACAACTGAATCTTACCAAGTACCCATCAGGCAGCCTCGGGCTTCCGCAAGGTAGTCGATTGAAAGGTAAATGAAAAGAAATGAGAAACTTTTTAAGTATCAGCTGAGCTTGCGCGGAAATGGCTCAAAATGGCTCAGCGAGCCCACCACTGGCAGTATTCAACTATTCTCACGCCTCACGTGGACGTGAATAGACCGTTCCTCAGAGTCCGAGTCAGTGAGTCGTGTGACCCACTAGCAGCGAACCTTCGATTCGCGACATTTCAGCCAGCCAGTACTTAGTCTCTGGTCTCATCGCACGATGAATAACCAAACTCCCCGCTCTGTGTCGCTCGAAGTAAGCACTATGCGGCACATCAACCAGCTTCCGATAACATCACTGGACGATGCGACCGAACGGCCTGCATCAGTACCTTTGGTGAATCGGCCGGCTCTCCAGTTGCCATCTAGAGATTTAAAAGCTCTCAGAACATCTCGTGTCGCGAGCGAATCGAAAATATCAATGACAGGGAAACAAGCTGTCGCAGCTCTTGATCTCATGGGCAATCTGAAGCGAGCAGAACCATCCGTTGTCAAAACGAGAACAGGAAGCGTGTTGTCCCGAGGCTTCATCTTGAAAACCGATTATTATCCGTCTGGTTCGCTTGATTATCATTGGTTGTTGTGAAGTTGGTTCACAAACTAATGACTTAACAGGCCGAGGTCTTGATCTCGATTTGAATGTCCACGGTGCCCCCAACTTTAGGGCATCACGGCCAGGCAACACAAACGTTTTCGGAGTTGCACAACCTCGCACACAAGGTCTTCGAGCGATTCTATCGGTTTTACGCTGTCGACCTGGCACTGTCGGTCCGTCTCACGTCGTTTGGTTTTCTACGCGGGAAGAGCCGATCGGTAAGTTTTTCTTGCAGTCTTCAAATGATCATTATGCCCAGGTTAATACATGAAATTTCGCACGTCCTATTCATGATGTTGGGTGACGCATTTGTTCTTCTGTCTCTCCGTCTCCATCGTAGTGTATATATCAGGACGACCCTTCGTGTTGCGCGATTCCGCTGAACCAAGAAGAACCCTATCATTATCCGATCGCGCCGAAAATCTAGAAGCCATAGAAGAACGTTTGAAAAACGACATTTTACAGGAATCAACAAAGTGATAAAATATCCGAAATCGCTTTAGTGGCGCACAGCACTGATTCTGTTTGACCAGGTATGGCGGCCTAATATTAACTCACAATGAATTGCGTGAGCAATACAACATTTTACTTCCACCGGACGCTGAATGTCAACTTTTACAGCTGCCGAGAGCGGCGATGGCGCCGTTTTGCCTACCTGGACCCATGTTGACAAGGTCAACGTAAGAACATCACGAGAACTTTGGGACCAAATGCGTGCAGATGGATGGAATGTAGAGGTACGCTTTTGTCAGTCTTTCATCTACTCTCCTGGTTTCAAGCCTCGCGCTATACTCTCTCCATCATAGTACCACCGGTATGTTGACTATACGTCCTGGCACCCGGGTCACATTGTTGATCTACTGTTTCAGTATCCCTATATCCCCCGACCGTCCCATCGAAGTGAGCACGTCATACTTCCGACTAAGACTTGCCGCTTACACCACCCAGGACAACTATTTAGATGCGTACCTACGTGTTATTAAAAACACAGATCCGGTCCGAAGTGCCCTTGTATTTTCTTGTGGTATGGGTGCCGTCCGAACTACATTCGCTATGGTTGCAGCCGTGATCGTCAGGAGGAAGATGTTGCTCACTAGGGGCTTAGAAGACCCATACGCGAGTAGGTCATCTTTGTTGAGCAATTTGGGTAACGGCAGCTCCGGAATCAGTACGGTAAGTTGACAATCTTTTCCTTGTACACAATTCTGTGACACATTCTTTAAGCCTACAAATCAGGTATGGCGCGAGTATGTCAATCAATTACGCTTGTGTCTTGATTAGCTTGTTATTTCCTAAGGCATCCACTGATATCAAGCTGGCTCAAGCGCTGGAAAATGCTAGTGCGCAACAGGACCAAAACAAGTCGTTGCTGAGATTGACATATGTGTTGCAGCGACGTACGTATCATCGCGACCTTACTCAGGAAATAACCTTATCTTTCGTAGATCTCCATTCGCAGTCTGTGATTGCCTTGCTCATGGCGCAACCCACACTCTTGGAGAACTTACGCAAAGCGCACCAAGGCAACTATGGAGTAATACTGAGTTTACTTGGGTGTTTGGATCACGGCTTACGGGCTAAAAGACTAGTTGATCGCGTAATCGATGCATGTAGGTGCACCATCATGCTTCATTCCGATGTCTCAGATCTCGCGCCTTAATCATGACATTGTTGTATATTGGGAGTTGGCTGCTAACCATGTCTTTACGCCTTAGGTGATCAGGTCACGAATCTTCGGGAAGACATCCTCACCCACAGGGTCAAGTATTCACTCACAACAGCCGATAGTGATGAAAGCAAACAAGAAGATCATTTATCCAAGGCTCGCGGAGCGCTGGAGAAATAGTACGTGCCTGATCGTGACTATACCGGAACTTCAATAACTGCTACCCCATATCGATTAGTTTCTTTATGATTACCTTCGCGAGCTATGTTGATTCTGTCGAGGACTTTGAGATAACCTTTTCGGATTGGCTGAAGGTACGTTGTTCTCTATCATTGATAGAATATTCCCAGGTTGACGTCATGTTGGCATCTTGATTGCTAGGCGAGAACAGAAATTTGGAAGTAAGCTGCCACCAGCATTCAGTGTCTCGGAAGACATTGAATGACGACCTACATATTTACAGTCAGGTCATGTTCCTCCGCAAGATATACGGTTCGAGACTCAACATCTTCGCGCCCGTCAACGACCTTTCCCTTTTGTCGAGATCAGGAACGGAAGATAAGTCCCTGGTGGCTGGACAGAAGAACGATGTGGAGATTGCCGGAGGGCAGCTGCTCGGCGATGAGTATAGCGACCACGTTGTTAAGGTTCGTTCTTTGGAAATAACGTGTACCGCTCGGCCTTATTAATTGCCGCAGAATCGGAGTGGAATCATTTTGCGAGAGAGGTACGTCACATCATGCGTTTGCAGCGTGTCTGACTTCTTATTTCTGTCAAAAAGCACGCTTCTCAAATCAGACCAATGGCTTTCAGAATCTCATCGTGTTTCCGACTCAGTCCGCGGGGCTATTAACTTTCGTAATATACCCGGGACTAACATCTATGCGAGTGGCCAACCGACTGAATCCGCAGTCGACGAGGTGGTGCATCGTGTTAAAGAAGCGCATCCCGATGTAAACAAAGTCGTGTGGGTGACATTAAGAGAAGAGCCCATTGTTTATGTCAACGGTGCACCTTACTGTTTAAGGCGCGAGCGCTTCTCCCTCAGGAACATGAAGGGTTCGTCCCCAGGTTTCAGCTCTGACATTGTTTCTGAAGATCCGAAACGTTGCAGATTATGGAGGAATTTCTGCATCGCGGCTGGAAGTCTTGGAAGAGCGCCTCAAAGATGATGTCCTCGCAGAGCTTGAAGCGTTTGGGGGAAGGTGCGTCTTAGTTCTCACAGTTTCAAATTATAACTCACATACCCTGAAAAACAATGAAGGCTGCTTCTTCACACAGAGACCCCAGATGGATCTGTGATTCCCATATGGGAAGAAGTACACCCTTCAAACGTCGCAGTGCTAAAGGACATTATGGCATCCCGCAAATCTAGACATGGCTTGGATCTCCAATACGTTCGGATCCCAATCACATCCGAGCGTCCTCCCGATTTCGCAGACATCAGTGAGCTCATGGACCTTGTTCTTCGCACAGACTCTTCCAGTACGGTTACGGTCGTCAATTGTCAGCTTGGACGAGGAAGGAGTACTCTAACTTCCGTGAGTACAGGTGGAAGCGAAAGGCTGTTATTTATTGATATTTCTTGCAACGCAGGTGTTAATTGTCCTCATTCAACAATGGCTGCAGGACAGTCGGACGCTTTCTCAGTGGTCGCCTCGAACAGAGTCTCGCTCACTGTCAACGTCGATGACTTCTGAAACTTTTCACGATAAGCCTACAAATAAGCGCCTTTCATATCAGGTCATCAATAGTGCGTCTTCAGCCTTTCCTTTTGAGGCATACCACTGAAATATGTATAGATCTCCTTCGAATCGTCCGAAAAGGTTCTGCAGTCAAGAATACTGTTGACGAGGTCATTGATCAATGCGCGATCGTCATGAATCTCCGAGACTCTATCGAAGACGAGCGTATTTTGGCTGAGGAAGCGACTGAAGAGAAGCAAAAGCGCGTTCATGCCTCAAAAGGTAAAAAAACAACATTTTCCCTTTATGCTAGTATTGAACAAATTCAGGGATGCACAATTTGCGACGCTACTTTGAGCTCATTCTGTTTCAGGCGTACCTGCGATCTACTGAGCCAGATACGATGCAGTCATTTGAGACGTTCAAGAGTTTCATTGAGAGTCGACCAGGTATTTGTCATTCGTGTGCCTCACTAAAGCGTTCCACTTACCAATACGGCATAGTCATCAAGACGTTCGAGAAGGAACTCATTGCGGAAGGTTTGCACGCCCTCAAGCCACTCGAGCGTGCGGACATTGAGAGTGTAGCTCGTCCTGATGAAGTCAAACGAGTAGTAGTAACCCGATCTGGCAGCATTCTCTCTGCGTCTACCATCCTCAAGAGCGACTTCTTCTGCAATCTGCAAAAGATGTCGCTCCCTGAGTGCGTCCTTTCATAAGTTCAATGGCATGAATTGAAGTGATTTTCTTGTATAGGAGGATCGAAGGCTCTCCTAATTTCCGTCGCGTGCCGCTGACGTTGAAGCTGGCTTCTTCTCGGACTTCTTCTCCTGTAGATCCGGCTGATGAAAAGATGGTGTGCGGAAGGTGTGTTTCTTTGAGATATGTCATTTGACGTTCGTTAAATCTGGTCTGCAGCGGAATGCCTACAGTTCAAGGGTAGGTTTGTAGCGTGTTGATGGAATGAACTCTCACCGCGTCGTGTCCATAGTTTGCGGCGAGCCCTAGCACGCGTTGATGCTGATCCACAAGGACACAGCATGGTGTATTGGACCTCCTTGCGAGAGGTAAGGATAGGAATGTCGTTGTTTGCTTCATAATGGCTGAAGCGACATAGGAACCGGTTATTTATATTGCAGGCCGCCCGCATGTTCTGCGGATCGTAAACAAGCCACTCGAAAACGTAGAGTAAGTGCTTATCAACCACGTTTGACAGCAGGCTGATTTCACGCAGATCAACTGGGGTCACAACAGCCATGGTGGAGGCTATGGAGGAACGTTTCAAGAAAGATGTTATACGTGAGGTCAGAATGGGCGATGGACGTATCCTTCTGCATGATGAGGTGGAGGAGCGCCCTGGCGTGTTCACTATCATACCCATATGGGAGACGGTGGATGAGGATGATATTATGACCCCAAGAGATGTTTTCGATCTTATGGCTAAGGAGGGGTTCAAGGTCAGTGCGACAATCTTCAACTCTCAGGTCTGCTGTCGCTGATTATATACGCCAGATCAATTATGGTCGAGTTGCTATCGTGAGGCACCAGGATTTCGTGTGAAATAAGCGCTCATGGGAATTCACAGACCGACGAACAAGCACCGTTGCCTGATGCTCTGTCACAATTACTGGAACGTGTCCGGTTTGGATACTCAGAAGCGGACGACTTCATATTCAATTGTCAGATGGGCCGTGGTCGCACGACCACTGGGATGGTCACAGCCTGCTTGATATCAACGACGATGAACTGGCAGGGCGAGGAGAACTGCATTGACACACAGGAAGACCTCAACTCTACTGAATTTGACTCCATTGATGGTCCCTCAGAAGAACAGGCTTATCGACAAGGTCTGATTACCAGTTAAGCCCGATTATTCTGTCTCTGACGATATGTTGTGATAGGGGAGTACAAGACAATATTACAACTTGTCGGCGTTTTGTCTCACGGCAAAATTGCAAAGCGCCTGACGGACCGCGCCATTGATCTTATGCAGGACGTACAGAATCTTCGCAAGTCAATATACGAGTAAGTGAAACACCCGTATCGTGCCTTGTATGGCGCTGATGAACTACATAGCTACAAACTAAAGGTAGAGTCTCTGGAAAAGGGAAGCGCGATGCAACGGAAGTTGATGAACGTTGCGGTGAATTACCTGTGAGTTGTTTCCATGTGTGGTCCACGTAGCTACCTGACGCGCACCATGCGCAGATATCGCTATGGCTTGTTGATTGTATTTGCCAATTATCTCATTGAAATACGGGAGATGCAGGGAAGGGAGACGAGAGGGTTTTCGGATTGGCTCCGAGAACATAGAGAAATTGCGAAGCTGTTGGGGAGGAGGTCATTGGACTGAGGATGGGCGCCCTCTCCATGATGATGATGGCAACGACGACTTACTTATAGTATCGCACCGGTTTTGTTTTGTCTCCATAAATATCCATGCCCATATGTTGTTAACGTGTACCTGCTGCGTGCGCAGCACCGGACGGTTGAGTTGTCACTGTCACAGTAGGTCACGAGGGAAGAGTGGCGACAGTGAACACTGCCACCGGTTGTTCCATCAATCAGTTGCTCTGCTTTTTACCAGACTTTCTTTCATTCACATTTACCTGCGTCGTCGTTAGTTCCCTCTTCGTACGACACACCTCTAAACGGCGACGACGATACCACCTACGACGTGCTGACCTCAAAAAAATACCATAGAGAACGCTCATTAATCTTCGTATCACACGATAGACAGTCCGCTTCAGCCCGCACGATGAAGAGCGCAATGAAGAGCGCGACGTCGCGATGTCTGTTGCTTCTTGCAGTGGCATCTTGTTTTTTGCTCTCAGTCGCACATGCTCCACATCAGCTACTTGAAGAGCGAAACCCCAAACTTCATGTGCGCCAGCTAACTCTATCTGGACCTCCCGTGGGGGCCACGACTACGACCCCCACAACCACGCAACCCACTACAACCCCTACAACTACAACACCGCAAACGACGTCGACACCGTCGACCGCTTCAACACCTCCTACCACTACCGCCTCCCAAACGACGACTACGCCACCGGCGGCCACCACCACCCAGACCACTTCTACACCACCCCAGACCACCCCCACCACTCCTACCACGGCTGCTCTTCCGCTGTCTACCTCGGTACAAGTCACCACCAACTCTGTTGGTCAGGAGATTACCAGCACCATTGTTGTTACACCCACATCCAGCGCGACCTCGTCGAGCACACCATCTTCTTCTTCTACTGCTAGTAGCTCTAGTGGTCTTGGCACGGGCTCCATTGTTGGTCTTTCTGTAGCGGGTGGTGTTGCAGTCATTGGTATCATCTCATTCTTCATTTGGAAGTTCACTAGGAAACGCTTCTCAGACTTTGATGACAGTGCGTTTTCTGATTTGTGACTTTTAAATCTATCATGATCTCACGATGTAACAACCGCACTAGATGAAGCAATCAAGTGGCCAGAACTGAACACGCATGGTTCCGACGTTCATGCGTTGCCAACCAAATCTACGGGTCGGTCAGGTTTCGGTGCAGAAAATGACTCTGAGGTGAACCTCGCACGTGCACCCAGTCCCGGTGGATACGCCCATTCCGTAGCCGCCAACTCACTTCCGGAAACCTACACCAATTCACCAGACCCATACGCTGTCCCTCCTCTCCCACACCTCAACCCCAACCAACCCTACCACGACGACCCTGGGACCTATGGCCAACCAGGCTACTATGATCCTTATAGAGGCCCAGTTCCCAATACGTTTGGCGACGGTTTCTCGGATGGTCATACTGCAGAGGCCATCCAGATGACGCGGATGGCCCGGACCAGGAGTCCGGGTCCACAGATGGCGTATGATGTGCAAGGCCGCGCATCCCCAGGTCCGCAGGCGGGCATGGGATATGCCCCCGATATGCGGTCGGCAAGTCCCGCAATAGGTGCTGGCAGGGTATCGCCGGGCCCGCAAGCCGCATATGGGTATGGGCCGCGATGAGCGCTTTTGGGGGCAAGGCGGACGTGGGGAAACGGGGGTGAATACGAGAATAGGACAGAGTTGCTGGATATTTGCTAGATGTTTTGCAGAACATGGGAGGAGGGGAGATTTTGTGGATGGAATGCTAATGCACGGCTGTTGCCGAATCGACATGGACATACTACGACGGACTGTTCCTGGTTCGCCATTATGTGGTTGGTCACGTTCCAACACTCGTCTACGACATGTGCATGACCTTGGGTTTATTTTTGTTATGTTTCATCTAGCGTTTCGGTTTTTATTTGCCGTGTTCCGTATGATCATCTTGATTGTTTCACGCAGACTACTGGCCCCCGGACTCGTCAGCGCCATCAACATTGTCACCTACATCATGCTTTCGGTACATCTATCTCCATCATTTTTACTAAGACGCTCGCTGCAGCACATACGAATTCCCTTTTATTTTTCTCATCATGTGTTATACCGTCCATCAAATCCACATCCGTATCCAAGGAATACCGATTTAGTGATCCCAAGCATAGCTTACGGGAAATTTTTACCCCGAGTGATTGCATGATAAAGAATGCAGGAACCGTAGCTATCATCCGAGTGGTAAACCCGACTACATCGCTTGGTAGGTGCATTCTACACACTTACAAGTACGGTACCACGACAGAACTTTAATCAAAAAAATTACTGCTCCCTCAAGGTCGCGTCTTTCTCATTTCAGAATGGAGGCCGCTGCAATGGCCTTCGGGTCAGTCTGACTGAAGCGCGTGAGCAAATCTCTAGCTTAGAAGTAACAAAGACAGCTTGTGAGTCGGCCATCGCCCGTTTATGACCAGGGGGAAGAGAATGCGAACAGACTGGATGTCTGGGATGGAGAGTAGGTTTGCTTCTGCCCAACTGGCTTTGTTGGCACACGCGCAGCGATGTATTGACCTGAACTACCGCCAAGTCGATTGCAAACTCGGAAAGATGGTCCTCGTATGGGCGATGAAGGTTTTATTTGTTTCGAATTCTGGTCCTGCGGCCAATTCTCAAGAATGGTATGCTTGAGACTGGCGGATAGGAAGCTTGTAGTGGAGTCAATGCCCTTGTGAATGTAACATTGAAAGCGGGCCCACGACTCCTTCTGTTAGTTGTGCACGTGACAAGCAAGTCCAAGAGAGGAATTTGAAATTTGTTGCAATTCGTTACTTGCACGTCGAGACTGTCCTCATGAGCCATTAATGCTCTCAGACCGTACGTTACTTGCGTGACCACCCACCTTTATCGCTGGCTGCTCTAGAAGCTACCTAAAATACTCTTACGTACGAGCGCCCTGTCGATAAAACAACGCCAGGCAATTCTCAGAGCTTGCGGTTCTTACCAGTGTGATGCGAAGTGCCGCTTATTATGCAAGTACAGGTTTGCACGGAGTAACTGCGCGCCCGAACTTTGAGCGTCCCTATAATCACCATCTCATCGACACCGTCTTTGGTATCCTTCTGGTATCGCCCCATGATGCTGATTTCGGTTAAAAACCCTGGGTGGTGGTATATCTAGTATGAACACCATCTTCATCTTCATATTACGTCCACCGAGTTCGCTGCTCCCTCACACCCATCCTCTAAAAAGATGACTCTAGTCTTAAACGATCCCAGTCTCTGGCCGGCCATCAATGCGCACCGTATTTACAGCTATTTTGCAGGTTCGTGGAGAGTCAATCGGACAATGACGGCGATACTTGATCTAACATCTCGCAGTTGCCTCCTCTATTGCGGTCATGTACGATTGGGGTTAGCAAGATCACTTTCAAGAATGGCTGATGTTCTTATGGTTTCTGCAGCCCTGACTTTCGGACAGGAGGTAGGTTGATGTTATTGTTGGAGCATCCATCTCACTCCGAATGGTTTATAGATCGAACTCGTCTGGGTGAGCAGAGTCATCACAACATGAAAATGCAATGAATTTGCTTTAGAGGCAACGCTGGTCACTCATGACCGCTCTGTGTTTGAGTGTAAGTGGCTTATGTTGTAAGTGTGTCGGCAAGTTGGGCTGACTTGAATATATTTAAGGTGCGCTATCTTGGAATTGTATTTGTTGTGTATGTTTGGAATGTGAAGCAATTGGAAATGCACTAATCAATGACCCACCACAAGCATCCAGATTCCAGGTATGTCTCCTCATATTCACCGTCATTATTTCTTCTCACCAGCGGCATACAGCGGATGTTCCGACAATATTGCTGACAGATTCAGTAGGTATTCTGAACCAATACTTGCCATTTCTGTCTAATCAACTGCACTCCAATGCAGGGGTGAGTTTAATTCTTTACCAGCTGGTGTAATATAATGACTGCCACAGCTGTGAGTTTCTTTTGATTGCGTGATCCTCCGATGCTGATCACCACCTGGATTTGTCAGGTCTGATTATAGCCATCTTGCAAACTTGGGGGATTATCATCGTGAATGCAATACTGAGCGGTGAGCTATGTAACTACAATGAGTCAATGATATTGACTTGACAGAACATCACTCAAGTCATCATGCTTACTCGGTTACACGCCATGTATCAACGATCCAGAAAGGTGCTGATATTTCTTGTTGTAATATTGCTGGCTGTCAACGTCACCGCCGGAGTGTTCGGAGTCATAGTAACAATGGAGACTTCAGCAGGTAAGCTTGATTATGAATGAAAGACGTCCGTGCACCAGGCTCATTGATGATTACTAGAAGTGTTTATTCTCTCCGGAACTTACGAGTGCACTACTAGCCACAAAGGATATCAAATTGCCTCCATCATTTGGATACTCGACGTATGGGAGGTCCTCGCACTATGTCTCGCAATCTGGATTGCTGTAAAACACTTCCGTGAATTGCGACGACAGTCGGCAGGAGGGATTATCCGAGATTGTTTCACGGTGTTGATGAGGTCTCACGTGGTTTACTTTGCGAGGTGAGCTCACAATGCCAACGTGGTCCCCTTCTTCCACTGAAGGTCTGCACCTCTTAGCTTTGTTGCTGTTTCTTGCTTCATGATTGGCGGAGACTTGTCCCCAAAAATAAAATGGGTATGCCATTCTGTCGATAACCTCTGCATGCAATGGTTCATCATTTCTACAGGGCATGTTTTCCCTGCAAACCCAGATTTATGGGAGTTTACTCCAAATTTTTCAGGTTGTGCAGATGTTTGTACTGGGACCACGCCTGATCCTTAGCGTTCGAGAATATCACGCCAAGCTCGTGGCTGACACCGACACAGCAACCGGCATGAATTCAATTATTTTCCAAGAGCATGTGCATGAGCCAACTAGCAGCAGCGTGTAGGACGGGAAATGCTCGATGCGATTACTACTGGTGGGGTACTCCTGGCTAGGTGTTATGCGGGGAGCGGGAAGAGTTTTTGTTAGTTTTATGGCTGTACTTATTTATTCAAGTTGGTGATGTTCCGAAGGTTTGAAAAAGAAGTGGGTCTGGACAAACCGCAAAATAAAGCTTTTCATACATTGTTGTATCGCTAAGTCTTTGTTCCCAGTTTCGTTACGGTATCTATTTATTTGATGTTCCGAAGTATATTTCAAAGAGCAGTATGTATAGACGAACCGATACATTCACGTTACATCGATCCATAGCTCCCGGAGAGTCGGATTGGCCACCTACCCACCCTCGCACCGAGTGGTAAGCTGAAATCATTTGGAAGTTTCGCGACCTTACTTGAGAAAGACAGTTCCTTCTTTCCTGTGTCATGGCATCGTAATCCACAAATTCATAGTGTGGCAGGTCCAAATCGTGAGGAACTCTATTTGAGGCCATCAGACTTGAGAATATAAATGATGGGGGCGTCCTTGAGTTGATCGATCGTCAACATTCAGGTATGAGATACTTGAAATTCTAGAGTGAGCGAAAGGTCGAATTGGAAATTGGAAAGACCTACGATTGAACGAGGATGAGGGGAATTCTGGCGTATACAGTAGTGTGTCGCATCCGACAGGTTCCATATCATTTTGTCCCACCTGGGGGGGCGATGTCGATGACTTGGACCGTAGTTAGTACTCCTACTTACAAGTTTCAGTGTCAGACAAACTAGATACCAACGGTTCACACCACATAGCGAATCTCTGGGACAATGTAGCCTTAGCGCTGGATATCAGTCTAGTGAGTGTTTGAAATGTACCGATTGACAAGTGCGCGCTGCATACTTATTTCACACGCTCACGTATTCTTCTCCAGCACATTCCGACGTTTCCTCTGACTCTCTATTTGAAAATTTACGGTTGTTGCTGGTCAAATGATCGCTCTGTGCTTCATGGTTTGAGGATGTCGCAACCTCTTAGAAAGGCGGTTCAAACCTCGCAAGGTGATCAAGCGTGAATATTCGAATGCTGACGGCAAATTCCGACTTCGGTTACCGTTGTGACAGAGTATTTGTTTTGCCACCAAGTTCCTACTCCGAGTCATTTCGGCTATAAAGCGGTGGACCTTAACGTATCTGAACACCACCACGTCATACCGCGGGAGAATAAGGGCAAAGACGCACCTGGATACACGCTACAGGATGGGGGGAGAAAGGCATAAGTAGTAATTCTCCGGGACTTCTATAAGGCTAATAGTTGAGCAGATCAAGCAAGCCGGCAGTCATACTTAAGGATAGTACTACAATTTGACGTCCATCAAGTTCGCCGCACGCTCACATCCATCCTCAAATAACATGACCATAGTCTCAAATGATCCTGTTTTGTGGCCGCTTATCAATTCATTTCGTATTTCTAGCTATTTTTCAGGTTTGTGGAGGGTTAGTTGACCGTCAAGTCTTGATCTGACGTTGGCTGCGGTTTTGTAGTTGCCGCATCCGCTGCGGTGATGTACGATTGGGGTGAGCAAGATAGCATGAAAAAACCGCTGACATTCTTATGGTATTTCTAGCAATAACACTCGGAAAAGAGGTGGGTTAATATACTATCAACGGATTAGCTATCTTCCCAACGATTTGTTTTCACAGGTGGATTTGATCTGGGTGAGCGGACTTCTACATCAGAAGACGACGTGAACATATCAATAATTCGCGGCAGAACCAACGCTGGAACCTGATGACCGTTCTGTATCTCGGCGTATGTAGCTCGTACTGGCATAAGTATGATTGACAAGTTGTGCTGACTTGACGATACTCTAGATACGCTATCTCGGAATATCATACGTGATGTATGTTTCAAAAGTTAATCAGCTGGTGTTGTGCTAATCGGTCGTGTATTACAATCAGCGTCAGCATACTGTGTATGTACCCTCACATACACCTTGTTTCTTCTGACCAGTGGCATGCAGTATTTGTTCCGACAATTCCGGTGACAGATGTAGTGAGTGTTCTCCATTGGTGCCTGTTATTCACGTCCAACCAACTTCCCTTCTATATAGGGGTGCGTGAGATTCTCAACAAGCTTCTCCGTATAATGACTGCCACAGATGTGTGTTTCGAGTATGTTGTCCTTCGAGCCTGATCACTAACTGTATCTGTCAGGCCGTGTGATGTACATCACCCTAATTTGGACAGGTGTGGCCGTAAATGGAATGCTGGGCGGTGAGCTACCCAGCTGCAACAATACCTCAGTGATATTGACGTGACCGATATACCGTTGAAGTCGTCATGACCCTTCGGTTATATGTTCTTTATGAGCACGCCAGAAAGCTGCTGATATGTCTCGTTGTCATCTTACTGGGTAACAACATTGCTGGCGGAGTGGTTAACGGAATATTAACGAGCCGTATTTCATCCGGTACGCCTATGGCAGACAGTGCAGCAGCTTTATTTAACGAGTATCAGTGGAAATCATTCTCTCCGGCACCTATCAGTGCAATACCTACTTTGAGGGAAAGGACACTCAGATGGCCACAGTGACATGGACGTTAGGCACTGCATGGGAGGTTCTCGTACTGTGTCTCGCAGTCTGGGTTGCCGTAAAACGCTTCCGTCAATTGCGACATTCACCGGCAGGAGGGGTTATGGGGAGCCTTTTCACGGTTTTAATAAAAACTCACATGGTCTACTTTGCGAGGTGAGCTCACAACGTGAATGTGGTTCTCGTTCCCGCTGACATTCCTTATGCAATAGCTTTATTGGTGTTTCTTGCTTTTTGTTGGTTTATTACTCTCCAAAGTTCGCCACGGTATGCTGATCTGACACTCACCCCTTGCATGTAATCGTGGTTCATCATTTTAATAGGACTCGTATTCCTTGGGGACTTATATTTATCTTGGAATTCTTCAAATTTTCACAGTCTTGCAGTTTTTTGTGTTGGGACCACGTCTCATCCTTGGTGTCCGAGAACGTCACGCTAAGCTCAAGGTCGAATTCAATACAGCAATCGGCATGACTTTACGGCGCACGCATGTGTCTACTAGTAGTAGTAGTAGTGTGTAGCACGAGTAATGCTCAACACGATTAACAAATTAACAGTTGTCGAACACTCTTTGGGAACTCTTTTGTTACATCACTTCAGGCTTTAGTGGCTTGCCCATACCCACACTGAGTAGCAAGCTGGGACCATGAAAAACATTCTCGCAACCAATCAAGTACCTTCAAGTGACGCGGTATGTCGATATCCTTCTGCGATCAAACCTACTTACGAATTTGATATGCCCTATGTAATGATGCCCAGCATGTAAACTCGCTTTCACTATGAATCTGTGCACTACGGTCTCACAACAAAGAAAAGAAGGGATGACGGTTGAACGTTGAATGACTGTCTTTCAAGTAAGATTGCGAACCTTCCAAATGATTCCAGATTACCGCTCGGTGCGAGCGAGCGTGGGTAGCTAGTCCGACTCGCTGGGAGTAATGAATAGATGCAATAAAATATCAATCGGTTTGTCGTAACATACTTCACTTTTAAATATACTTTGGAGCATCAAATAAATATGTACCGCGACTAAACTTAGAACAAAGACGTAGTGATGGAACAATGCATGGGTCGGTTTGTCCAGACCCTGTCGAATCTTCAGAACACAACCAACTTAAATAAGTACAGCGACGAAATTTGGAGCCAAACAAAATCCTCCCTACCCCCACATAGCACCTGACTAGGAGTACCCGACCACTGGTAATCCCCTCGAGCATTTCCCGTCCTACACGCTGCTGCTGGTTGGCACATGCACATGCTCTTGGAAAATAATTGAATTCATGCTGGTTGCTGCGTCGGAGTCAGCCACGAGCTTGGCGTGATATTCTCGAACGTTAAGGATCAGGCGTGGTCCCAGTACAAACATCTGCACGACCTGAAAAGTTTGAAGTAAACCACCATAAATCTGGGTTTGCAGGGAAAACATGCCCTGTAGAAATGATGAACTGTTGCATGCACAGGTTATTGACAGAATGGCATACCCCTGTTATTGTTGGAGACAAATCTGCGACAATCATGAAGCAAGAAACAACAACAAAGCTGAGAGGTGCAGAACTTCAACAGAAGAAGGGGACCACATTGGTATTGTGAGTTCACCTCGCAAAGTAAACGACGTGAGATTTTATCAACACCGTGACGATGTCCCCGATAATCCCTCCTGCCGACTGTCGCCGCAATTCACGGAAGTGTTTTACAGCAATCCAGATTGCGAGACATAGTGCGAGGACCTCCCATACAGTGTCGAGTATCCAAGTAAGGGAAGCAAATTGATGTTCTTTGCCGTAGTTGACAGTGCATTCGTAGGTGCCGGAGAGAATGAACTCCTCTGGTACTCGTCAATGAGCGTGGTGCGCGCAAGTCTTTCATCCATAATCAAAATTACCTGCTGAAATCCCCGATATTGATACCATGACGCTGAATACTCCAGAGGAGACGTAGACAGCCAGGAAGATTACAACGAGAAGTATCAGAATCTTCCTGGATCGTTGATACATGGTGTGTAACCGAGTGGCCATGATGACTTGATTGGTGTTTTGTCAAGTCAATATCATTGACTCATTGCAGCTACATAGCTCACCGCCAAGTATTGCATTCGTGAGGATACTCACCCAATTTTGTGAGATAGTTGAAATCAGGCCTGGCAAATCCAGTGGTGATCAGTCTCAAAGGATCACGCACTCAAAAGACACTCACAGCTGTGGCAGTCATTATATTACGCCAGCTGGTCAAGAATCAAACTTACCCCTGCATTGAAGCGCAGTTGATTAAGACGGCAATGGCAAGAATCGACTCAGAATACTCACTGAATCTGTCAGTGATATTGTCGGAACATCCACTGTATGCCGCCAGTGAGAAGAAGTAAACACGGCGTATATCAGGAGACATACCTAGAATCTGGAGGCTTGTTGCGGGAAATCATTGATTAGCGCAGTGCCAATTGCTTAGAATTCCAAACATATACGGCATATGATATTCCAAGATAGCGCACCTAGAATATTTTCAAGTCAGCCCGACTTGCCTACCACACTCACAACGCAAGCTACGTACACTCAAATACAGAAAGGTCATAAGTGACCAGCGTTGCCTCTGCAGCAAATGCATTGCATTTTCATAGTGTTCTTATGACGTGTGACTCGGCTCACCCAGATAAGTTCAATCTATATAAATCATTCTGAGTGAGATGGATGCTCCCGACAATGGCGTCAGCCTACCTCTTGTCCAAAAGTCAGGGCTGCATAAACCATAAGAACATGAGGCATTATTGAAATGATCTTGCTCACCCCAATCGTACATGACCCCAGCAGAGGCGGCAACTGCGAAATGTTAGATCGAGAATCACTGACATTGTCCGACTGGCTGTCCACGAACCATAAAAATAGCTGGAAATACGCCATGCATTAATGGCCGGCCAGAGACTGGGATCATTTGAGACTAGAGTCATATTGTTAGAGGGTGGGTGTGAGGGAGCGGCAAACCTGGTAGACGTACTATGAAGATGGTGTTCGTACTAGTTATATCACCACCCCGCGCTTTTATCACCGAAATCAGTGTCATGGGGGCCATACCATAAGGATACCAAAGACAACGTTGATGAGCAATCCATGATTGATATGTTATCAATATACGACACACCATCCTATAAGTATATGAACAGGAGGACACTGCCAGTGGGAGACAAGAAGACTTCTGGTTACGATCGTGGAATTTTTTTTCAAATTCTATATGTACGTACCACAGCTGCTTCATTTTTTTTTAAATTGATTGGCGATATTTTTGACGAGCGCCGGCAGCAGCTCATCCAAGTCTCTTGACAAGATGCCCATGGTCGCGTTGTTCTGGCACACCGTCAGGAAAGTAAAGACATGAGCACTACTGCCAGTGATTGGTGATGAGGCGTATTCAGTGTAGTGTGGTGTGCTGGTGGTGTGGTAGGATTGCAACGTTAGTAGTTTGTGCGCGGTCCTTGCGTAGGCTCATAACATATGAACTGCTGTTCAAAGCCGAATACGAATGGCGCCTGGAGTTCCTTGGTGCATCTTGCAATCGCAACGGTAGTGAACTGGAATGTGGGCATGGTGTCTATGTTCTATTGATCAGTCGACCAGTCTTGACACTGGGCAATATGACACGGTCTTACTTGTTTCACTGTCATCAGAATAGCCACTATATCGTTGCTCGAGATCCTCTTGTCTTGGATCACATTCAGTGGCGGCGGTGTATGGAATCACCCACGGATCAGATACGGTCCATATAGAGAAGATCATTGGAAGAGTGCGACAATTCTATTGTGGGACAACTGTGGAATAAGGTAGCGAGGGCGACTTTTGATGCTGTTGTGATGGGTAGTATGGGCTTGTATAACTTGCGATGAGCGTACCTATACAATAACAGCGTCGATATCTCGCGAGCTGCATGATCCAACTACATCAATACCACGGAACTACGACACTCGAAAATTCTTCATGGTCCGTCTCGACTCTCCATCTCTTCCACGCACATAATCCGCAAAGAGACTCGTCCCATCTAAAACCTGTGACACCGTATGTTCGGTGACTGAATCCAAGAATGCAGAAGCTGTACATGGTGAAAGTCAGTTGGTGAAGTGCGGAACGATACAGATGGGATATTGGTACTCAGCGTGAACACTTTGCATCGTGGCCTGGGCGCTGTTTTGTTCAGTTTTTTTTTGCGAAGATGGCGGGTACGAGAGTCACGGTTAACGTTTACCAGTATTATAAGTATCTGCTGAGTACGTGACCTGACTGACAGGCAACCTGAATTCGATGATATGACGAGGAACGACACAAGTTTGAGACCCTTAGCAGATCCTCAATAAGCAGTACTAATACTATAGATCAGTGAGCAAAGGACCACACAGCAAGTACTTGCGGTTTAGTAACCGACTCCGAGTCGGAATTTGCCGCGTTCACGCTTAACCGCGAGCTGGAAGCAATTGTGGTAGAAATCGTTGGTGCACGTTGATGAAAACTCTCTGCATCATGCATGCCCGCGGTGAGCCTCTTTCATGCATAGAAGTCGACCCTCACTTCTTCTACAATTCCTGGTATCTCCTACCGACGATCCCCTCGACGACATTATATCTGCTACTAGGCGACATGCACCCCAAAAGTCGCGTATCGGGGCACCGTTTTGCCTCCTGCATCACTCATATCGTCTTATACTGCCTCTAGTTCCACTCATTCCCTTCTGAGCTCTCCCAGAAATAGTTTTCAATCTCTCGCCTTCTCAGTCTCCAAACGTTCTGGTACGAAGACCCTCAACCATATTCACATACATCATATCTAAGTATCGCCGCTCCCGTGCCACCCATATAGTTCTCAACAGCGATTTGCAAGACTATAGTTCACAGAAACCCTGAAATAGGGAAGGGAACACGAACGTACGCGAATTCCAGCTGCTGCTCAGTTCGTTAAACAATTTTGTGAATGGAGATGAGATGAGGAGTGGGCAGGTATGTAAAGTCAGCTATCATTCCAGATATAATTGATAAGATACGTTTAGTCTACGAACCTAATCGCACAGGCAGCTTTGCACCACGATACCCAAATTACGCTGGAAGTCGCCAAAAACATGGTTCATCGTACAAACACGAAGTTCCGAAGCACTTGGTGAGACTTGATACACGATCACTAAACGATGCCTAATGAATTTGACTGCAACTCCATTCCTTCCTACATTCAGTTCGAGCGCCGAAGGATTTTGCTGGTTATGAAACCTTCCGAGTGCATAGTTTTCAGTTTGCCGCTCGGTGAAAACGTGGGTGGACAGCTGGCGTGAGGTGATGCGACCATTTACTCAACGGCTCGTGCAACTTATGGTCACAACACTACCCAATGGTACAACCGGATTCTCATAAAACACCAAGGTTCTAATACTCCGGTGGCTCAGTGCTCAGAACTTGTACTCCCGATCCGAGCCTGCACGATGAAGAGCACCCATGAAGAGTTCGACGTCGCCGCAATGCCTACTACTTATTGTACTGGCGTCTTTTCTCTCTGTCAGTAGCACACAGTGTGGCCTTCATCAGCTGCTTGGAGAGCGAAAGCCCAATCTTCATGTGCGCCAAACTTTATCTGGACCCCCGCTGCTGACGACTACGGTCCCCACACCCACGCAAACAACCACAATCCCTCCAACTTACCACAATCGACATCAACACTGTCGACCACCTCGACACCACTACCATACCCCAATTGATGACTACGCCACTGCCGATCACCTCGCAGAGCAATTTCACACCCACCTCAAACAGCCGTGATGGAGCCCCCTTGTGTTCTGTATGGCCATCTTGGCTATCTCATACCCCGGACTGATGTCGGCGCCATCATCGTTGTCAACTATGTTGCACAATGCTCCTTTCGGTACATCTATCTCTCCATCATTTTGACTAAGACGCTCGCTCCAGGATATATGAATTCCTTTATTTTGTACTTCGTGCGTTAAACTGTTGATAGAATTTCAATCCATAACCACATCCAATGAATACCGATCCCTGACATCCCAAGCCTAGCATGCGGGAGGTTCTTGAGCCTTCACAATCACGATGGGGGTTGGCCTTTTCGCAGTATCGGCCTTAAAGTAACTCTTTTGCAGAGGCCAGCTTACTTTGCTTGTTGAAGATGCCCGCTAGACCTGCGTGAGATTTTTCGAGGAAGGTCGTTGCATCTAGTTGGCAGGCTCCATGCTGATAGCCCTGGCTTCATACTGTCCTCTGTACAAGTAAGTCGATGTCTCAAGAAAGTACTGAAGCGTGTCACCAGAAATGACGAGCAGGACGATGACCCTATGAATTATCAGACGAACAACTAACGAATATAAAATACTGTGTTATCGATTCATACAAGTATTGTCTCTTTCAGATCCACTTCGGAGCATCAAGTAACTTGTATGGATAAGTAGGACGAAATTTGGATCACAAATTCTCCTGCTCCCTGCGGAGCACTCGACCATCGTTAATGAGCATCTCTCATGCTACACACTGCTGCTAGTTGCCACACGCACGCGCTCCTGGAATACAATTGAATTCATGCCGGTTGCTGTGTCGGAGTCGGACACGAGCTTGGCGTAATATTCTCTAATGCTAAGGATCAGGCGTGGTCCTAGCACGAACATCTGCACGATCTGGAAAATTTGAAGGAAACCAAGAAAAACCAGGTCCGGGGAGTATTGGTCCTGTAGAAATGATGAACCATTGCATGCAACTGTCAATAACAGATTGGCATACTGATAACGTCGGAGACAATTGACTGCCGATCTCACAGCCAGAAACAACAACAAAGCTAAGAGGTGCAGACTTTCAGCGGCAGAAGGGAGCTACGTTTGCATTGTGAACTCACCTCGCAAAGTAAGCAACGTGAGTTTTCATTAACACCGTGAAACAGTCCTTGATGATCCATCCCGATGAATGTCGTCGCAGTTCACAGAAGTGTTTTACAGCAACCTGGACTGCGAGACACAGTGCGAGGACCTCCCATACAGTTGTGAGTATCCAACTGATGGAAAACAGTAGTGCGTTATCACTCTCATAGTCAATAGCGCACTCGTAGGTGCCGGAGAGAACGAGCACCTCTAGCCTTTTTTAATGAGTCTGATGCGCTTATGTCTTATTAAGCTTACCCCCTGAACTGTGTCTCGTTGCCAGTATGACGACTACGCCGACCGCGATGTAGTCGGCCAGGAACATGACAACGAGAGGTATCAGAACCTTTCTGGACCGCTGATACATGGCATTTAACCGAGCGATTATGATGACTTGCATGAAATGTCAGTCAGGTCAATATCACCAAAGTATTGCAGCTGCACAGCTCACCGCCCAGTATTGCGTTCACGACCACAGTCATCCATATCCCTCCGAGTTTCATAACAGCGCCTGGCGAAATCAATTTGTGGTCAGGCTCGGAGGATCACCAACTCAAAATACGCTTACAGCTGTGGCAGTCAAATCAAACCAACTTCAGGCTGGAACGCCAAGAATCCTACTCACCCCTAGCACACAGGAGTATAGTTGAAGGAAGGGGGATGACAGGCATTGATTATAAGTACTCACTAAATCTGTCTTCGGGATTGTTGGAACACTGTCTATATGCTGCCAGTCAGAAGAAGTAAACACGGTGGTAAGAAGACATACACAGAATCTGGACGCTGATTGTGACAGATAATCGATTAGCGCAACACCAAGTGCTTAGCCATCTAAGCATACATGGCATATATTATTCCAAAATAGCGCCCCTGGAATATTTTCATGTAAGCGCGACTTTCCAACCACACTGATAGTACAAACTACATACACTCATATATAGCACAGTCATGAGAGACCAGCGTTGCCTCTGCCGTGAATGAGCTGCATTTCCACATCGTTCTCCTGATGCAAGAGTCCACTCACCCAAATCAATTCAACCTGTAAAAGCATTCTTAGCGAGATGGATGGTCTCAGTAATAGCATCAATTTACCTCTTTTGCGAGCGTCAGGACTACATAAAGTTACAATAAGGAGTCAGTGATTTATATGATGTGTTGCTCACCCCAGTCGTATATCAGCCCAGCAGACGTGGCAACTGCGAAAGCGCAGCCCAAGGTCAGATATCACCGTCATCATCCGAATGGCTCTCCACGGACCTACAAAATAGCTGCCAATATGCCACGAATTCATGGGCGGCCACCAACGAGGATCGTTTGAGACTATGATCATACTGTTAGTGTGATGGAGGTTGTGTAGGAATTCAGGTGCTGTACGAGCGCTGAGGCCTAGCGCAGAGCGCCGACTCCCGAGGCAGTACGTACTACGCTAGATGATTACTAAAAACCTTACTATATATGCGAGCAAGGTGGGGTTTGTTACATGTAAGGATTCTCATGGTCAATTGGCCTGTGTTTATCGGATCGTTGAATCTATCAGGGCTGATGGAACTACACCTTGTTCTGAATTGCCTGCAGGGTACCAGGTATCGCCAGCGAAGTTGGCCAGTGCGCCTTTCAAATCCAGTGGATCCCAATTTGAATGGCAATTCATGCTCAACTTCCTTTTCTGCCAACCCTGCACAGTTCAAACCGCCTCGATCCCAACACTATGCGGCACCGCGATCATTGATTACAGCCATAGTAGAATCCCAAATAGAGAGGCAGAGGAAATGGCTGAATGATATACGTGGGTAAGTGAAATTCGGTTGCACTAAATTTATTCGAGAGGACAAGGGAACGTTGAATGACAAATTTTTGCTGCAGGGCCGGAACAAATTTTCAGATTTCACCAGTGACCACACCAAGACCACACACATGATTTCGCAATAAGTCGCTTATGTCGTGTCCATTAGATCTATCATGCAAACACACCGCCCGATGCCACAACATCAGTTTCTCATTTGCCTTCAACACTTGCCATTAATTCAAGATGTCCCCTGCCACGACCTTCTTCGACCGTTGGCAATCGCCTCAACTTGAAGCACCCGAACAAGACATCGATCATCTCGATTTGTCACTGCAATTTGCTTTCTGGACCGCTACTATGTAGAATCTCGAGGTCTCGAACCTTCACGGAAAAGCCTCCACGCGAAAATGATCGAACTCGATAAGCGACACGATGCCGATATCCAAACCTCGTACAATCATCTGGAGGCACGATGAGACGATGAGAGCTATCGCCAATTTGAATCACGTTGGGAGGAGCCCATGATCGGAAAGATGTGCTGAATGACTCTGTAGCATTTGTTGATGGTGCTTTTCTTTGTCGTTCAATCTGAGGAGATTCTACAGATGAACGTTCGGAGAACTTACTGAGCCAGAATGAGCAGTGAGGACACTCGTCTTAAATATATTGAAGAATAATTCGCAAGACTGCTCTTTTGTGGGTAGCGAGTGAAGCGCATGCGTATGAGCTACATGTGCCTCTGTCGGATAGTGGGAGTTGGGTGAGGAGGAAGCCTTTTGTAAAGAGGTAGATGCCAGCTAGGTGAACCGTCACTCACAATTGGAGAGAACTCATCTATGATTTCTTCGTCAGTGATAGCGTCGGAGTCCTACCGACTGAAGAACAAGAAAAATGAGAACAGCAGGGCGAATGCTGGTGCTGCGGCTCAGTGATGCGATGGCAAGTATCGTTCGAATACATAATCTTGCCACGAAAGCCTGCGAACACAATCTGCTAGATATGTAACAACACCTTGCATATCACTGGCTTGCACTAATAAATATTCACATTGAGGATTATTGCAGAAGCAAAGATATGACATCTTCTACTCAAAAACGTAGTGCTGCAATAACGTACGGGGCGGGTTGTCCAGACCCACTTCTCTGTCAAATCTTCAGAACATAAATAAATAAGTACAGCGACGAAATTTTGAACCAAAAGAAACTCTCCCGGCTCCCCGCATAGCACCTGACCAGGAGTACCCGACCAGTAATCACCTCGAGCATTTCCCATACTACACGCTGCTGCTAGTTGCCACATGCACGCGCTCCTGGAAAGCAAATGAAGTCATGCCGATCGCTGCGTCGGAGTCGGCCATGAGCTTGGCGTGATATTCTCGAACACTGAGAATCAGGCGTGGTCCCAGCACAAACATCTGCACTACCTGGAAAACTTCACGTAAACCAAGGTAAATCTGGGTTCCCAGGGACTGTGGGTCCTGCAGAAATGATGAACCGTTGCATGCAGAGGTCAATGAGAGAATAACATACCCCTGATAACGTTGGAGACAATTCACTGCTGATCGTGAAGCAAGAAACAACAACAAAGCTAAGAGGTGCAGAACTTCAGCGGAAGAAGGGAGCCACATTGGCATTGTTAGCTCACCTCGCAAAGTAAACCACGTGAGATTGTATCAACACTGTGAAGCAGTCCCCGATAATCCCTCCTGCCGAGTGTCGTCGCAATTCACGGAAGTGTTTTACAGCAATCCAGATTGCGAGACATAGTGCGAGGACCTCCCATATAGTGCCGAGTATCCAAGTCATGGGAGCCAGTAGTTGGATATTTCCTGCAATGTCAACAAAGCATTCGTAGGTGCCAGAGAGAATGGCCTCCTCTGGTATTCGTCAATGGGCCTGTTGCACACAAGTCTTTCATCCATAATCAAGCTTACCTGCTGAAGTGTCTGTTGTTGTTATGATGTTCAACACTCCGACGGCGATGGTGACAGTCAGGAAGACTACAACGCAAAGTATCAGCACCTTTCTGGACCGCTGATACATGGCATGTAATCGAGTGATCACGATGACTTGCGTGATGCTTCTGTTAAGTCGATATCACTGACTCATTGCAGCAATGTAGCTCACCGCCCAGTATTGCGTTCACGACGATACTCACCCAATATTGCGCGATGAATACAATCAGGCCTGACAAATCCAGGTGGTGATCAGCATCGGAGGATCACGCAATCAAAAAAAACTCACAGCTGTGGCGATCATTATATTGGACCAGCTGGTAAAGAATCAGACTCACCCCTGCATTGGAGTGCAGTTGATTAACATGGGAATGGCGAGCATTGGTTCAGAATACTTACTGAATCTGTCAGCGATATTGTCGTAACGTTGTCTGTATGCCGCCAGTGAGAAGAATTAAACACGGTGGATGTGAAGAGGCATACCCAGAATCTCGATGCTTGTTGTGGGAGATCAATTATTAGTGCAGTGCCAATTGCTTAGCATTCCGAACATACGCAGCATATAAAATTCCAAGATAGCGAACCTAGAATTATTTCAAGTCAGCCCGACTTGCTGATCACACTTACAACACAAGCTACGTACACTCAGATACAGAGCGGTCATGAGTGACCAGCGTTGCCTCTGCCGCAAATTCATTGCATGTTCATGTTGTTCTTATGATGAGTGACTCTGCTCACCCAGATGAGCTCGATCTATATAGTAAACCATTCTGAGTGAGATAGATGCTTCGACAATGGCATCAACCTACCTCCTGTCCGAAAGTCAGGGCTGCAGAAACCATAAGAACATCACCCATTCTTGAAAGGGATCTTGCTCACCCCAATCGTACATGACCCAAATAGAGGAGGCAACTGCGAAATGTTAGATCGAGTATCGCCGTCATTGTCTCACTGACTCTCCACGAACCTGCAAAATAGCTGTAAATACGGCTCGCATTAATGACCGGCCAGAGACTGGGATCATTTAGAACTAGAGTCATCTTGTTAGAGGATGGGGGCGAGGGAACAGTGAAGTTGGTGGGTACTAGATATACCACCACCCTAGCTCTTTCATCACCGAAATGAGCATTATGGGGGCGATATCCGTTCCTGCATTGATTGACCGAAGAAAGTTGAGGTCCTGTAGAAATAAACACTCGATCTAGGGTCCCTTGATTGAATCAACATATATGTTGGTTGTGAAGCTGCAAACCAGTCACACGCACAGAATGTTTCAACACCGCAAAAGATCGAATATCTGTTTTCATTTCGGCGACTTATATGTATACAAATAGCAATGACAGGGCACTGGGAGAAACGAATACACATGCTTGCGATGGCGGAATGTTCTTCAAATTGTACAAGTTCGTTTCATAAAATGTTTTTGATGAGTGTCGATCGGAGCGCCGGCAGCATTTCATTCAAGTCCCTTGGCAAGATAGTCGTGTTACGTTGGCACGCAATCAGAAAAGTCAAACAAATGCCTAAAACTGACAACTCACCTGCAGCTGGTGATGGCATCAGTGCTTCAGGTGCCGTCGGGATGGAATATTACTTGCATAGCTTGCAATGTGCACACTTGAATCGGACGAGGTCGTTCTGCTACAAATTACAATTACATTTTTGGTTCGATCTGTGCAAAACTAAATCTGCCCTTGTTCAACTTGTGTACGTAGGTGGATATAAACGCACCCCGGAACTCCTACCGATGATCGATCCATCTCCAATTTTTCCACATATAATCCGCAAACAGACTTGCCTCATCCAAAGTCGTTTCTACATGCTCGGAGGCATTCTCAGAAAGCGAATGAAGAATGCAGAAAATGTGTGGGGAGGTGGATTATGATAGCGGATACACGGCAGGTGTACTGTCAGTGATTGGTGGTGAGGCGTAATTAGTGTATCAAGGTATGCTGGTAGATGGTAGAATTGCGGCGTTGGTGGTCCGTGCGTGGGCTCGCTGCTATATCAACAAATATGAATTTGATGTTCAAAGTCGAACACAAATGGCGCTTGGAGTTCCTTGAGGCATCCTTGAATCATGACAACAACGAACTGAGATGTGGATATAGTGTCTGTGTTTTATTAGATCAATCAACCAATCTCGACGCTGTGCAGCACCTAATAATGATCCGGTCTTACTTGTTTCAATATCATCAGAATAGCCACTTTACGAGATCTTTTTGGTCTTGGATCATATCCAGAGGCGGCGGTGCATGGAATCGCCGGCGGATTAGGTATGCAGAAGTTCGTTGGAAGAGTGCGGCGATTCTATTGTAGGACGGCTGTGGAATAACGTGGTGAGAATCAATTTGGATGCTGTTGCAATGGGTGGTAGAGACTTGTATAACCTGCGTTGAGCGTACCTTTGCAATAACAGTGTCGATATCTCGCGAGCTGCATGAGCCAACTACATCAATACCACAGAACCACACCGAGTCGCCGTCTCCATCAATATCTCTTCCACACACCCAAAAAGAGACTCGTCCTATATAAAGTCTTTCCGCATGGTCCGTGACTGAATGCAAGACTGCAGAAATTATCCATGGTGAAAGTCAGTAAGCGAAGTGCGGGACGATGCAGATGGGATACTTTGTTAGAAGCGTGTTTGAAATTTGATGATTGGGGTGGGGTGAGGATGCGGATGAGAAAAGCAACCGGAACGGCACACCTCGCCGAATTGTTGTCGAGCGTCGTAGACTTCGTTCTTGTTCAAGGGCTATTTTTACTACAGTCCTTCCGGAAAGTCTTGACTCACGTGTTCGAAATGGTTCAAAAATAGTGAAAATGTCGAAAATTCAATTATTGCAATTTTCAATAATAATGACATTTTTTGAATGTGCGAAAAAAAATATTCTGGAAAAGGACAACTGTCTATCATACAGCCGCAACGATCATGGCACACCGGCGGTTTGGGAGTTTTTCCACAGGCAAGACTTGAATCAAAATGTGGTCGAGAAATTATCCATTTCCGCGTTGAATTTTGACACTGAAACCATAACAAATTTTGACTGCCGGCAACTTGACACGGCAAAACAACACATTTCGATACAAATTTTAAGTCCATCTAAATGTATATAATACTTCAAGTGTTCTGCTGACATAAATGTTAGTATAAATATTAACTTTTGCAACCAGTGGTAATTCATGGTAATTACAAAATTTTAGCGCAGAGGCAAAATATTATATAATAACGGGTGTTTGCCCATTCCAGGAAATTTCAGATTGTCTCCCGGTAAAATGAGGTTCGAAAAAATATATAATTTTGACCAAGGAAAATTACAGTGGGCACTCGTTGGGCATTCATCGGGCGACTCATCGGGCACTCGGTGGCCACAGTCACTTCGATTCGACTTGGAGATAGAAAGATTGTGATTTAAATTTGTTTGTGGTAGCGCTGACATTTGAAGAATCACACTCGCTCCCTCAATTGCACGCGTTCTTGGCCGAAAGAGATGATGGTGTATGAGATTTCGCAGGATCAGTAATGTTGTATACGAAAATTGTATACGAAAAATGTATCACAGTATGTACGAAGATGCAGCGCGCAAAGTAACACAGTGGTTGCAGTCTGGCCGCGTCTTGGTCAGGCCAACCGGGTGACTCAAGGTGCTTGTTGTAGATCTGGATGACAGAATCGTGCAAGTGCAGGAGCTTCATACCCATGTCCTTCCTGTAAGCAGGCGACTCCAGCATGAAGTTTTGTACGACATCTATCACCATTTGATTTGCAGCCGTGCATTCATCCCCCTCCACCCCTTCGGCCAAAGCATTCTCCAGTGTAATCTGCCATTTTGCAAGTGACGCCCGGTCTTCAGGGCGGACCTTGGAGTATCTATGCGAGAAAAATTGAGCGAGTTCAATGACAAGATTGTCGAGTGGCTTGCAGCCGACAAATATATCTTGTGGGAGGTCGGTGTTCGCGACGAGGAAATTGGATTTCGCGGATCCTCCAGACCCCTGCAGTGGATCAGCGTCGAAGGTATGCGCGATGAATTGCGTCCGGTCAACGATGCTCATGTAGCTTGACGCGTACATCAAAGCCGTCCACAGAACGACGTAGAAGCTCGATTTGAGGTCGTCCTCAACAGCATGGATGGCGGTCCCATTCTTGACAAGGTGAGCAGACATGAACTGCCAGGTTCCCTTAGCGACAGCAAAATCAGTACAAATTACGAGTTTGGGCATGGAACTAACATACTGTGCGAGTCGTTTGTCGAGAACCCCTAATAGTGAGCAACTTTGCTAGGTCCCAGTCGATAAGGAAGCCCACTCCTCGGTAGATAACGATATTCCCGACACTGAGGTCTCGATGTAAGATTTTTGCGTTTTCGTACGCATCCTTGTGAGCTGCGTGGCTAATGAGATTAGGTGATATGCGAGATTGAGAAATACACACCAAACAACGCATCGCGGATAGACTGGACAAGTTGATGAGATCTTGCATAGTCGTTCAACTTCTCGCCCACAATATCAAGAACCAGGCGGTGAAGAGTATGCGGAGTGATGAGCTTCTTGGCGACATCCCTGTTGGGACACGCCCATTCGGCGCTTCCAAACTTAGCAGTCTGGGTGTTTTGCTGAGGGATAGGGTGGATTACATCGTGAAATGCAATGCATGTTGCGACATTGCGAACTTTGTGTAACTTTAATAATTTATAAGTTTCGCCTTCCGGTAGGACATCCTTTATCGACACGCGCCACGAGTCCTTGAACATTACGACCTTCTGGTTCAGGAGATCAAATGCAGGGCACGTGCGAGTCCAGCGGCCAACAGGTGGAAAACCCTTTGCAACAGGCTGGGGAATAATCAACGTCAACCAGCCAGAGTCCTCAACAGCAGGATCCTCAGGAACTGCAACTTTGAACATGCGCGTAGCGGTGGGAAGTTTCAAGGCCTCCCTTGCAAGAGCAGCATCCTCGGTGCTAGCGGGCGTGACAGAAGTATCAACGCCACACATCTCAGGCGATGCTCGCGCATAACGATAGAAGAAGTCGGCTAAGTGTGGGTCGTTGTAATTGAAGGCGTCCGTAACGATAGCTCCCTCCCTGTCCCATCTGATGATGCGGGTGCGATATTGAGCGCCGAGCTGAGCGCTAGCATAGCTCGTTATCTGGCCCAATGTATCGAAGGCCTTCTCGGTCACAGATACAATATGCGTATCAGGCCCAGGATCTTTGCTGAATGCGTCATATCCATCATTCCATTTGAATTCGACGTTGACTTCGAGTTTGGAGATATCGCAGCCTTGAGATGTTCCGTCGGCGTATACACAAACATCCGGCTTGACGTTGAATGTGAAGGCCGAACAGTTCTTCGTGTCTGCACGGTTGGACGAGTTCACAAATGATAGTTGGGGGGCGAAGGGTTTTATGCCGTTGATCTGGAGTTAGATTGTCAACGATTCACTATCCTTAGATGCAGGGTCACTCACGAATAAATCGTAAGCAGCCTCCTCTCTCTTAACGGATTGTATGTTGAATGCTTCAGCGTTGGAGGCCGAAGTGAAGAGTGAAGTGAAGTCCGAGGGGTCATGGTTTTTCGGATTCGGCAGGAACTCGTCTAGAAAGTCCTCCACTGGCATCGGGCCAACAACATGGTCTTTTATCTCCTTGCCCATAGCGTTCAGAGTGTCGACTCTGTTACGCTGAAAGCGTAGACTCAGGTAAGAGCTCTGTACTAAGTCTTTAGTGTAAGACGAAGATAATGCAGAGGTTCGTTATCGTTATCGTTGGGGTCGATGCTTGGTGACAAGAGTCAGCAAGCGAAGACAAAACTAATGGTATCGATCAAGTAAAGACACTTAAGACGAAGAGTCTTTAGTGAAATCGTATACGAGAGCTGTCTTGCTCAAGGAAAGTCTATCAGAAAACTGAGTAGATTCAAGTTAGAGAATACAAGACAAGACGATCGACTACTTATAGGAAAGGTCAGTTCAGGGCAGGGCTACCAAGGCAATGGTAAGGGTACAGGGTACAAGATAAGAGATACGAGATAAGACGGCGATCAAGGATGCTGTACAAGAAGGTGATAAGACGTCATATGGTGATACATGATAGGAGAAAAGATATGGGGGTCCGGTCCGAAGTATGTTATCGTAACATTACCTCCCGTTCAAAGGTTTGAAGTCACCGACTTCAATCATCCTGGTTGGAATAATAGATGGGGTCAACGTCAATATCTGCCAGCATGGCGATGGCGTCGAGTTCATTCTCTTCCCGTTCTTCTGCAACACGAGCACGCTCATGGTCAAAGGCAGCTTCGAGTTTAGCCATGTCCGTATGGAACCGATCAGCAGATTTTCCGCGACGAAGGAGCTTCTTCCCCTTGAGGATGGGACAGAATGGGGTAAGGTGCTTGGGGGCGTATTTGCCACAAATGCGGCACTGGTACCTCTTGCAATGCTTCTGTTTATGCCCCCAATTGTTGCAAGTGCGACAGACGCAATTGAAGGGATAGGTTTGAGTCGTTTCTCCGGCTTCATACTGTGCTCTCTCGACGGAGTATTGTGCGGCGGTGGTACATCCTGGTGCGGCTTCGAAGTCGTAGTGTTTGTAGTGATGTTGGCTTAAAGGAAGCCCCATAGAGAAAAGCAATCTAGGCTTCATCCGAGTAAGCCTTTGCGCTCTGCGGAGAACGTCCATCCTATCGTCACGATCGACGGGCGTAGTAGGAGGTGGGACAGGGATAGGGACCTCGTTTTGCAATGGGTAGCAAAGCGAAGGTTCAGGGGAGAGTGTCCTTGACTGGGACGGGGAGATATTAACAGGAATTTGCTGCTCTTCTTCTTCAGCTTTGGGGGGAGGCGTACTGGGAGGAGATAATCCGAGGAACGAATAATAGTCCTGAGGTGGCTGGGCTACAGGGGGGGGTGTGTATGGCACATAGAGCGAGCTGCTACGTTCTACTGCTTCTTCATCTTCTTCGATGATTAGGGGAGGGGTCGGAGTCATATGTCTCATTGCTGCGATGAATGGTTCGGGAGGTGGATTGAACTCATTTTCATCCTCTATCCTTCTGATTGCGTCATCGAAGTCAACTGTGAGTCGGATGGCATTCAAGACTGCATTCTTGATCTTGCTTTGGTTGTATCTGATGGGGATTGCACCAAGACTGGTGGAGGAGTCGAGTTGGAATTGCATTGCTGCGGGAGTGAGGGCGTCTGCTGCCCGGAAAATGATGATGAGTTCTTTGAGGGTGGCATTGCCGACCCTCTCTACATAGGCGTCAAGCCTCATAGCATACTGGATGTCGAGAATAACGGCTTCCCACATGGCCCGATGCTGGCCAGGGGTCTGGGGACGAGTAAAGGGATTGTTTTCAAAGAAATTGGTGATACTGTGGTCGGAGCCATAAGAGCAGCTGGAGTGGTCAGACATGTTGGTTTCGAGTTAAGGTAGGTTTAAAGGCCTAATGCTCTAGAGACGAGCTTGAGTCTCTTCTTATAGGCATCGAGAAGCTCCGCTGCGTTTTCAAGTTCCGTTTCAAGGATCCATGAGTTCTCAGATTCAGGGTATCCAACCCAAGATACGAGATAACGACGTCTTGTGCCTGCCCCTTTGTGCGAGAGTATGGCTTCGATTTCGTAATGCTCTTCTCCGTTGATAAGGTCAGGAGGTGGCTCAGTGAAGTTCGGGCCGTGTATCTCTGTCTCTTGATAGGAGGATAGTTCAGAAGCATGGAATGTGGAGTGAACTCTCCAGGTTTTCGGTAGCTTCAATTTGAACGTGATAGGCGATAGAACTTCTGTGATTTCGAAAGGGCCGTATCGTTTGGGAGCTAACTTCTTTGAGGGAAGTCGTGTGATGAGGTGTGCTGCGGAAAGCCAAACTTTATCACCTCGTTTCCATGGTTCATACTTCTGTCCATGAGATCTTTCTGCCATTCGTTGTTGAGCAAGGCTATGAGAAGCTAGGGCTTCTTCTCTGATCTTCTGAAGGTGTTTGATGCGGTCTTCTGCGGCTGGAAGAGTGGAGTCAGGGAAGGCGTGAGGGTATCCGCGAGGTTCGTATCCCATCATAAGGGAGAATGGAGAGGTGTTTCTGGCGCTGCCTTTTCTGGAATTGTGGACGAATTCTGCCATGGGAAGGTGATTGGCCCAATCATTAGGGTTTGTTCGACAATATATTCGGAGATAGGTTTCTAGTTCTTGATTCATTCGTTCAGTTTGTCCATCGGTCTGAGGGTGGTAGGCGGTAGAAAGGGCGACTTGATAGTTTAGGAGCCTTCCAAGCTCTTTTGCGAGTTTAGAGGCGAACTGTGGTCCTCTATCGGAGATAATCTTGTCGTAGAGACCAAATCTAAGAAAGACTTTTTCAAAGAAAAGTTGGGCTACTCCTTCTGCGGTGATCGTTTTTCTGCAAGGGCAGAGAATTACCCCCTTTGTAAGGCCATGGTCTACCACGACCATGATAGAATCGAAGTCAAGAGACGGGGGAAGGTCGGTGATAAGATCAACGGATACCTGTGAAAAGGGGCGAGAAGCGGTGGAGGAGATCGGTAATAATGGAGGGGTGGTAGGATGCGTATTCGGCTTCATTTGTTGACAAGTTGCACAACCGTCAACGTATTTCCTGATATATGTTCCCATCCCGGGCCACCAATAGGCTTTCTTCACGTTCCACTCCGTGATAGTGCGGCCCGGGTGTCCGGCCGTAGGATGATCATGGTGGAGGGTAAGGATTCGATGACGGAGATCAGAGGGTACATAAGCACGATTTTTGTAGAAAAGGACATCATCCTCGAATTTCCAATCAGAAAGTGCAGATTTCATAGGGGGGGCGCACACGCCGTTTAAGGCGTCTAATGCAGTGCGAATAGTAGCATCGTCAGATGCGTCATGAAGGAGTTTGAAATCTTCTGCAAGTTCAGCATCAATGAGGTTGACAAACAGCGAATCGGGAAGGAGGATAAGATCTTCGTTATCGGATCCAGAGAAGGCGTGATCAGATCGACGGGAAAGAGCATCGGGGGCGGCGAGTTTGGACCCGGGAACGTGGTGGAAGGTGAGATCAAAGTTGCATAGTGTAAGCTGCCAACGAGCTTGCCTCCTAGTGAGTTTCTGTGCAGATCTGAAATAAAGGAGGTTCTTATGATCGGTGAAGATGATAACCGGATGAGGGTTTCCTTCGAGGAAATGTCTCCAAGCTTGTAAAGCGCGGATGACAGCAAGGAGTTCTCTGTCATAAATCTGATAATTTCGTTCGGCTGGATTTAGGGATTGGGAAAGATATCCGCAAGGATGGTACGCTCCATTTTCATCTGTTTGAAGGAGTATTGCTCCAGTAGCAAATAACGATGCATCTGTTGCAAGAGCAAACTGTCGAGTAGGATTGGGATTTCGGAGGACGGGTTCAGAGAGGAAGGAGTTCTTCAGCTTCTGGAAGGCTTCCTCACAAATGCTTGACCAAGAGAAGGCATTGTCCTTCTTTGTGAGGTCAATCAGTGGGCGTGCAATATCAGAGTAGTGGGAAATGAAGTGTCGATAGAAGTTGCAAAATCCAAGGAATGATCGGACTTCTTTGACTGAGGATGGGGAGGTCCAATCGCTGATCCCTTTCAGTTTTGCTGGATCCATAGCGACTTGTCCCGGTCGAATAATCATTCCGAGATATTCAACTTCTTGAGCGTCAAAAGTGCATTTCTCTGGTTTGAGAAAGAGTGATTCCTTCCTAAGTTTCTGCAAAACTCGTCGAGTTCGCTCTTTCTGCTCCTGCAAGGTGTCCGAGAAGATTAGGATGTCATCCATATAGACAATGAGCCATCCTTCGTTGATTTCAGTTGCGAAAGTCTGATTCATGTATGCCTGGAAGGTTGCAGGAGAATTGCATAGTCCGAAAAACATGACTTTCGGTTCAAAGAGGCCGAAGGAAGTGGAAAATGCGGCTTTCCATCTATCATCAGGGTGTATGAGGATATTGTTGTAGCCAGAACGAACATCTATCTTGGTGAAGAATTTGGCATCGCTCAGCTTTGCGATAAGAGGAGGAATTAGAGGGAGAGGATAGGCATTCTTCACGGTCCATTCGTTAATGTACCTGTAATCTTGACAGGGTCTTAACGATCCGTCCTTTTTTCCAACGAAGAAGAAGCCAGATGCTTGTGGAGATTTTGACGGGGTGATAAAATCCTTTGCTACATGTTCGTCCAGAAATGCTTTCAAAGCATCGGTTTCTTTCGGGGATAGAGGGTAAGCCCTCGATGATTTCGGAACGAAGCCTTCTTTGGTGTCAATTCTATGATCGAATCCAGGGCGAGAGGGAGGAAGTTTGTTCAAGCCATCTTTTGCGAAAATATCCGCAAAGTCATGGAGATATTCGGGAACAAGTTCTTCGAACGTTTTCTTTTTCTTTGCTTGGGCGTCTTCCATAGCAAACTCCTGTGCTTTGTTGCTTGTTTTGGTGTATTCTTGCGAAGCAGCAAGTATCCAAATGTTCCTAAGTGGAGTTTGTTTGGCAAGGATTTCTTTCTTGGAAGTCCCATCACGGGTTAAGGGAGAGTCGAAGGAGATGTTCTCGATTATTCGAACATTGGTCCCATCCGTAGCATATTCGATTAGTACTTCGTCATCGGATAGAGGATAGGTGGCGATATCATCCGGATGTGGGAGGAATTGGGTGT